CGTAAGTTAGTATTCAAGTTTGTAAATAAGTATATTATCATTGGTTCCTTGGGTTTATTCATATGTTGAAACAGATTACGAGTGAATTGAGTCTGTTGATAAAGACAGATCGAGTTCCACATTAGTTTATAATAATCGGTCTTTGATTTTTTTTTTATCCTATCTTTTTTTACTTTATGTACTATTAATAACATCAAAGTGTATTGTGTTTAACTAAGACCTGCATTATGAGAATAGATTAACAAAATAATTTTTCATTTTACATATTTTTAGAAGTCAATTACTAATTTCTTTCATGATATGTATTACGTAGATAAAAAAAAAAACTATACATTTTCAAAACAATACTTTAGTAGTGCAACAAAAGGAAATCTATATATATATATATATATATATATGATATTAAAGTTAAAGTAAAATATTATATTAAAGCAAAATAAGTTTGTGAAAAAAAAAAGTACACGTGTCAAGCTCATGCTAACCCGTTTTCCACTAAAATTTGTTAGCATGCAAATGTTCGGCGCATTAATTGTTAAACATAATTTACGGAAACAATTACAATTTATGGATAAATTTGATTACTTAAGAAAAGAATCGCAAATTAGTGGTCATTTATTCAATGATTTAACCAAGAGATGGAAGTTTCATTTGAAATGATATAAAAATAATTAGGAAATGATAATTACGCTTGAATCTGGACATTTTATCCACATTTATTCGATTTAAATAAATTAAGAAAGTAGCACAAATTATTGGTCATTTATACCTTGATTTGAGCGAGATTTGGAAGATTTTTTATAATCAATTTCAAAATAATTAATGAATGATATTATGATTGAATGTGGACGTTTTTTCCTCACATATTCGATTTCATAAAAAAATAGGAAAGGACTACAAATTATTGATTATGCATTTATTAATTAATTTAAAGTAAATATGTTACAACTACTATTTAAACTCCACCTTCTATATACACCCATCCACAGCATCATTCTTCTCATGCTCTGGTAATATAGGTTATAATCATGTGCTTTGAAATTTATTTCTTTTTTTTTTTGGCACACTCTCTGTTTCAGTTTTGCTTTTAAAATATGTTTTTTTTTTGTCTTGGTTGAAGGCGATAAAAATGACTACTAAATGCCATCGGTATGGCCACTATTTTTTTTGTTTATATTGTGTAATTTTTTTTCCAAACATGGCTTGCAAAATCTAATTTGCAAGTAATGTTCACTTGTGTAAATTATCTCAAAATATGATTTCCAAAATATAATTTGTAAGTTATGGTTATATTGTATAAATTCTCCCAAAACGTGGCTTGCAAATCTAATTTGAACGTTATCTTCACTAATGTAAATTATCTCAAAACATAGCTTGCAAAATATGATTTTTAAGTTATGTTGATATTGTATAAATTCTCCCAAAACGTGACTTGCAAAATCTAATTTGCAGGTTATGTTCACTTTTTTTTAACAAAACTCTAACCCTATCCCAATACATGATTTGCTAGACAATATCAAATTATGTTCATATGATGTCTTATTTTTACAATTACTATTAATTCTCCATATTTTTATGGAATACATTTTTTACTACATTTACATACATGACTTCTAAAAACTAATTTGAAAGTTACGTTAAGTATTTGAAATTCCTAAAACATGACTTGCAAAAATGGCTTTGCAAATTGTGTTCACTTTTTCGAATTATTCAAAAACATGTTTTGCAAAATCTAATTTACAAGTTATATATGATTAGTTTCCGTAAATCTTCCAAATCATACAAATACTTTTTCTATTACTATTGTGCAAGCCATATTAGAATCCAAAACTAACATATTTGTTTTCTTCCTTTAAAACAAACTGTGTTTTGGAACCATTTCCTTTATCCAAAACATAGTTTGAAAAATCTAATTTGCAACATGTGATCTCTTTTGTAAGTATTTCCAAAACTTGGCTCGCAAAATCTAATTTGCAAGTTATGATCTCTTTTGTAACTTTTCCCAAAACATGACTTGAAAAATTCAATTTGTAAATTATGTTCACTTTTTCAACATTTATCAAAACATATCTTGCAAAATCAGATTTGCAAGCTATGATCTCTGTTGTATGTTTCCCAAAAAAAAAAAATAAATGATTTGCAAAATCCAATTCAAAGATTTTATGTAGAAAAGAGAAATAAGATCCATTTTATTAAACCATATTTTTTGCTATATCTTCATCCTCTCTGTTTTACTCTATTCTTCTCATTTACTAGTAAATAAATACGCGTGGACAACGGCCCGAGTCAAGAATCTAGTATTAATAGACAACCTCTCATGTACTCCTTCCGGTTAGGCCTGTTGAACCGATTGGTTAATTAGTTTGTTGGTTAACCGGTTTCGGTTAGTTCCGGTTCTCTCATTTTTTACTAAAATCATGTAATCAACCGATTAAATTACGGTTCTACCGGTTTCGGTTTGTCGGTCTATAACGGTTTCCGGTTCAAGTCAATTCTGTTTTTTTATTTTTTTAATTCAATAATCAAAGCCCAAGTAAAAGTCCATGTAGATCATAAAAGTAAAAATCGAAGAGGACTTCTGTTTGTTCCGAAAAAAAAAAATAATAATAAAGAAGAACTCGAATGGAGTGATTAGCATTACCTTTATAAGTAGATATGACAACTGGCGATCTTAAGCTCAAGGGTGGTGGTGGTGGAGGCCGACTGGCGGTATATTTGGAAACTATGAAAATTGTTAATTTGGGATTTAGGTTTAGGCTTGAGAGTTTGAACCATTTAAAACTCATGAAATTTGGAATTTTTGCATTTGGAAATTTTTGGAGATAACAAAAAGTGGGATTTGATGTGCCGTTGCTGCCATGGATTAGGGTGCCGGGATTGAGGAGGAAGCTTGATTGTGGTGCCGGCGGTGTCATTCGGTGCTTAGTTCGGTTTTTAGCAGTACAATGTGGAAAGGAAACAAATAAAAAGTCTGAATCAATTCGTTTAAGTAATCAAAATTTTGCACATCTTATTAAATTTTGCAAATGGGTAAAATAGTGTTAAAATTTTCCTTTTGGCACTTTAAATGAATTTTATTCAATTACATCCCTGTTAACTTCTAATGGCAATCAAATGTATCCTTGTCTTTTATAATCAAATACTTCTCAATTGATATTTCTACTAGTTAGATATATGCTTTGGCCTCTGTTCTTAAGAAAATAGCTAACAGTTCTATTTTTTCGAGATAAAATAATACAACAAAGTGAACAATTGTTATAGAATGGGTAGAGTATTAATTTTAAGTAGTGAACTATAGGTTATAGCTAGCATAGTTCCATTTAATTGATTGAGTGATAGACATCATTTACATTTGAACGATTGTAACACTCAATCAATGTATGTAAATTCATTTATTTAAAGCGCGTATGATATGATGCATGTAATATGCTTAATATCAAGCACGATACATTATATTATACTTTAAAAGACTTAACATAAAAATGATCATTTGCACAAATAGTAAAATGTGAAATTATGTACGGATATATTAACCATATAAAATAACCAAATATACTCTTCATGAGAGTAAGAGACATAATAAATATTTATTATTTCATTGCATATTATATGTATTCACAAAAGATTTCAGTATTTTCGTAGTTGTCTTAATTTACTTATTATATTGACACAAGATGACAAGACAATGAATTGTAAGACCATACTCTAATTAAATTTTAATTGGAATGAATGGGTATGTGATGACTATAGTCAATCAATAATCACTACTATTTTCCATTTTAGTTGTTACTTAAAAATATTTAAAATTAAACATTTAAAATAATAGAATAATATTTAATATGTAATTATTATTTACTACTCTCTTTTCTTTTTTCTTTTTTTTTTTTTGACTAGTGGCTAAGTTTACTCATAAGGCATAATACATTGAATTTGTGATAATTTATTTTTTAATGTTGTGATTGTATTGTGTGACTACCTTTTTTAAAAGTATGAACGGTCTACACATATTTTTACCAAATTAAATAAATAGAAGTATGTGCATGAAATATATATGTGTCTCTTAATCAATAAGAAACAAAAATTTGAAATATGTCAAATGGGGGATTGATAATTGGATTTGGCCTGCGGGAAAGACTTTAAAGTCTATAGATGAAAAAAAGTCTTTAAATCACAAATCATCAAATCAATTTACATGAAAACTTGTTCTTGGCGTAGTGGTGAAGTATCATTGCTGTCACGGGAAAGGAGTGGGTTTGAATCTCTTTGCTATCAGTTCTCCTCATCAATTTTTTTACTACTACTTAAAAGTCTTGTAGCATATTTGCATAAATCCCGGTTATATAGCTAAACGGTTAAATTGTTTATCCGATTAACCATGTAACCGATACTATAAAATAGGACCGGTCATTCGGTTAAACCGGAAAGTTCATATGCATAACCGGAAACCGAGCTGAATAACCAAGAAAAAACCGGATAATCAAAACCGAATATCAGAATAAACCGTTGGTTCGATTATGCAATTTTCGGTTCTGTCGTTCTCGATCTTGTTTTCGGTAAGTAATTTATTTGTGTTGTGAGAATAAATAATTAATTTTTAATGAAGCAAGGTTTGTTTGTTACAAATTGAATTAGGTATTTGCTTGTCAAAAACTAAGTCTTAGGAAATTCCAAATAGTATTTTTGGCTATAAAGTGTTTAATGAAGATTTCATACATTAATTAGTCAATAACATAACGTTTAATATCACAAAAAAATTAACGAGCAAAAAAGTACATATATACGAACACTTGGTGCAGATCATAATAAGACGTGTACGTATATGTATACATAGATGAATCAGAAAGTAAACACTCATGACAACTATTCCGGTCCCCAAGCCCAAATAGTTATCTAATTATGCTTAAAAAAAAAAAAATTAAACTAGACAATCATTTTGGACACAGAGAGTAATATTTATGGTTTAATTTCTTTTCCCTCTTAAATCTCTTGCATCAAACTCTAAATCAGTACGTAATTCCATAATCAGAGACATCAATGTCATTTGGCAACGCTTTCCTCCCAAAAGCCTCCATAAACTTTACAGTAAAAAGGATTTCTCCATCTCCATCTGGAAAAGCTTCTTCCATCTCAGATCTTTTGCGAAAAACATTAGCATTTAGTTGCTCAAATATCACTTCATTTTGCATCTCAGCCATGATATTCATAAAACGTCGGTCATTTTTCAAAGCTTCCATTGCCCTAATTCTGTCTATAGTACTACTTATAAGTGTATGGTTAGGATCTCTTTTGCCTAATTGATCATCATTTGGGGGTTTCACGATAAGATGTTGGGGAGCATTAGCACTTGGTGCCATGGAAAAACAAATTGAGAATTGAAAAACTTAAAAAATAAAAAAAATGATGAAACTTGTCCGTGTTGTTCCCCCAAATTGTTGAGTCTGTAATTTTTGGTGTTGGTAATTTATACTATATGTTTGATGGAATTTTAGGAAATACTCATTTAATATTAGCGGAAAATTTTTATAACTAAAAGCATATTGTTTCCTAACGCGTGACATTTTCACATTTTGGTTAAAAGCAATAACAATTGTATGAATATTATAGAGTGAGTGAACCAGGCTCGAACATTCACATGATCAGGCATAAATAGAATTTGTTTTTAATATGTAAAAAATTTAAGATATTTTTCTTTTCTTTTGAATACATATTGCCGACCCTTTGCACGCCCCGGCCTTAGATCCGTACCTTATGAAGCTGCACGTACTTGGTCGCAAATTTAGCATTCTCTTTATTCCGAAATTATTGTGTAGTTTGACTTTTCATTTTTAAGACAATTTGAAATAAAAATAAAATCTAAATTGGACAATAATTTTTTGAAACAACATTCGTGACTCAACCGATGGTTAATGATTACGTGTTATACTACACATAAATTGAGGGGAAATTTGGGGGAGTGAGGGTAAAGATTGTCAGATGCATATCATCGTTACGTCTCATTATAAGAGTATTAGATTAGCTATTTAAGGAGTTGGGAAATGAAATTAATATACACTGACTTAGCAAATTCAACTTTGATGCCGTACGAGGAAGTAGCAACTAATAAGACAGTTTTGTCATCTTTCATTAATCGATCGATAATGTAACGTTTATTAGTATTAAAAATTAACTTGAAGGCATAGATTCTCAGGTGCATGCATTACAACCGAACCTGTGTGATTCAAATAATTAGATAAGCTAGGAATCAGGAAACGAAATTAAAAATATTCTCTGACTTTGCGAAGCTAATTCTGATGATACTTTTGAAACTGATTAAGATATTTTTGTAACATTTCATACTTAAATTGATCGATATGGCAATGATTAATATTATAAAACAAGCGAGCACAAAAATCGCGGATGCAGGTACGCATACGTACATTGAATTAAATTTTTTTTAGGTACAAATAAAGGAGCAAAGTTTGAAAAATTAAAACAATACAGATCATGAATACGAAATACCAACTACATTATGATGTAATCAGGGTTTCACTGTCTGGCGAGTCATCCAAATGCAAGAATCCTCCAGGGCAAATCATTAAAAGTGAGTACATTGAATTTAATTTTATTCCGTCGTAAATGTAATAAAAAGTGAGTGCAAAACAAAGGGATAAAAAACACTAATGGGGAGAGTAGGACAATGCAAGTGAAGGTATGAAGCAAGGCATAATAGACTAAAGTAAAATAAGCATGATTTTGACTGAGCACCTAGTGATGGAAGGCGTTAGTGATAATTCATGTCGATGTAATAATATAAGTACTTCAGGTTAATATCAGGTATTATTTTCAAAAAAAAAGAAAGAAAGGTATAGAAGGCGTTAACAGAAAAACTAAAAGAGTGGTTTAAGGACCATGTTAGAGGAGTAGTATATTTTCATATTATGAACGTGTAATTATTTCTCATATATAATCAGAAAAGAAAAAGAAAAAAAAAGAAGGCAAAGTCTTGAATAGGTGGATTATCGTACTTATAAAAATCAATAAATCATCATTCAACCTCTAATATAGTTAGCATTTGGATATTAAAAAGATAATATCTATAAAACAAACAACCTTTTGGTCATTTCAAATCTAAATTTTATTGACTTAAAAGAAAATGTAAGCCATGGATCGATATAACACAAGTTGAAGGGGCAACTTACGCAGTGTTCCTAGCATGCAAGTAAGATTAGTCTTAGAATGTTAACCACTCTTTGTCAAGAATATCAATTAGCCTTTAATTAATTTGGTTTAGTGTAGATCATTAGATTGGTTGATGTAATCCTTGGTCGTAAACTAATGTTTAGTTTATATTAATTAAGTCGAAACCTTCAAATGCATCTGAGGAAGCTGGCATTCCATGATTGATTTGGAGACAAACCAACTAAAACAGCCAATATTTAAATACGCAGCTTAACTGTCCCATTTAGGACCCCCAAGTCCAGCCAGCCATAAGCCATCTCAACGTCAAATCCCATAGTCCCCTATTCCACCAAGTGCCCCAAAAACAATCGTCTTCTAAATTTGGATTCATTCTTTACATAAATCACCATTCAAGTTTGAACTTTGAAGAGCATTAGATGATAATATTAACGATATGTGTATGTAAAGATTGATAGAAAACTCACGAATAATTAATTATATACGATCAGTTGTCAAATTTTCATTCACAAGATACATGTAGGATTTCACGGGAAAAAGTCACACACACACACACACTGTCACACAAACGCAAAAATGAAACCAATATAGAGGGAACGAAAAAAAAAATGAAATGAAATAAAATAGTGAATGATAATGAAAATGTGAAAAAAAAGATAATAATTTCTTATCATGTCAACATATAAGTATGCTTTACTGATCCCACCATTTATAATTTATACTATTCTATAAGACAGTATATTTTCAATCAGAAGATTTATATTGTCAGTGAAAGTATACAATAAAATTTTCTAGAGATAAATAGTTGAAATACATTTTCCATCCTTTTGAAAATCATTGACCACTTCTCTCAAAAAAAAAAAAAAGTCTAGATTGACTTTTCAAATTTGTACTAAAAACAGTATAAAATTCAAAATCCAATGTGGACTATTTTTTTTTTGGACGGAAGGAGCAGTGTATTGTAGAAGTTAGACAGTTAATTTGTGGTGTAGTCGGTTCGGTTCACTAGATATAGAACGATATTATGACCAAATTTTTATATATCATTCATAAATTTCAGGAGTTCTTGTAGTTTCCAATAAATTTGAAGAGGCAATTTATAATTGACCCAAACCTTAGGGGAGATAGACTTAAATCTTAATTTAAATGTAAGTAAGTATACATTTACAATTCGATTGTGACCGAGCGTTGAATATCGCGTTTCTGAGAGGAACCAAAATGGACAAAAACACCCAAATTTGGTCATCGTAATGGTAGCAATTTTCCTTGAACTCATCACATGTTCCACTAACCAGCATTTTCTCAAAACCCACTTTTTTCTTCTTTTTTTTTTTCTTCCCTTGTTATTTCCCCATCCCACGACAATACTTAAACCAATAAATAAACAAAAACCAAACGCTTTCATTCAAACACCATAAAAGAAAAAAGCCTAATTAAATAATGCTTTTACCTCCTCCTAAAACAGTTAGCAGAAGATTTTAGACCTGTTTATTTTTTTCTGGGGTTCGAACTTTGAAATTGAGTAAAGGGTCATCTTGGTCCTGGCTTTTGAATTGTGTGGACTGAGGTGGGCTCTGGGGTTTTTGCGTAGAAGTTGGAAATTCATTGTTTGTAATTGTTGGGTTCTTCTTTTTCCCTGTTATTTCTTGGAAAAATTTGTGAGTAATGGGTGACGAGAAATCGGGGATTGGGAACAGTAGTAGGGAGCGAGATCGGGAACTTTTGATTCCGGTGGCTGATTCCGGCAACGATGATTCTTCTAAACCCTCCTCCTCGGCTGCTTCTTCTCACCATAACTCCGGACGCGAGGTAAAATTTCGAGTTCTACTGAGAAATCTTTTTTCATGGGATGTGGAGTTTCGATGAAATCCAAGTGTGCTTTGCCTTTATTTTCCATCGAACGGATTTTGCCGATGTTATTTTGTGGCCTCTTTCTTTAATTTGGCTCTTTCTTGGGAGGAGTTCTGTGTAGATTCTGATTTGATTTGGGGTTACGGCTGGGGATAATTGCCAGTTTTATTTCATGGACTGATTCTTTGCTCTGTTGGTAATGTTGGTTCAAGGTTGGATTTGGAAATGAACTTCTGTTTACTTTGTTTTGAGATTGTTTTTGTATCAGCTTCCTGGCATATTCTGGAAGGAAAGTTCATTAAGTAAATGTTGGTTTGCTTACATTAATGATGTCAATTCAAGTTGGGGAACATAGTAAATAGATGAAAAGGGGCAAATTTTCTTCTACATACCATAAGTTGAATTGTAATGAGCTTAGATTCTTATGAATGCATATGTGATAGCAGAAGCACGTTTGTAATTTTGAATGATGTGCAAGATCCATTTCTGCATCAGTATGAACGGGTGTCCTGATTCATCTACTTGGCATTACTGACCATAGCTTTGCTGATTGCTTTGATGTCCTTTATTGTTTAGTTTGGTTTTAAATATTTTCTTGCCCTTAAATCACTTTGCAGACCTTTTACAAAGTCATTAGAAGCTGGGCTTCGAAGAAATTCATGACTGGATGGTAACTCCATGTTCTTTGTCCTCGCCATTCTTGTACTTTCCTAAATATTTTCTCTGCATTGAGTATGATGTTCAATTGAACTGAATATGTTATTGATGTTCCACGCTTAATGTTTTATAAAATATTAATTGTATTGCTACATCATTGAGGAGCGATGAGCGGTGCTCACTGTAGTAACTGTACAAATCACTTTCAGACCATAGGGTGTATAGAAGTTATATGAGTTCTGGAATGTTTTCTTATTGGCAACTGTGCTTGTTACAAGTGGATTTGCTATTCTCAGTGCAAAGCAATGTCGTGAAGGTAGGATCTAGTCTTTGGATAGAAATATGTAAAGTATTTGAATGGATATCATAGCAGAGTAGATCAAGAAATGCTAAACACTTCAAATTTTGTTCAGTATTCAGAATTATCTAAACCCAACTCTTTGTTATATTTGATTTCCTGGAGAAAACAGCTATCTCCTTGATGCTTCTAATGCTCTTAGATATCTAGTTTTCTCATATCCTTTTTTGTTTTGCAGTGTCATCCTATTTCCCATAGCCATCACCTTCTATATCACATGGTGGTTTATCCATTTTGTGGATGGCTTTTTCTCGCCTATCTATGCTCAGCTTGGGATTGATATTTTTGGTAAGTTTACCCCTAGATTGGAACGTTGAATATGATTAGGGATGATGTTATAGCGTGATCATACACTTAGGGTGGAAGACGAAATACCTTCTATATCTTTTTTATTTATTCATTTTTTTAAAATCTTGTTTTGCCTTAGAAAAGCTATTTTTGTGACTTTTGAGAGCTGCTAAGATGATAGACAACCAGTTTTCTTAATGTAATTTAGTCATGGTTTTACTGAGTACAACTGCCACTGGATTTTTCCGGTTTTCTGACGCCCTTGTGCCGTAATATCTGACAATGCTAGTAATATCTGACAATGATGACTAATTACCTTTCCATCCTATCTCTGATGCTTATACCCATTTCTTTTCTAGGACTGGGATTTGTTACATCGATTACTTTCATTTTCTTGGTTGGAGTATTCATGTCATCATGGTTGGGTGCATCTGTTTTAAGTCTGGGAGAATGGTTCATCAAGCGCATGCCGCTTGTTCGTCACATCTATAGTGCTTCCAAGCAGATCAGTGCCGCCATATCTCCAGGTGCTGTTTATCTCTCTCTCTCTCTCTCTCTCTCCCTCTCCCTCTCCCTCCCTCTCTCTCTCTCTCTCTCTCTCTCTCCCCCCCCCCGGGGCTAGGGAACTGATAAGTCATTATCAAATTTTTTGTTTTTACAGATCAAAACACCCAAGCTTTTAAGGAAGTTGCAATAATAAGGCATCCACGTGTTGGCGAATATGCATTTGGGTTCATCACATCATCCGTTACCCTCCAGGTATGAGATATGCTTCTGTTTCAATTGGTCGTCACACCTCATGTAGGAGATCAATATTTGGAAGTATCACCTCGGTTAAAATTCTCTATACTTTACTGTATCGCCTTGTGGTTTTTATATTCTCACTAGAATCTGGCTGCTACCAGAGTTGCTCCTTCATGCTTGTTGATTTCAAATTTTATCCAGAATCTTACTGTCCCTTGAGTTGCTTTTCTATTAGTAATACATTTAGCTTCTTGCTTCTCATTTGCTTGCCACATTGGATTCTCAGCTCAGTTAAGACATGACTTGGTTCAGAGTTATAGTTTTCTTCAGCTGTAGGTGGTGCCTGATTTTTTGTTCACGAAAACTTGAAAAGTGGGACCTGGGCATCAAATGTGAATTATTCCTGAATCATATAGTTATTCTCAACATGCTTCCACTTAGATAGGCATGCAATTATGGTATTCTTGAGTGAAGGTTTTCTCCATTGGTAGCTACCTCCCACATGTTTCATGTCCTTCTTGACGCTGAAAGGTTATGTTTTAAATATTATGATTGATACTACCACTTGACAATTTGTTGTTTTTTGCATCCCTTTTAAAAACTAAAACTCAAAGCTTATGCAATTGTCGTTTGTGCTTTTGATAAGTGTTACTCTGTCTAAAATTTTCTTGAATCCAGAATTACGCAGGAGAAGAAGAGTTATGCTGTGTATATGTCCCAACAAACCATCTTTACATTGGTGACATCTTTCTGGTCAATGCCAACGATGTTCTTAGGCCGAATTTGTCTGTTCGAGAAGGAATTGGTAAGAGATTCTCTATAGTATGAATGCATACTGCTACATATCTGCTGAAGATCTTTATGCGGTTTGATTTTGTTTACCTTTTCCCCCTAGTTGCAGTCTTCAACTAAACCCGGGGATATTTTTCTGTATGATGTTTGTTATACAACATCATGATTTTGTTCCAACATATTGCCCTCATTTGTCGTTTCAGAGATTGTTGTTTCTGGTGGAATGTCAATGCCACAAATCCTTTCAACGTTGGATCCTGCAGTTGTCCAAGTGGATAGAGTTAGACCTGACAGAAGTTAGGATGAAGACGGATAGCAGTAGTCGAATGGCTTGCTCTATCAATCCTGCATTCCAAGCTGCAGATATAGCCACGCAACTAGCTTTTTTTGGCAACTGGTATTAGTTTTGCATTCATCTACTGATTCTTGCAGTATAGAGGAGTTGGCGAAGGGTATATGATAGTAGGGATATAGTGGCCATTATCAAATGCGTTAAGCCTGATTTTGCCTATTGTTTGCATTGTATTGTGTTCTGAGTCTTTTGGTTTTGTTGGGCAACCCTCGTCTTTTTTATGGACTTGAGAATGAGATTTGTGTATATATATACAAATGCAAGGCATGATACTTCCAGATTGTGAGACCTTCTAACAAGCTTATTGTGCCTGCTGTTGTTTTCAAACATGGAAAAGTAAAACTAATTATAATTATAGTAAACTTGACTCCTGGCTGGCCAGCTTGTTATTATGCGCAAGCGCAACAATGGATGAAGGCAGGCAGCGAGCATGATTACTAGAAACACTGTGAAACTATTTCTCCCTGAGGACATTTTCGCATACATTCCAGAACCAAACATTTTGTCCGTAATTAAAACAGCTAATTTATACACTCCCCCGGCTCTTAGACAAATTGAAGGGTATAAATAAATTTACTGTTACAATTTTTATGTCACTCTTTTCATAGATAATTGACAGGTATTACTGTACAAAGTACTAACCCTGCCCAAATATTACAAAAACTCAATCCAAAAATGAGCAATTTGCAATGAAGATAGCGCTGATAAATGAAAAAGACAAAATGATCAAATGGTACTTTTAAAAATTACTATTCCTTCCTGTCTCAAAATTATTGTCCAGTTTAAATTTTTATTTTTAGTCTAATTTATACACAAAATGAAAATTCAAAATAGACAATTATTTTGGAATGGATAATTTCGGAACAGAGAAATTACAATGATTCTCGGTGATGAGTTTCTGACTTTATCAAAAAGTTTATCTTCACAATCATTCACTAACTTATACTCATTTCACCATCTACTTTCAATGTACTGTACATGTCCTTTTTCTCCGGGATTATAGATTGGTTACCCAGCTTCAGCTTTCATTCTTAATACCTTGAAGATGATGTAATACAATGGTTGAGGAGTAATATATTTCTTTTTTTAATACATAATGAGAAGAAAAATATGATTAAACTGAATAAACTTCCTTCAAATGAGGATCGCCGATTAATGAAATAATCAAGGAGTAACATAGTGTTATTACTTCGTAAATTTCAAGATCTTTTTTCTTTTCTTTTTTTTTTTTTTTTGATAAAAATTTGAAGATCATTGGAGGCTAAATATGTATCTTTCTAAACCAGAAGGGGTAAATTAGAGGCTAATGAACGTAGCGAATTTTAATGAAATCAAGCCTCAGAAGAAAGAGCGATCCGTGATCTTGTGGCCCAATTCGGTTAACAGATGAAGCCCAGAACTATCATACTGTAATTCATATGCGACAACCGAAATCATAAAGGGCTCCCTCCATCTCGCACCTCGTCATTAACGGGAGTTTCGGAAAAAAATGTAAAGTCTCGAATTTCCAAATCCAAAAGTTCAATTAATACAAGGAAGTCGGATTTCAAAAATTCGAAAGTTAGAATCTAGCCAAAGCAGTACTTCAAAGATAAATGTCTTATTTTTGGATCTAGCAAATTCGAGATAACTACTTCTATAAAAAAAAAAACAAAAAACAAAAATTAATTCCGTCCAGTCCGATCTTAAAAGAATATATATTGGTCAAAAACTCCGCCATAGACATGGTTCGAAGTTTGAAGGGTGGACGCCTATAATATATATACAAAAAAACGACTGGACCCTAAAAGTGAAAAGTCCTAACTCATACTTCCTTGTTCATTTGTTATACTGTTTTCGTTTATTTTATTTCACTAGTATTTATTCTCTGGTTCTTATTATGAAATATTTTAATTTGTTCTAAATTTTAATTATTTTATTTCTCAAATTAAAAATTAAACTTTAAAAACACATTTTTACGTTTGTTGTGTTCTTTCAATTAGTATAAAATATTTTTGAAATTTTATTTTTAGTTAAAAAAAATATATTAAATGAAATTTAGGACCACTCAAAATATCAAAATAACTTAGAGGACTAAAAAATACTAATACTGACTGAGTGAATGTGCAAGCCGTATCAAAAGTCAAAACCCTCGATTTCAAAACTATGGAGGGAAAACGAACCCGGCCCCCGGCCCTAAAGAAAGAATTGGAAGAGCAAACTAGCAAAGCACAGGCTGAAGCTCAACAACTTCGACAAGCTATTGGAAGCAAAAGAATTTTTTATTTATTGTCGAAGACAAGATAGAGAAGAAGTAAGAAGTAAGAACGACCAGGAATATGCTCAATCAATGTCGTTCCAGGAGCCGCCATCTTCAAAATTGAATCGTTGAATCACCGCCGCTAATCACCACCGCAGCGAGAAGAGGAAAAGGGGCTCTGAAGAACGAAGCAGCACGAAAATTACAGGTATCTGACATTAGCTATTTATTTTTTTGCGCCCTTATTACTGTAGGGCTCAAAATTGGGGATGAAATTAAGGCGTTCGATCACGGAGGAAATCTATTTCCCCGAGGAAATTTGGAGGAGGATCCTACTTAATTTGCCCACCGAAATACTGGTGAGATTCAGCTGTGTGTCAAAAAAGTGGCGTGATTTGATTCGAGACCCTTCTTTCGGGAATGCACATGTCAGCTATTATATCCAGCAAAAGCGCCATAACAATGCGGCCTTCCTTTTGGGACGATTTAGAAGCTGTAGCTTTTTCGATGAATACAAGAGATTCCATGAACTGTTATTGACTGCCAAATCTGAGGAGGGCGACCAAGGTAACTATGATACTATTGGAAACAACTTCAATTTTCGTTTCTCTGTTTTGTCCCCTGGTCTAGATTTACCCCCTTATGAGTTTCAGCAGCCTTACAAAATATATGGATCATGCAATGGAATCCTTTGCATCTCAAAATCATCATCCCGTTGCCATGTTTATTTGTGTAATCCAGCCATTGGGGAATGCTTGAGACTTCCTGCATCGTATTGGGATATGGGTGGCTTCTGGGATAAAAGTGTGCTGGGTTTTGGTTTTGATGTGCGCACTAACGATTACAAGGTCATCAGGCTGGGGCGGGTGGGCAGAAATGGATCAAATCGTGCATATGCTGAAATCTATAGACTTAACACCAACTGTTGGACTAAGCTTAAGGTTAAAGTGGGTAGTCTCATGGACAGTCTTGCTCCTGCTGGAGGAGTATTTTTTAATGGTTCTTGCTATTGGTCGGGGAACTGTAAGTATATTGGAGCTGCGATTCTCAAGTTTGACTTCTCCACTGAAATCTTTAGCCTGGTATTACCTCCGTATTCAAAGAGAACATGGAACTGGATAAGTGCTACTCCATCTGTCGTGAGTGATTCCCTGGCATTGGTCCTTGAAGGTAGGCTTGGATTATGTGAAGTTTGGGTGATGATGGTGCAAAAAGAAGAAGATGGGAAAGAGTCATCCTCATGGTCTAAGAAATGTTCTCTAAGATTAAGACCTGAATTACGTTTTCCAGCTATGTTGACTTGTTGGAACCACGATTGGTTACTATTAAGGTCTCGCTGTGGCAGAAAAATAAGATGCTGCTTTCTCGAAGATGGCTCTACTGCACAAAAGGATTGGGGATTTGACATTGGTTACACTGATGACCTTTGTGCAGTTGCTTTTCAACCAACTCTAGTTTCCCTTAAAGAGAAACTTAAGAGAATAGGTTTATTTTAATAAGTTATATTTCTACCAAGAACTATAAGTCCATAGGTTAGATGTTCTAGCTGCTTTTCATTATATAATTTATAAGCATACTGGTATGCAGTTTTAATTCCATTTGAATGTAACAGTTGATTCATTGCCAGTTTGCTCCTTTTTGTAAGAATTGTTTTATCTTGGTTTATCTGTTCAGTTGATTGGCAGATTGTCATAGTGCAGTAATATTTGGTGTGTTATATACATTAATGTTCTTTCGTTGGGAATAAAATTCATATCTTGGTAATTCTTTTCACTACCAGAATAAGCCTAATCGAAGCTTGTGTGGGGTTGTAAGTCTGCATAGTTTAGTTAACCTTAACTTTCAAAGGTGGAATTAGGTGAATGGGGTGTATCAGAGTGAGCTTTTTTACGTGTCTGCCTTGGGCCTGGTGGCTGTGTATTCGTTTTGGCTGGTATTGTAATTCCGGTTTAGCTTTGTGGGTGGTTGTGCCTCTGTGCAAAATTACTTTCTCATATCCTGGTGTTGTCGGGCTTTTATGTGAAAGGCCATTGGAATGATTGCATTAGGGGCTTTGGCGTTGGATATACTCTCAGATATGAGTGTATATTCTCACTGCATTTTGGACATTCCATCTGATGGGGAAGAGCTAAAAGTAGATGTCATAATTTTTGTATTTGGGTTCAGTTTTCTGTTTATTGAATGTGTAATCTTTGGTGCCGGTGTTTGCATCTTTCAGTATTCTTGTTGTGCAGGGTTTGTTCTTGTATCTTTTCAGCTGATATTTTCAACAGGGGTCGGGAAATTGCTCACTGCTTCTTTCCAATCTTTTCTGGCAAGGAGTGCTGAAGGAGCGAAGGTACCCCATTGACGAAGCCGAAAATTGGTTGTTTTTATTTTGCGATAGCTGTTTCTTCGTTTCTGTTTCATCTTTCCCCCCTTCCGCTTGTTGTTGGCCCTCATGGATAACACTGCCGAATGAAAATGCTTCCAAAATACCACATATAACAAGGGGTGAGAAAACAGAAGTTTCACGGGAAGGAATTTGTGTTGCCTTTTGAACAGTGTCAAACTTCTTTTCTAGAAATGGACATATGTTCCGGGGGGCTGAATCTTTATGGTGTGATTTTTCTTCAGTCAGTGGCCGTGTCATGGCTGCTTCGGCACTGCCTCTGAATGCCAACTTCCATGTAATCAGCCTGAAAGTTGTAAGTTTTGCCTTTGTTGTCCCTGTTTTCCGTTTCCGTCATGAACCCTCTTTCTTTTAGCCATTCTTATTTACTGATTTAATTCAGATGGAATCCTTTGGGAACCTTCCATGGTTTACCACTGTTGATTTTGTGGAAATTTCCCTGGGTCGCCAGGGTGTTCCAACTCAGTGTTAAAAGCGAATGAAAGCTATAGTGAATCGGGAATTGTATGCGCTAAACGAAGAAGAAGTGAGGGTTTGCCATGTTGAATCTAGAACTTGTTCAATTCCCGTACCGGAGCAATAGTTCCATGAGGATTTTTCCAATTTAGAGCATTATTCTGAGGGGCAGAATTAAAAGCACATGGTGTGGAAGCATAATGCCGAGCATCATTGCTACAACTGCCTAGAAGATGACTACTCTGAGATGTAGTTTTGATTATGCCTTTGTCTAGCTCAACCAATTTGTAATGTAGTACTCCCTCTATCCCAAAATTTATTGTCCAATTTGAGATTTCACTTTTAGTACAATTTGAACTAGATTTGAAAACTCAAACTGGACAATAATTATGGGACGGGAGAGTAATTCTTATCTGTACTTGTAGCACATATACTTTTAGTTTGTACTACTCTTCTGTGTTTGGAACAGTGATAGGTTTAAAAGGTGTTGTATTCTGGTCCGAGGATTTCTTTTGTCTCTTTGCATTGCTGAATTGTTTGTTACAGAGATAGGAAATAGGCTACGTTTCAGGAGTTTCTCCTTCCTCATGAATTATTTTATTTTGGCAAAACAAGAAAGGGAGAAAAAAGAGCAAAAACTGCTCTACATTTTGAAATCATATGGGACTTACAATTTGCTAGACGCTGCTATCTTTGTGTATGGGTCAAGTGGAAGGTACTGAAATGAAGCAAAGAGTTGGCATTCATTGACCCTTCGTCAGCTAATACTGAATAGATCATTTTTGGTTGTTTCATATTGCCACTTCAACCCTCATACTCTTTGATGTTAAACTAAATGAACCAGTAAAGTTATAGAGTAGTCCTTGCTGCTTCCACATAGCTTCTCGAGAGGGTTTTGTTATATATTGTTTCCTTAAGATTTTTCCTCAATGGATACATTCAGAATCTTACTTGCAAAACGTATACTGTGGACTTATGGTTGTCAGTCTCAAATCAGATTTCGACCCTATTTTAATTTTTTAAAAGAAACATTGAGGACGGCAAATAAACTCTCGTCCTAACTATTAATAGGAGTGTAGCATCAAAGTTTGGTGTTTTTTTTTTTTTTTTTTTTTTTTGTCACAAGCTATAATCATTTTTCATATACAAAAAAGGAGATGATAAATAGTTGCATACGACCTAAGTCGAGCTAAAACAGTCAGACTTGAATACATTTTCTAGCTACAAAGGAGATGACAACTCCCAACTTTGTGCACAATTGCTAGAAAGAGCTAAAGTGGCCAATCTGTAGCTTGAAGTATTCCATTGTATTTTTTTTTTTGTTTTTGAAAAGGATTCCATTGTTTCTAATAAACAAGAATGTAGGATTTTAAAGGAGTAACATTTTTCGGAAATTTCTTTGGAGTAGTAGTAAAATAACGAAGAGAGTTGCACAAAATTTTGTAAGACTGAAAAATTAGCGGGGACACAAAGGTAAGAGGGGCTAATAATGTTCGTCGAATGGGCCAAGATTAATGGGTGCGTAAAAATGGACTTGTAGCCCATTTCATTTAACAAATGGAGCCCAGAACAAGTAATATCACAACGGCCGAAACCCTAAAAGGCCTGGCTCCTTCTCCTCGCCTCTTATTCTCTCTATATAACTAGCTGAAATTAGCGATGGATCTCGGGTGAAGAGGTTTCATCATCACCCGCCTCCCTCTGTATTTCCATGGTGATTTTCCCTTTAGGGTTCTGCCGTAGTTGTAGTTGGTATTGTTGTTGATTCCCGTCTTTGTTTTCTTTTCGTTCAAAGTTTGGCCTATGATTAAATCCAAAAAATTGACAAGCATATGTCTGAATCATGCTCTGTTGACAAACCTAATCTTCTCTATGAGGCCTCTTCTACTTGTTTATCTTTTTTAATTCTCTGAGTTTGTTTTGTTTTCGCTTTTGTTTTGGTTGGATTCCGAAGGAAGAGATGTTGAATTCGATTCGATGGGGTTCTTTCATCTTCTTCTTGTTTGGTATAAAGATTAATAGATACATTTTAGCGTGTGTGGTTTGATTGATTGGTGATATGCCCATGATGAATGAAGTGATGACGTGTGTATGAGATTCAATCAGAGATTACAAACACAAATTCTACTGCCTTCCTTCTGAGGCTGTCTTTTTTTTTTCCCCTCAAAACCAAAAAGTAGATATTTTTCCTTTTGCTTTTTTTTTTGTTTTGGTTCTATGATTGTTGGAAGGCCAGTGATGATCAGAATGCATAGTTCAAATGATAATCTTTTGTGATTATAGAAAATCTTTCGCTCCTATCTGATGGCTTTCCACTCTTTTATATGTTCTGTTTTTCTCTAATCTTTTTGGCTGATTTTTTTATACTGTAATTCTTTGTGGTTTTTGATTAAAATAGGGGGACTATGATGATGGATATAAAGAAGTCTCGTTCGGCGTAATGGTGTTTGTTTATACCTTGCCGACCATCCTGATATATCACCACCCATAAACTGAGTCCCCCCCTCCTTGTTATCTAGTAGTAGTTTTGTTGTGTGTTGGGTCTATTGCCTTTCCTTTGATCTCCATTCACAATTGGATTCAGTATTGAAACCACATAAGATAATTGCAAACTGAACTGGTGATTAATACTCCCTCCGTCCCATAATTATTGTCCACTTTTACTAAAATGAAAAATTTTATTTTTGGTCAAACTTAACTATATTTTACCTTAAACAACCGGATATACCCCTACATAAGTAATTGTTTAACCATTAAGACTTTATGGATAATGTTTTTTACTAAGGACAAATGTGTAACTTGATCCATAAAAAGTCAAATTGGACAATAATTTTGGGACAAAATTTTTTAGGCAAAGTGGACAATAATTATGGGACGGAGGGAGTACTATATATAGGTTATGAAGAAACACAAAATTTTATGGGATGGTAAAGAAACAACAAACTGGAACCCATTGAGAATAGGATGTTGAATCAAATAGGCTTGAAATTATTATGGATCCAGGATATTGGTATTTACATATACTTGAATGAAATTAGCTACCTACCGGATTGAATTCGAATATGATATGTTTTAATAAAGGGTTAGTACAGAATAGTACTAATCACCAGAGTCATTTCATTAGTGAAGCAAGCACTCATCTCTGAAGCAACTGAGCCCTCATTCTGAGCCATGAATCATTATCGAAGATGGAAGATTGAAGAAATGCATGCGGAAAGGGGAGCAAACCAATAACCAAGTGAAAGAAACTAGAGTATCAATTATAATGGATCATATTTATCCATTCTTCTAAGTTGTAGTTATAATGGATCACATTGTACTGGAGTTTAGCCTGGAATGAATTTCTCTAGCTAATGATATAGTGTAGCATGTCTCTTCCTTGATCAATCCTTAATCTCTTGAAACTTCCAAGGCTTGTACAATACTCTCCGTACAAATGTACAATACAATTATTAAAAATGGGTCCTTCAAAATCTGTGACTATTCTTCTAGTCACAACACAGTTTCACTGAATTTATTCAATTGATATTTGCTTGTGTCGGTTCTTTTTAATTTGGTTATAACAGATTCAAGTTGTTTATTTCCATACTGCGGTTACTTGTTTTTTCCGTTTGACAAACTCCATAAGGCTTCATTTCTACTATTCCCCCCCCACCCCCAAAAAAAAAAAAAAAAGGCCACACGATTAATTCAAGCATAATTATAGAGGTATAGAATTCACCCAATAAAATGATACATTAAGGAATGCACTCACAAAAAAAATAAAAAATAAAAAGAAACGAAAATCGGTGAAATACCTGGTTATTGAATTTCAATTTGAAAATGTCTCTATTGTTCCTGCCCAATTCCTGATTTATCCCAAAAAAAATTCGAATCTCAGACTGTCAAATGAGTGTAGGATGACAAATTTCGAAAGCCAGAAAAATATGGGGGGGAGAGAGAGAGAGGTAAATGACAGCTGAAAGGGGGTGAATGAATGAATCAGCAAGTGAAACGAACTAGTCTCGCTCTCACTCTTTGCTGCCCGGGGCGGGGGGCCGTTACAGAATTCAGAGACAAAGCCGTAATGATATAACCTTAACACACTCTCTTTTATTTCCATTTACGTCTTCTCCTTTTTGAGTTTCAGGATCACACTCTGATTGGCTTTCGGATCATCAAAATTCCTCCCACCCCTCCACCCATTCCATACACACTCTCTTTTATAAAATAAAAAGCTTGTCTTTTTACAATCTTTTCTGTTTTATTCCCACAAACTAAATGTGCAGATTCTTCAAGTTTTCGTACTAGAACAAATCATCATCCTCCAATTCAGGCCAACAACCCACTCAGACAGCAGTCTGAATCCTGATTTAGACTCCTCTGCTTTTAAGGAAATCCCTGTTTGTCAATTTAGTCATATTTGGAATTGCCTTACTCTATTCAGTGTCTTTTAGGCATCGTTTTGTTTTGTTGTTTTTTTGGTTTTGTACATTTCGTTGGTTTTTCACCCTTTTGGAAAACGATATGCATCATCCCAAATCGGAACTAGATTTCACAGGCTCAACTCCATCAACACCATATTCTCACGTCTCATCGTCAGCCAGCCACCATCCGGTATACTTTGTACAAAGCCCTTCTCGGTATTCACACGATGCATCCTCCCGAATGGCGTCCGTGCAAGCTTCTCCGGTTTATGGAACTAGCCCGAAAGCTTCCCCGATTTACAATACTAGCCCCAGCGAGTCGCCTTTCCATTCGTCGAATCCCAGGTCTTCGTCTGCCAGCAGATTCTCAGGGAATTGGCGGTATTTGAGGATTAACAGGAAGAGGGCCAAGGGATGGCCTGAAATGGAATCCAAGGTGATCCCCGAAGACGACGACCCCTATACGGATCACGGCGTGATGATTTCTCCTTACCTACTGGCAATCATCGGTTCTGCTCTGTTTTTCAGTGCAGTTTGTTTGATTGTATGGGGTACTAGTAGGCGTTATGCAGCTCAAATCAGCATCCAGGTACCATCATTTTTTACTTCCCAAGTTTCTCCTGTTTGATATCTGATCTAGGAAATGCAGTGTTTTGGCCTGAAAGGCTGATCTCGTTTCATGGTTTCATTTACTGATCCATTCAGTTCGCATAAATCTTATAAATGAATGAAATTCATCATAGTTCAATACTTCGTTTTGAAGTGATTGTATATTTTCCAGCGTTTGAGCGTTACTGATTTTGACATTGGGGAAGGTTCGGATCGGACTGGTGTTCCGACCAAGTTTCTTACACTTAACTGCACCGCCATCACGTCCGTTCATAATCCGGCTACCTTCTACGGCATATATGTCACCTTCGAACCGATTGATCTAATGTACTTAGAAGTTACAGTGGCAACCAGCGAGGTATTTAAGCTTATTACTATTTACTACTATATCACATCCAAATCAGGAGAAACTACGTACTTTGTAATTTGTCGCCTAATTGCTATTCTTATTGATGGTTGTTGATCTGTTGATGTTTCTTTGTGAACAGTTGAAGAGACATTTTCAACCCAGAAAGAGTTCCCGCGATATAAGACTGGAAATAGAAGGAAAAAAGGTTCCCCTGTATGGAGCAGGAGCAGCCATGGAGGATGGCAAAGAAGTTCCCTTGAAATTAAGTATGGAGATCCATTCCTGCGGTTATCTGATGGGCGGTTTGGTGAAGACAAGGCGACATTGGCTAGTTTCCTGTTCATTTGTCTTCAACCCTCAAGGCACTAGAGATATCCGATTTCAACAGAATTCTTGCACAAATGATTAATTCTGATCAATTGCTGTGTAATAATCTTTTATACGGGAGCATTTTTTTTGAACTTTTAGCTAAATCTAGTATATGTGATTCATTCAGGCAATAGTGATTGCTGAATTCGCTGTGATCAAAATGTTGGCTATCATCACAATTTGTTCCTAAAAAACAGAGATATAGATAGGATGGTTGATATTCAGCTGCATCTGCAGCCATTCCGCAAATCTCTGTGGAAGCCCAACCAGAATCCGATCAACGCCTAAGGAGATAACTTTCTGAAACTTAACAAAGAGGCTACCATCCTCCAAACTAGAGGATTTCTTGGAATCACGTTTTCAAATTTGTCATTTACAAACGAAAAAAAATTCATTACATGCTTTTAATTGCTTCCGACTTTTCTTGTACTGATTTTGTTGTTCTCTGTGGATTTCCACATTAAAATACATTATATACCGAAACTGATGAGTTCCCTTTCTTAATTTCTGAGCGAAGCCTGACGAAAACAATCAGAGATCTAAAAGAATGGTTCTACACCTCTGCCATAACTGACCGTCGACCACTCAGCAGGTCCTACATGGTACACTAAAAAAGAAGGATATATACAATCACAATCGGGGGGAAATTATGGACCTAAATCCCAAAATAGAAGTTAACATGAAGAGGGTAACATGCAAATAAGAAGCAAGAAAGGTACCACTAATGAAACCAGCACCGCCATAACGAGGATCAGATGCAACCTCGCCTATCACTTTTCCGGCAAACCAAGCAGCTTCGTTTAGAGACCAAACAGACCAGTCCTTATATTTCCTACCAAAAAACAAAATAATAAAATGATAACGTGAAAACTCTTTAATCAACAAATCACAGTGTGAAAAAGAAGCATAAAGAGAAAAAGGAAATGGAGCCCTACTCATCATATGGAAAAGCCGGAAAATACTTGTTAGGCTCATGAGCAGCCACCCTCCATTTCATATCAATCAGCTCATCCACGTCTGAGAAGGCATAAGCAAGTGGAACTCCTGATCCAGAAGGCAACCTTCTACCTTTGATAATTAACCCTGTACGGTCAACTCGATACAATTGAGGACCCTAGACGAAGAAGGAAACCAGTAAATCTAGATTCTTAAAAGAGTAAGATGGCTCAACCAAACTCCTGACCGCCAAGACTAACCTAATTACACACAAAGGAAGAATAGTATCAATACCATTTCATAGTCACTGTCCCACCCATACTCCCACCCAGCAATCAGTCCCACATCCCCGCGAGAAGTCAGAGCCTCGGCCATCAATTCTGCTGCCTTAAGAGCAGGAATTCGTTTTCCCTGCTGCTGTTCCCACTGGTAGCACTAGCATACATAGGGTATGATGATCGATTATTTAAGGAACTTGATCATAAGAAAACAACCATATTCATATTATACATACTTCTTCTTCTGATTGGGAATTAAGATGGCAAATGCAAGAGGGACCATCAAAAGAAACAATCTGAAGAAAATACAGTATTAGCAAAAAGTACCTTCCATTTCAAATGAGACAGCAACGAAGTATCCTCGCCAGTGACTGTGGCAATCATGTGAGAACTAAGCGCAATAATGTTGGGGACGAATCCTAAATTGGATAGACAGAGTTGCTAATGTCATTATATACTTTAGAGAGATTTTATAATTCAGATGCTGCTCGTGACTATTATTTCAATAGATACATTTGCTAATGATGATGCTATCTAATTTGTTTGAAGTATTAAGCGTATTTCTCTTCTTAACAAACTTCATGGACAATGGATACCACAGGCTCTGAATGGATAAAACAACAGAATCAGGGAGCATTAAAACAACTGACCGTGTTTGGAATGATTAACGGCTACCATAACCTCTCCTCTCCCAAAGATAAAACCAAAAATTGGGAATCCGAACTCAAATTCATATCCACGTGGCTCTAGTAAAGACAAATTCCAGCTAGTAAACTCCTGATCAGTAGACAGTTCCTCATACTCATACCAAATTTTGTCAGGATTCACGATTTCCCCACCCTTCAATACAATCAAAAACAAGACAAAATCAACAAAATAATCAAAATAAGGGGAGGGTGAGAAGGGAGGGGGAAAATAGAAGAACTACTAACGTTGTCGAGGTGGATATCATGAGAAAGATACTTTTTGGGGCGAAGTCGGAAGGTTTTCACAGGGGAAGACTGGCCGGATTTAGCACCCACCTTCTGAGTCCAAGGAAAGACAAAGAAAATCCAGATTGAGACAAGCAGAGCAAAGGGAAAACCAGAAAAGCAAGATGAAGACGAAGAAAATATAACCAAAATTAAAACGACTAAAATAGAGATAAGTCACGCGAATCCGGTATTTATCCAACATCTCGTCCAAAAATACCACTTTACTCCATCCAGAATCAGCCTAGATAAGAGCAATACAAGCAACATAAAAAATAAATAAATAAATAAAAATTAAAAAGAGAGCCAGGTTGGTTCAATATAGTCGACGCCGGAAAAGCAGCCGGAATCAGGAGGATCGTACTTAATCCAAGGAAGACAAACAAAATCAAAAGGATCAAAAAGAGTGAGAGAGAGAAAACTCACGCCAGGATCAACCGCTGCTGGAACAGGTAAGGTTTCCGGATCAACAGAAGAAGAGACATCATCGTCGTCGTAGTCTCTGGATACGCCACATGGCAACGGATCAGCGCTGCTAATGGCAGACCAGGTTCGTTCGTTTTGGTCGGAGGCTTCTCCGGAATCAGGAGGATCAAACTTAATCCAATTAAGACAAACAGAGATCAAACACTCACGCGAGTTTCGGATCAACAGGAACCGGAACGGGTAAGGTTTTCGGATCAACAGAAGAAGAGAAACCGTCGTCGTCGTCGTCGTCTCTGGATACGCCACATGGCAACGGATCACCGCTGCTAACGGTAGACTCCATAATTGCGTTTTTGTTTTTTTTGTAGGTAAAGTGATCTAACAATCGGTAGTTAATATTTCTACTTACAGTCTATATTTATGCGTCCGTAAGCCCTGTTTTGGATTAATAAGGAGATGAAACTAAAAAGGTTAGTTTGTTAATGCCTACTACCTTCTACCCATAGTAGTAAGTATCGTAAGATACGTATCGCACGATACGTATCAAAATTAAGGATTTCGATATGTATCATGTTATGTATTACAATCGCTTGTGTATCGGTCAATTATCGATACGTATCGTACGATACATACGATACACGATACGATTGTGCGATACAAAAACATAGGCAAAAAAAAATATTATTAAAAAATTTTAAACTTTTGTTTTATAATAACCGTTTAAATTTTAAATTAAGAGCGAATTTCATTACAATTTGTTTTAAATAGATATTTCTGATTTATTTCTTTCACGAACATAATTTTTCTCAATTGAAGACAGAACCGCTTAATAAATTATCATAGTCTAAAAAATAATAGATTTAAAAATATTAATTTATTCATAATATCATTTTCCAAATGAAGTATAACTAATAGCATGTTGAATAAATGCAATACATGTTTATATGAATTTTTCTCACTATTAAATTTATGGCTATAATAACAATTATCATGAAAAAAGATATTTATTACATAGGTTGTACGACCATTATTGATGTAATGAATGAGTAATTTGTGTAACTTTCAAATAATCTTGAATTCAACTTAATCAATTTATTTGTTTATAGCTGAAAAATTAAAAAAAAAAGTATAAATATATCAATGACATATGGATTTTATGATATTTATTATTTATTTTATACATATTATTATATTAAAACGTATCTTACGATACGATACGCGTATCATAAATTTAGGTTTCCGATACACGATACGTATCACGATTTGATAACTATACTTCTACCCCCTCAACTCAACTCTTGAGAGTTTGATCCGACTTGAATTAGATCACTAATCCTCGTAATGAGGCGTTTATTTAATTATGATAATTGAATCGGTGAATACGTAATAATGAGGGCGTCTTCGGTTAATAATTTCAATTGTCTTCATCTTTACTCGTCTTCCACCACCCCCCACCCCAATCTCAACACCAACTTTCAATTTCAATTCAAGATAGAATGGCTGGCTACCCAAAATTTGTGAATTTCCAAAGTTGATGAGTAGGCTGCCAATTTTGAAAGCCGGGAAAATATAGAAAGGTAAGTGACAGCTCAAAGGTGCGAGAATGTGAGAGTAAGCGAGTGAAACCAATTAGTCTCACTCTTTGCTGCCCGGGGCGGGGGGCCGTTACAAAATTCAGAGACAAAGCCGTAATGATAACCTTAACACACTCTCTCTTTTATTTCCATTTACGTCTTCCACTTTAGAACAGAAAAAAACCTGAGGACTCCCAATTCCCCATACCAACCAAATTCTCCTTTTTGAGTTTCAGATTGGCTTTGGGTTTCTGGTAAATCAAAAATCCCCCCACGCATTCCATGCACTGTCTTTTATAAAAGCTTGTCTTTCTACACTCTTTTCTGTTTTCTCCAACCAAATCCAATCCCCCACATTTCCACACAGTATATGTGCAGATTCTTCAAGTTTTCGTACTAGAACAAATCATCATCCTCCAATTCAGGCCAACAACCCACTCAGACAGCAGTCTGAATCCTGATTTGGACTCCTCTGTTTTTAAGGAAATCCGTGTTTGTCAATTTAGTCATATTTGGAATTGCCTTACTCTATTCAGTGTCTTTTAGGCATCGTTTTGTTTTGTTGTTTTTTTGGTTTTGTACATTTCGTTGGTTTTTCACCCTTTTGGAAAACGATATGCATCATCCCAAATCGGAACTAGATTTCACAGGCTCAACTCCATCAACACCATATTCTCACGTCTCATCGTCAGCCAGCCACCACCCGGTTTATTTTGTACAAAGCCCTTCTCGGTATTCACACGATGCATCCTCCCGAATGGCGTCCGTGCAAGCTTCTCCGGTTTATGGAACTAGCCCGAAAGCTTCCCCGATTTACAATACTAGCCCCAGCGAGTCGCCTTTCCATTCGTCGAATCCCAGGTCTTCGTCTGCCAGCAGATTCTCAGGGAATTGGCGGTATTTGAGGATTAACAGGAAGAGGGCCAAGGGATGGCCTGAAATGGAATCCAAGGTGATCCCCGAAGACGACGACCCCTATACGGATCACGGCGTGATGATTTCTCCTTACCTACTGGCAATCATCGGCTCTGCTCTGGTTTTTGGTGCAGTTTGTTTGATTTTATGGGGTATTAGTAGACCCTATGCAGCTCAAATCAGCATCCAGGTACCACTTTCGCAAGTTTCCCCTGCTTTCTTTTTTTCAGAATTATAGTTGATGTTTCACATCTGATCTAGGAAATGCAGTATTTTGCCCTGAAACCCTGATATTGTTTCATGAATTTCATTTACTGAATTTACTGTTCATACATCTTATACAAAACAATGATTTGAAATGATTGCTTCTACGATCTGAATGTTTTCAGCGATTGAGGGTGTATGATTTCGACATTGGGGAAGGTTCGGATCAGACTGGTGTCCCAACCAAGTTTCTTACACTTAACTGCACGACCGTCACGTCTATTCATAATCCGGCTACCTTCTATGGGATATATGTCACCTTTGAACTAATTGATATAATGTATTTAGAAGTTACAGTCGCCACCGGCGAGGTAAGCTTATCAGTACTACACATTGAAACCAGAACAAACTGGTTCTATTATTATTGATGGTTGATCTGCTGAGGTTTTTGTGTGAACAGTTGAAGAGTCATTATCAACCCAGGAAGAGTTCTCGCAACATTGGACTAGAAATAGAAGGAAATAAGGTTCCCCTGTATGGAGCAGGAGCAGTCATGGAAGATGGCAAAGAAGTTCCCTTGAAATTAAATATGGAGATCCATTCCTGCGGTTATCTGATGGGCGGTTTGGTGAAGACAAAGCGACATTGGCAAGTTTCCTGTTCATTTGTCTTCAACCCTCAAGGCACAAGGGATATCCTATTTCAACAGGATTCTTGCACATACGATTAATTCTGATCAATTGCAGTGTAATAATCTTTTAGTTTATGGGAGCAATAGTTTTAAGCTTTTAGCTAATTCTAGCTGATGAGATTTCTAGTCTCTCAACTGCAATTCTATTTCCAGCGGGAAACTTATGGTTTTTGCACACTTGAGTCATTGCAATCATCACATTTAGTTCAAATAATAGAAGTATAGAATGATTTAGATCCAGCTGCATCTGTCTGTCGTCATTAAGTGATGCGAAGAGTTTTTATTTATGAATTACTCAGTTGGAAACAAGCCCCAAACTGCAGCAGTTGAAATCAAAGCCTGAAGGCCATCACCTTCTCAAATCTTGATGATGTTCACCAAAGAACTCTTATATGCTGCATGTACACAGCACCACAGTGTTCCACTTTGTTTGCATTTCTTTACTTCCTCTCTTCACTTGACTAAGGAGCGCCTAAAATGACTGACTTTCTGAACCCTAACAACTAGACTATCTCATCACCTCATGTTTTCACCTTTGTCATTTACAAACAAAACTTGAGCTAAAGCTTTTAAATGTAAATATTTTCTAGCTTCCTGAACTACTTCAGGTTTTTCTACAGCTAATGACCGTGTACCAGTGACACTTATTTATCAAAAGTGAGGCTAGTGTGATCAGGGATATCATTCCCCACTTAGATGCCTCTCTGCTACATGATACAGTATTTCACTAATGAGTAACTTTCAAGTTATTGGACGATTTATAATATGCACAGACTAAAAAAGACAGCTCAAAATTAGAGAGTTTATCCTTCCTATGATGTATTTCGATATACAATTGTACAGCTAAAGAACTACTTGAACCAAATAATCCTGATAGCTAGGGCATGTAAAGGAGGGATAGAAAGAATCTTACTGTGCAACAACATGCACAAGTAGACCCCCAAGACCTGCATCGATTATGCTCCCCCTACTTGGTTTCACTTCTCCTATAACTCTAATGTACGATTTTCAGAAAATTGAGAAAAATATCGAAAAGTAAGACAGCACCTTCAATTTTTAGGCAAGTCAGAAATACTGTTATTTTCTGCTAATACTGTCTCCGGCTTGTCAACAATGCAGCTCTCAGGAAGCACTGTGCCGGCAATTCTATTTGGAGGCCAGTACCGGAATATGGATCTTCCTATAATATTCTCTGAAGGTAGGGGACCCCTAAAAACAGTATAAAATTGGAACGTTCAGCTTCAATAATGAAATGGCTATTAAGAGACTCACGACTGAATAGCAAACTAATTTATTACCAGACATGCGAGTCATAGCTGTTATTTCTGTTATCGCCCATCACAAAAACTGAATCCTTGGGTACACGCTGCACCAAAGAAAATGAAAAAGAAGCTTTTAAGAACAATTCCGTTCTTCTACCACTGTACATAAATATATTGATAACTAATGTAAACTAATGCCCATGTTTACTGTTGATAGCCCAATCCGAATGTGTATCTGCATATTTAGTTTGTGGAGTTGATCTTGCAGGTAACAGATTTTGGTTCTTACCAACAAAATCAGGTACAGTATTATCTTACAAAAAAGCTCCACAACGAGCCAGAAAAAAAAAAAGAAAGGACGATGACTTACAATTGGCGACATTTCGTATTTGGGGGCTTCAAGAATAAAATCTTCACTTCTTGCTACACCATTTACAATGAGCTTTCCCTCATGAACCTGCAGTTGAACATAATTCAGAATGTGAATTTTTCTTTCAAAAACCCATTCAAAATTGAGCAAGCCATAGACAACAATCTATGCATTTAACCTCAACAGTATCTCCTTCTTTTGCAACAATTCGTTTGATAAAAACATCATCATCAGTATATCCTACTTCCTGGAGTACTGGAGGGCTCTTAAATATTACAACGTCGTTAGGACAGGGCTTTCTGAAATAGTAACTGACCTGCAAATGTTTTGATACAAAGTACTTAATAACCCGTTGACATCTGTTTTTGCGATTTGCTGATGATAGCAAATGCAAAATGCAAACAAAATTTTGAGATATTTTATACAAATACTCACTCATTACAGCAGAAAAGATAGAGCAAAAATATCTATATAAAAAAATTCTAAAAGAAAAGTCTGCTCTTAGATATAGGATTGCTCCCTAAAAACACTTGCAGTAAACATATTCTCAGGAGATAACATGTTTCTTTCATAAATATCTCATCATTACCAACTTAGCAAAAGATTTTTTATGGTACCTATATCTTGACCTGAAATTCCATTATTAAATAACTATATCTACAAAACAAGCCCCTTAGGAATTTAAAGTCTGTTTAGGACTTGGAAAATACAGATTATTACACTCAACTATCTGATCATCAAACCCATCAAAATCTGTTCACTATATCTTACAAAACATCAAAACAATAGCTTCAGCTGTTCAGCAGAAGAATTGAACGAATCGCAACCAAGCCTATAACTCGTTCAGGGTCTATCAGTAAATGCTGATTCAAGAGGCACCTAAAACCAAAAATCCGGGCATCTGCAATTGCTAAGCCATCTAAGCATCTGCAATTGCTAAGCCATCTAAACTCAAGCCTTCTCTAGAGCAAGCAGAAGGGCAAACTTCTAAATAAGTTCATTTTCTTAAGAATGTGTTCAGTCATATAAAATTTAACTATTGAAATTATCTCTGAGGCAACAAAACAAGTAAGCTAAAATCAGTCGACCTCTCAGAACAATAAAGCCAAGTGTTTGTTCAAATTCAGCATAAAACACACCGGAGGATAACAATAAGTCGTACCTTTTCAGCTACAATTCGATCCCCAACATCAAATGTAGGATACATGGACAACGAAGGAATAAACCTTGGTTCAGCCACAAATGACCTGAAGGCAAGCGAAATAGCAAATGCGGCAAAAACTGTTTTCGCATCATCAGAAGTGAAATTCAGCCATTCTGGCAGAAACCCAGAACCTTCCTCCCCCTTCTCATCATCGCCACCACCGCCTCCGTCGCCTCCGCCACCACCACCTCCTTTGGATTCCAATATAACCTTGGTATCTTCATTGGCGTCTTTTAACCCTTTGCAGTAGAGTCTATTAAACCGAGAATTTACCAAGGTTTTACAAGCTAGGGATTCAGGGCAACGGGTTCGAAGGGTTTTACCAAAGGGGCGGGAGCTGAGTGGCAGAAAGTTTTGGTTTTTGGAAGGTTTAAAGCAATGGATGTTAGGAAAGATAGGGTCTTGGAGTTGAAGGAAGGGGAGCTGAGAAAGAAGCTGTAGACTCATCTTAGATTCTTTCCAGTCACAAAGTTGAAAGGTAGTTCATCCTCAAGTTATATGAAGTCAACCAAAAATCTAGTTTCAAAATGAGTACTTTTATCACCACCCGGAATAATTTAAGAATAATAATCAGTATAAAGCAGTGATTTTTATACTAATAACATTCATCATAACCTTAAAAACATCAAAACCAACCCCATTGGTGGTTAATTTTTTGTATTTAAGTAGGAAAAGTTTCTTACAATATGGTGAATTCATTCTTTTAAGTTTGTTTTTAGTCTATGATCAATGGCCTTGTTTTCTGCTGTTGTTTACATTAGAATGAAGTTGGAGATAGTGGCGGGATTCATCTGACAATACAGCCTCTACCATTGGTGAATTCCCACTTTCTGTAAATCTATGTCCGCTATCGATGGAACAAGCATTTTTACTGGAAGTAGAAACAGCTATAGTTGATTTCCATTCAGATTCACCAGCAATACTGTCTGAATTCCGTGGATAATTTTATTGAATATCGATCATTCGTAGAAAAAAAAATACAGAGAAAGCCAAACAAACTGTGTGATTTCAGTTCATCGAATATTTGGATTTGCTAAACTTCCAAGTTTCAAAGCTTTGCCATCACAGATACATTCATGGCTCGATTTGGTTGTCAGGCTGTGAGTATCTTCTCTGTATCTTCTCGATTTGGTTGTAAGACTGCGAGTATCTTACAAGGCCGGAAGGAGTGAAAAGAAGATCATATTACCATGAATATATGAATGTCTTTCTTATACAATTGGAGCTGTATGACTCACTCCTGTGTGAGGCTGAGTATCAGAGACTTTCCTAAATGTTGAAATGGCAAATTTGACAATTTCATAAAACCAATCTACATGAATTTACATAGTCATACTTCCATAAGTTCAGCTGGAACTGCTTCAAAAGTCCTGTTGATGATTGCGCCTTTATTCTAAAGGAACGTGTGACCAACATGGATTTCGTTGCCATACTAAGGTTTTCAGTTGGCGACACTGATCTTTTCAGCATTGTCTGGCTTCTTAAGTTAGCAACATTAGATCCATTCTGATTGATCAGAATTGAAGCAGGAATTTGCCATCCGTTTGAACCCAAATCAGATGTTTCTTCTGTCTGATACACTTTTTCCTGCTCCTCATCTAACTTCTCATTCAAAGCATTCGTCGTATTCCTTCCATCATTTAGGTCACTCGTGATTCTTTTTGCCTCATTAAAGAAACCTATGGCACGCCAAGCATCTGCAACAAGCTGAACTGTATTCTTCCCTGGCAGAATACCCTTGCCTTTCATGATGTCCAAGAATTCCTCGGCTTTCCATGGTTGTTTTGCTTCTCCATATCCCCATATCAGGGTTTCAAACGTTTTCAAATTTGGAGATATATCCATTTTACACATCTTCTCATATATCCTCAAGGCATTTTCCATCTTTCCTGCACTGCACCAACCACTGATGATTGTTGTAAAGATCACAACATTTGGATGCACTCTTGATGAATCCATAAGTTTCAGGAGAGACTCTGCCTTCTCAGGTTCCCCAGCACGCACATACCCTTTGGCAAGAATGCCAAAAGCATGTATGTCGGGTTCGATGCCAGACTGCTCCATGTTATCAAAGATTTCTCTGCACTTATCCATAAGACCCGCAGAACTCCATGCATTCATGATGGTACTAAATGTTATCACATCTGGTTTAACTCCAAATTCTTCCATCAACGTCAAAGTCTGTACAAATACATGACTTAGGCCAATTTAGCAATTTAGTCACTGTATTTCTATGCCATCATATCACAAGTGAGATAGACAAAAGAGGAATTTCCTAAGCAACATTACTTCAGAGATTTATGGGACCGAAATGAGTATAAATGGAAATCTAGACAGTCTCAGAAGCTAAGCAGAAGTGACTATATCCCCAGCCTATAACGAAGGTAAAGTAGAACATCTTATCTATGAACTCTAGATTAGTCTTTTACAAGATATTATATTCAAAAGCACTGGGCTGAATCTACTACCTTATCATTCTTTTTACCTACTCAAATTATATCAGGATATGAAATTACATGAAAAGCAACGGACGCATGCCATATAGAGAACAGATGAAAGATTCAAAACTAAAGTAAAAGTGGCCTACCTCATCGACACCATCAGTGTCTGTGACATCGAGGAAACCTTTGATAAGAGAGTTAAAAATGATGAGATTTGGAGTCACCCCAAGATCCTTCATTCTGTAAACAAATCTTAGTGCATCTGACATGTTTCTTTCTTTACAGTACCCATTCACTATGATACCACAAGTTCGCTCATTCGGGGCTACTTTGCTAGTCTGCATCTGGAAGATCATTGCTTCTGCCTTGCTTGTCTCTCCACTCTGAGCATACGCACGGGCTAGGGTATTATATGTAACAACATCAGGACTCATACCGGAGGCAATCATCTTGTAAACTACATTCCATGCTTCTCCTATGTTGTCCTTATTACACCAAGCTCGGACAAGAATGTTGTATGTCCTATCATTGGGTTTCACATTCTCTTCCAAAGACATCATTTCCAACAGTTTCAAGGATTCCTCAGGTTTGCCAATGATCCCAAAACCTTTAATTAAGGTATTGAATGTACTGGCCGTGGGTTTACATCCTTTGTCCCTCATTTTTCTGAATATCTTCATTGCTTCCTTGAGATTGCCAGACTCAGAGAACGCATTGATCATGGCATTGAAGAAAATGGAGTCAGGTTTCAATCCATCTTTTTCAACCTTGGAAAGGAGCATAGGAATGGATTTGAAGCGTTTCTGGAGGGTCAGTGCAGCTAAAACAGTAGTGTATGTTACAAGTGTAGGTCTGTGGCCTTCTTCTACTAAACCTCTGAAAATTGAGTGAACTTCATGTGACTTCTTCTTCTCAGTCAGTATTTTCATCAACTTTGTTCTGGACTTAACAACTTGGCAACTGCTTTTCTCTGAACAAACAGGACAACCATATTGGACTTGAGAACTAACAGAAGCCGGGATTAGATTAGCTCGGTCCTTCTTAGGATAAGATTCCTGAAACAGCAGGAATTTGCACAAATATTCAGAATTAAGATACTAACTCTGCAGGTCACACAAGAGCAGAACGATAGTAGTAGTATCCAACAGAATGATCATTTGCATACAATTCAATGGCAAAATGAGTTGTATTGAATTGGGTGTAGCCACTCATAATCAAGTTAGCCCTATTCAAATTTTTCAAGGAAACATATGCTTAGCAACAAAATCATTGAATCAAACGGAAAACTATTAACAGGCATCACTAACTGATAAACAATTACTAAAACCAGTACATGGAAACTGTTGATTAGATTTCAGGAACAAAGAAATGTACCTTGAACAATGAGGCTTGACTCTTCGACTTGCTTGTCACTGCTCCATTCAGCTGCTTTCTTCCAACCGGGGACTTGGAATCCTCTGGGAATTCTCCCATCTAATTACACAATCAAAAACAGACTTAAAGCTGAAAATCTATTTAAATTAACGAATATCCAAACCCAATCTGATACACTGTGGGCCGCATAACTAGAGCATGAACCAAAACAGAAGATTCAGATTGTTCCCATTGAATCCTACAAATCAAGAATCAACAACTTTAGCTTGATATACATAATGGGACAAGGGTAGTGACAACTCGAAAAGAAAGAGTTTTTACCTCTTGGGATCCTCTCCATTTGCATGGTTGCTGGAGAAGAAGAAGAAGAACGAAAGAAAGAAATGTGCATGTATGAAGACAAAGAAAGAAATTGAAGTTTAGTCAGTGGCACCATTTTTTCTTTTGGGTGTGGAGCAATCTTATCCACGGAATATTATCAGATTCTACTCTCCAATTACACACTTGTTTTCTTGAGGCTCCCAGTAGAACGCAGCAGCAAAGTTTGTCAAAAGAAATCATGATTGGAGCACATATTTCCACGTCATTTTTTTCATTGAGTCTCATTTTTTATTTTTCTTCTTTCACTCCCTGTTTTTTAAAATTAAAAGAAGAGAAGAAGGAAAACACTCCAATAGCTTTCTTCATTCAAAAATCAGACCACATGAATAGTCAAAGTTTGATTCTCATCGAAGTATCAAGAAATTCTTGCTAATTGTTTTTTTTTTTCTCCATATTTGTAAGGTATTCACCGTCAATAACAACAGATTAATTATTTTGGAAAACATTTACGTGTAAATTAATACAATAAGTAATCCGTTAAGAAAAAAACCTGATTGTTTTTGTAAATAAACAAAAATTATTCATAAGCATATGTGCTTCTACACAAAATACCGGTGAGTCTAAGAAATCATTTAATAGCAATTCATTTGTTCAAAAATAATTATTTAGTTTGAATTTGTATTAAAAATAAAAATCCAAACGAGATACTTATTTCGATATGAATAGTCTAAAGTAGATAATTTAATTTCGTTCCACTATCCCTTCTCCATAACTTTACTCATTTTAGGGTATTCTTAGTTAGAAAAATCGATTCTCTATCGATTCTCCATAATCATTTAACCTTTTATCAATATCTATATTCTATTATACTCATTAAATTGTGCATGTTATTATTGAATGTAGTCATGATATTTCCAAAGGAAAATGTTAGAACATACTTACTCCTCACATACTCAATATTTATAGTCAATAAATATTGATGAACTGACATTAGTTCCTATGTGCACCTCACTCCTCACATACTCATCTTTATATTCATCAAGTCCAGCGAGTATAATCAAATTTCCGATTATTTGTTGTACCAAAAGAAAATAAAAGTTCCAATTATTAGCCAATACAAGTAAACCTAAGAATGAGATTTAAGATGAAAACTAGAAATGATAGATTTGTTACAATTCCTCATTTATCTTCCTGCTTTCTAATTATAGGTTACCTTAAACTTAACCCAAAATGAGAAGGAGAAGAAAAAAAGTAGAATCAACATATGTAATGTACAAATTTGTGTCCTAAACTATAATAAGGAAAAAAGAAAGTACCCAGTGTTTCTCTATTTTTCCGTCATATAAAATAAAATATCTCATCGTTTTTTATACTTCCTCTGTATCAAAAAAATAATCCACATTGATTCTTGATGTTCATACCAAATTAAAAACTCAGTCTAATCTATTTTTTTAAGATTAGTTTTGGAATCTAGATTAAAAACTAAAAAGATTGAAAATAAAAGAAGAAGAAGTTTCCATAGGTAATTACCTCATTGACAAAACAGCACGTTAAAATTACTAGGGACGATCAAAATTAAAATGACACAAATTACAGATATATAAATAGGTGAAAATACATAAGGGGGTGGATAAAAGAAGAGCCCGGGCGTCAATTCGACCCTAACAAATCGCTGTCTTCAAAAAACAGAAAGATTCATGCGGAATGGGCAGAAAGAGATGTTCCTTCTTCGTTTTGTGATTTCAAACCACCATTTACCCAATATTATTGCTGTGAAGCGCTTCTGAAAACCCTTGATTTTGACTTTTGGAGCAAGGCCGGTAAGGACCTCGCCGCGAATGATGTTGTTGAAGCTTTGGAAATGGTACCAGAATTGCTTGGCGGTTCACCCAGTTAAGACCCAAATCATCAGCTCCGGATTCCTTTGGGGAACTGGAGATATTATTGCTCAATCCGTCACTCATTCCGCGGCTAGGAGTCACCACCATTTACCCGTAAGCGCCCCCTTTTGACTTGGCTTGTATTTGTTGTGATTAATTATCGGGTTGCTGGAATGTTGGGTGATTGTTGATTTTTGTTTCTTTTTGGAGGTGGGTTTTGGATGGAATGTTATCTCTGGATTGATTTTTGTTGTTCGTATGAGTTGCATTCTGTTGAAAACTTGTAATTCGCTGTCCACATTCTATTGAGAATGCGAGAAGTGTTTATTCAAGCTACTTGAGTAGCTTTCCGAAATGTTGAATTGGTAGATTCGTCTTTTCCATTCCCCTATCAACGTACTTTTCATTTTTTTTCTCCCTATTTGGTGAAGAACTCCCTCTTTGTCGCCCTATTTTCCCCGTTTTGATATAGAGTGGACTGTGGAGTTATTCGGGATCTTTCGGCGGTGTGCTGGTTTTTCTAGGTGAAATACAGATTTCTTTGGCGCCGTTTTAGTTATGGTAGGATTCGAGTTTTGTTAGTTTAAGGAAACTCCTAAAGGATGTTCATAATATTCTTAGTAGTTAATACATTCAATGTTTCTGTTTCAGTTCAAAATCACTGCATGGATAACCAATTTTACTTTTATGAGTCTATACCTACTCGCAGGAGCTATTGTTCTGTTTAAAGGGTAAAATAGTCGTAAAGTTGTTTAATGTTTCTCTTAAACGAACAATTTGTGATATTAACTTGAGCTGTTAGAGAAATTTGATAATTTCCATTGTTCTAGCACCTGATTTGATGCTTTTCAGATTTTACTTAGTTACCATCAGAGCCTAATCTCGTTTAACTATTCTATCTCGTTTAACTATCTTGACTTTGTACTTTAATTTTCAATGTCGTCGGGTTAGGAGCAATTACAGATGTTTGTAGCTCATGAAAAGTGATCTGGGTCTCTTTTGTTGAGAATTTCTGAAAAAGGAAGATATTGCCACATTTAAGAAATAAGATGGATTTCTTAATGCCCTGGTTGTTCTTTTTTCTTATTGCCATTGATCTCTTGTATCAAAAGCAACTGACTCTTTGTTTCTTGTTCTTTCATCTCTCCGTCCTCTTAACATATGGTTGGGCTTGTAAATGGCTTTGAGTAAATGAACTCCTCCCTGCCCCAGAAAATGGTGTCCGTTCAATTTTTGTTGGTATTAGGACCGCTGTGTCAAGTATTATTATATCAAACTTTCTTGATCCTTAGAGGTTACTAATTTGCTCATTCTCACACCTATTAAATTGACTGGTGTTGAGTAAATGATACTGGTGAGGGTTTATGTAAAGTTTTATCCAAGAAAGAAATTAAAAAATGTATGAGGTTATGACTATTTGATTGCAAATAGATTCACAATCTTTTATTTCATGTTTCAGGATGCCGATGAAGAATTCAAAATTAACTGGAAACGGGTTGCCATTACAAGCATGTTCGGATTCGGCTTTGTTGGACCAGTTGGCCATTTCTGGTATGTAGTCTTTTGTAATTTCTCATTGTCCCATGGACCATCTGTTCCATTGGTTTTTCTCATTTACACCCATTCTACAATTTCCATTCGTGGGTAGGACAGTGAAAGCTTGACACCACATGGCTTAGATGCTTTACAAGCTTTAAAACACCTGTAGCACCTCCAATTAACCCAAAGAACTACCAGGGAAACACGTCTTTTGTTAAATTCTCATCGAATTAATGGTATTTCTTAAACTAGTTGCTGGCAAAAGGTGGCCTTCTTTTGTTACTGATACTATGCAAATTGAGCAAGTACATCTCTAGTCCTAGCTAGGCATAATGGATTCAAATCTAAATAAAAATGTGTCAACTGTCAGCAAGACCACAACAGCTATATCTGATCAATAGGCTATATGTTGTTGTAGTCCAACCTAGGCATTTCTCTGTATTCTTGGATGAGTTCAGTGTGATAAAACATCTTTTAGTACAGCGCTACCACGTGTGTTAGGTGTCAACTTCTTGTGATACCTTACTTGACCATGCTTAATTATATTTGTCATCTATTAGCACTACATTGAGGACCAACTCGTGTAATATAAGATATAATTTTTGGCTGTGATGTGAAAGGCCCAAAGTATCAGTCCTATTCTTGACTGTTTTAGAGCTGTTTGCGATCTCCTTTGCCTAAGCTCCTACGAACCAATACCCTTAGGAACATCATCAGGTAAGTTAATATCCATTCTTGTTCAGAGCTTTGTTTCAATATTTCTACTACATGGGTGACAGTTGTTATTTGGTTTAAGCCTCACTTTGCTTTGTACCTTGATAGTTACTCCGTGACAGAACTTTGTATGCATTTTGATGGAAATGAGTATGGTTCTGTTTATTTATTTTTTTTTGGGAGACTTGGTGTTTCATGGTTCTTTCTGTTAGCATGTTAGAATGCATGGATTTGTTACTTGATGGCCATGAGCACCTAGTAAGTTGAGTCATTAGGTCTTATCAGCTGTCAGAAAGGGCATAAAATGATGCACTTTATTATCACAGGTATGAAAATCTGGACAAGTTTATTAGACTCAAGCTTCGTATGCAGCCCAAGTCAATACCGTTTGTCGCCACTAAAGTGGCAATGGATGGCATAATATTTGGTCCATTTGATTTGCTAGTATTTTTTAGTTACATGGGATTTTCAAATGGTAAGAGTGCGACTCAAGTGAAGGAAGATTTGAAGAGAGACTTTATACCAGCATTAGTTCTCGAAGGCGGTGCCTGGCCTCTTGCGCAGATAGTGAATTTCCGATACGTTCCTGTTAGATATCAACTTCTGTATGTAAACGCTTTCTGCTTGCTGGACAGTGCTTTCTTATCTTGGGTGGAGCAGCAGGAAGACGCAGCTTGGAAGAAATGGTTCACCCAATTTTCCCCTTTCGAGAAAGAAGAACGAGAAGAAAGATGATTTGCAGAGTAGGTAATGTTGATGAAAAGTAGATGTAACGTTGAGGGATACGTTTTTGAATGCCTCTTACACCTTGTTGGCCCTTATGGGAAACTCAACCAAAGTGGATAATCATTCTTCTTTTTCTGAGAGAATGACCGGCCAACTCTTTTTTGCCAATGTTGTTACTTCAAATTAATATTCCATAAGTTGAAAAATCATATTTGCAGTGGCATGGAAATCAAAAAAGCAGCTGGAAGAAGAATGATAGGAGGATAGTCACTAAAACCGGGTAAAATAAGAGTACGCGAATTCTGAACACATCCAAAACGGGGGCCTCGTGTGATTGCACCACTTTGTTAACCCATTCAACATTCTTGTGACGATTCCTCTGATTTCTTCGCACACTATTCCTAGAGGAGGGGGGTAACGGAAAAGGGAAAGGGGGGTGGAGAACGAATTACAGTTTGCCCACTGATAGTTTGTAATATTACCATTCAAGATGTTAAAAAAGATATCAGCAGCAATGTGATTGACCTTTTTCAGTTGAAATTAGATGTCACCTTTTCAGCCATCATGATTCATGAGTATCCTTGGACGACTACACTAGCTAGGGCTGATTATGAGACTTCCTCCAAAATCGAAAAGCCCCCGAAAACCATAAAATCATCAGAATGAAAACAAAAACTGGGCTAAAGGGCGTGTTTTGCCATAAAATGAGTATACGAGGACCTTGGGAAAGACTGATGTTCTACCCATTTAGTGCAAGTACATTGTTTTCCAAAGTTCTTACGAGTGCTAGCTTTCTTTCAAGCTCATAGGTGAAGTGTGCCGATGCCTTAAAAATTGTTTCTACCAAGTCAAAATCGCAACAATACAAGTAATAAAAATGGGGAAAAAAGAGTGGGTAATGGGAGGAATTGGAAGCTTTTATCTTCAGTATTTTTGAGTAGATGTCAAGTGTTTTCTTGGAGTAAACAGTAGTAAAAAGATACGAATTGACTGAGATCGACTATGTTGGGAAAGAGAATCAATCTAGCTAATTGTTCAGTTCTGATATATGTGGCCTTATGAAGGATAGATAGTCTTGATTGTTAAACATGGCTTCAGCTTCCTTAGCCAGCTATGTCCAGGAGGAGACAGAGTAATCTACAATGTTTTAATCATATGGGGAGTGATTGGTGCTGAAAAAAATTGTTCCCAAAAGATGGGATGTACTCACACTTGAACTACTTCTTCCTGATATCAGGATTCTGGCTCGTGTTCTCATGTATTAAGCAGAGAAAGCAATCAATATAAACATCCATCCCGAAGGGGCCAAAAAAAAAGGGAAGCTGAAAGCCCTTTCAAGGAAAGATTCACCCAAAAAAAAAGGACCTCAGCTCTCAAATTCTTCAGCAAGGATTGGCATTCCTCAACATCGCCTCCACAAATAACAACAACCATGTGAGAGCTAAGCTTCTTCATGTTCCTGACGTCTCCTAGATTCAATAGACAAAGTTAGTAGTGGCATTTACACCCCACAGACATATAATCTATTAAACTCGGATACAGCTCCTGGTTAACATGTTCTCAAGTAAAACCAGCTCATACCAAAAAGCCTAACTTGCCATTTCTTTAACCTTTTTTTTTTTGTCCTAATGACATTGGAAATTATGATATCTAATTTCATAGAATTCTCGCAGATTTTTCCTCTATACAACCAAATTTAATTTATGGACGACAATGCAACTGAAGCACGAAAAAAGATCAACCAACAGCTGAAACGTATTTCCCGCTTTATGGATTGGACAATTATTAATTGAATGTAAATAATAGACAACAGTCACAACACACCTGGACAAGAATGGTTAAGGGAGGAAAAATAAGGGAGAAAAAAAAAAAAAAAAACGGAAGGAGACAAGAAGAAGAGAACTAACATTTAGAAGGTGGTGAGAATAAACAGAGGTAAGCTTCAGGCAGATGTCATTATTCACCTTCATCCAAGCAAGACAAACAAAATCAGATGAAGCATGAAAATTAAACAAAATCAGATGCGACGGGAAAAATAAACAGAATCGGATAGAGACGGAAATCGCACATTAGGGACGGCAGGTCATCTCATAATCTTTATCTTCCTTAACAAATTCAGTAGGAGTACCCGCGGAAAATGAACCGGGGCTACTCCATCCAGCATCCATGATTGTCAAACCTTTTTTGCTGATTTGAAGAGTGGTACATCTAGTCTAGAGTGTAAGATGCATGGAAGAGAACTTAGGGTTTCCAATTGGCTTTTCTAGGCTATTATCAAATACACACCTTATATTCCTTCCATAATCGATATGACCCCTGTGTTTTTCTAATTCTCCTCAACATCCCTTAACCATCAGGCCTTTACAATCAACCATTAACTTTGGTGGAATTGTTTAAAACACACACTTATATTCCAATCAACTTGAAATCCCATTCATGCATTGTTTTTCCACTAAAATAAGTATTTTGTTACTTGTTTATATCTTATTAAGGGGCATTTTTTAAATTTATAAATTATTACAGTTACGTTTTCATTAACTTTGAGGAGTTTTCGTCCAAAATCCAAATGACTAAATCGATGATAAAATTCATACCTTTGGATCAATTTGACAAAGGCATCAAACGCTTGAATGCTTTGAAATGTGGTTTTAACTTCCACGTATCTCTCCCATTTACGGATTTGATAAGATTCATTAAATTAACAGCTTAATTGAAGATATTATTTTCTTAATTCATCGTTCAAATTTGAGTGTGATGTTTATCACATTGGCGGCTAAACGTACCAAACCCTAATACGGTATGATTTGATTCCTTCTGCTATATATATATATATATATATATATATATATAGAGAGAGAGAGAGAGAGAGAGAGAGAGAGAGAGAGGGATCTTTGAGGAATGTAATATTGATCCAAAAGCTTCTTTATATTGGTCTATCAAATATGATATGCGACCATACACATTCTTTGTCATTTTTCTCTTATATTACTTACTGATTTGTGGTCTAAAAAATATTAGTTCTAATTCTTATTTCATAAGTCATGACAAAATAATTTATATTTTAGTTTACTTTCAAAATTTCCATTAATTACTTCCAATTCTATTTTAAAAAATAAAAATTATATTGGTCTATCATCGGAATTGATGATGAATCAAATCCAAGATATGTTGATGATTAACAGAGCTTTCACCATGGAGGCCACCATTGTTTCTGCATAACGTCAATGATGAAGCTGAACTTCATTGAAAAAATCCTCTCAAAAAAACCAAATGAGCAGCAGATTAACAGCACCAATAGGTACATAGATAAAGACTCTCTTTGGTCTATTAAAGTATATCTTTTGGCCTAGCCACGATCGCTGTCGTGCCCTTCTGTTGAGATTTTATTCGTCGAATAAACTCACCGGATCGTGTTTATTCTCGCTCACCGCTGTACTAGAGGATTAAAACCGAATTCGGTTTTGGGTAATCTGCAATTGAATCAACGATAGGATCAAAACCAAATTCGGTTTAGGGTAATTTGCAAAGAAAATAAATTCCAAAACACAACATTTAATATGGCTGTTTGTAGTAATTCTCAAGAAACAATCACTCACACTAATCCACCCGATATAGTTATCATGTCTATATTTATTCCCAATTTTTTTTGCACAGTTTTGTATTTTTCAAAATTATCTTATCAGTTCATTAAAAAAGAAAAAGATAACAAATTAATTATGATTGTGATTCCAGCTAACTAGGGCTGCTAGTTTATCTCAAAACCCTAATTTGCAACACAAAGACTGGCTATAAATACAATCGAACGGCCAAGACATTGACCAAATACAATAGCGCATCCGATATTTTTTGTTCAAACCCTGGGAACAAATCATTTGCAAATTACTAAATCTTCTAGTTTTTTAATTTATTTATTCTTTTTTTGGTAGTTTAATTGATTCCAACCCCTCACTTTTTGTTAGAGTGGGGGATTGAACTCATGACGTCCTCTTGGAGCAAGGGTGGTGTTACCACTGAACCAACTCCTCATTCGCAGAAATATTAAATTAACAGATAAAACTATTGAAGGTTTTAACCTATCACATACTCATAACCTTTTAATGAGTTCGGTGCATAGTGATATGTTGTTAAAGATGAAAATAAAGATGGAATGAGACTCCCCGTTTTTTCTTTTTTTTGAATTGATATATTGTCAAGTGTATTTGGATGTGATGATTGATTTTTTATCTTATGATAACCCAATTAAAACATAGTCAATTTCAATTTCTTGATATGTCACTAAAAATGATTATTTTAATTTTTCCAAAGTTCATTGTGCCGATTAAACTTAAGTAAAGGTAATTACGAATCGTTACATATTTTGCAACGATAACTAATTAAAACATCAGCCAATCGCTCTCGCAAGCAATATTTTCGGACCCGGACCGGAAAACGAATCGATGAAGTTAAAGAGTCACTGGGGCATTTGGTCAACCAGTTAGCCCAGGACAAAAAATCGGATTAGAGCGGTATGACATCATATATAATTTTCAAATTTAAAATATATAAAATATGTGAAATCTAAAGTTATTAGCATTAAATTATTAATTTTTTGTTAAAATATAAATAAATTTTAACAATTTAAAAATAAGATAAGACAAAAAAAAATATTTATAGTTCCTAGTTTCTTTGACGAGACGGTAATTTTGGCACCAACCAATGACAAAGGTGATATAATCAATGAGCATATGCTGGCACAACTTAGAGGGAAAGCAAAGATATGTTACAGTTCTGAGGGCATCTCCAACGCATCCGCTAAATCGAGCGGACGCTTGGATTTAAAGGAGTTGGGTGCTCCAACGGCCTCCTCTCTGCTCCGCTTCTCCGCCAAGGTTGAAGGAGTACTGTTTCACGGCTCCTCTATTCTGGTGGCTCCTTTTCTTTATTTCTGATTTTTTTAACTAATTTTTTGGGCCACATTTAGGGTTTTTTTGTTGGGTTTTTGATTTTTATGGGCAAATTTGGTTCACTTGGGCCGTAGTTCCTTGACCTTTGGGTTTTCCAAGCTTTGTTTTTTATATCTAATTTTTACTTAATTTCTTAAATAGCAAAACTAAAAATATAAATAAACATAATTTACGTGTAAATAGCAAAACTAAAAATATAAATAAACATAATTTATGTGTAATATTTTGTTATTGATCTAAATACATTTTTCATATTTACTAATACCAAATTGTTTAATTTGATTAATATTCAATAAACAATGTTTGGTATAATTAATTAAATAATATATTGAAAATTTAATCTAACAAACAATAATATTTTACAATATTGATCATATATCTAAATGAATGCTTTTCACTAATTAAGAATATTAATGGATTAAAAAATACTATTAATAATAAAATAAAATTATTGATAAAAGAATACAAAAATATTTGTTTAGAGGAGAATTATAGAGGGAATGGGTTGGAGATACTGACATTGTTGAAACTCTAAAACTAATAGGATTTCATTGTAGCAACTCTATATATAGAGTTTAGAGGGATGTTGGGTTGGAGATGCCCTGATTGCGTAGAAGAGATACCAGAGTCAATAAATCTTGAGAACGATGAGGTTTACACAGAAGAATTTCTCAATGCCATCAAGTGTTCAGGAATGCCAAATCACAAACTATCACTTAAGGTCAGAGTCCCGATCATGATTCTTTAGAATCTTGATCAGCCAGACGGCTTGTGTAATTGTACCAGAGTACAGTTCAACTATTTGAGGAACGAGTTATTCAGACTACTATTATATCTGGTGTTAATATCGGTCGCAAATGTTTCATTCCGTGTATGAATATCAATCCGACTGACGAGAGGATGCCAGTTAAATTAATACGGAGGCAATTCCCAGTTGTTGCATGTTTTGCTATGACGATCAATAAGAGATAAGGACAGTCGTTATCTCATGTTGGCTTATTTCTCCATCATCAAGTTTTCACCCATGGACAACTTTACGTTGTTTTTTCTAGAGTAAAGTTCAGAAAAAGGTTTGAAAATAATTATTTACAATATGAAGGGAGAACTTTGCAGCGCAACAACAAATGTTATTTACAAAGAAGTACTTGCGAATGTATTCATCATTTATTTTTTTTCAGTTCTTTCTCTGTTATTGATGTCACAATTTTTTTGCATTTTAATATATCTGTTAATTGAAATACTTTTAAAGAATCAAATATGTCTCAATTGTGCAACGCACAAGCACAATACTAATTTTAAAAAAATAAATAAACTTTAATCGAGAAAAAAGAGATCAATGCTCAATGAGTATCCTTTTCAAAATTTTTGTCCATTTATCCAATGGCTCTTTTCATTGATGCTAAATTCAAGCTGCTTACCAAAATCTTACTCCAGTAGTCCTAGAATGAATCGTATGAGCATTTGAGTACCCTTAAATTTTTTGGCTAACAATTACATTAATCGAGTTGTCTATCATCATCAGCGAGCACGAATGCGAGATTAGTCATTGTTATTAAGTTTACATCATGAAAATATGCAAAGAATAAATCGTATTACTCAGATGGAAACCGAAAACGTACCTTTATCCATCAAAATACTCTCCATTATAAATTGTAAATTATAAAAATCTTTATAGTAAAAAATATTAGGGTGATGGTAGTTAGTAATTACCATTTCTGTCCGAGGACATGACCACAACCTTCTCATTATTCCAAACTTCACAGTTTCGCACTTTCGCTACAGATATAAAACATCAATACCATAACTTGAAAGAATTAAGAGGAAATTCAGCAATGGAATAAATAAATAAATAAATAACTAAAATTCAAAGAACAAAACTTGATTCCAACACGAGAAAATGGGAATATGAACTGACCTGTGTCAAGATTAATGAAATGTCATTATTTGAGTATTGCCGTGTGAAGTCCTTCAAAATAAACAACCTAAGAGCAGTGGCGAGATATTTTTTTTTATAGAACTTTGAACAAAATTACGCCTACTCAATTTTTTAGAATATTGATTACTACAATAAGCTCATAGCTAGTGTAGTTCGGTAGAAAATGTAAAAAAAATTATTGGTACTTCAGAAAATGACATCGGTGTTGATAATCAAAACATAGCTTTAAAACAGCAATCATATCACACATCACACAATTGTTTTTCTTCGAAACAGCAATCATCCAATATTGTAAACAATAAATGATCGAAAAATAATCCAAAAAAAAAAACGACCTGTAAGAGAAGATCATGAAATCTCATACAATCATTGACAATAGTGGATGATAAATAAAAAAAGTAATCATTGTTATAGTACTTTGTGAAACGGTAAAAAAAAAAAAAAAAAAACCTTTTCACCAAACTTACTTATTTGATGGATATTCTTGGTAGTAGCGGAAAGATTTTGAAACTCCCTTTCACTAATCTGGCAATCTTCTTTTGATGGGCGGCAATTCGAGTCGGGTGATGAGGCGCAGATGTCCGTTTTGATTATCTGTTTATTTTAAAAACTTTACGTCTGATTATTAAGTTAATAATGGAGAAGTTGATTTTGAAAAAAAAAAAAAAGGAGTTCTAGGGGTTTTGGTTATTAAAAAAAATCATGTGATTAAATTTGATTTATATCAAATCCTCCAATTAACTACTACCTAATCACGATTATGGGTTACTTTAAAGTTTTTTTTTAAAGGGATCAATAATAGTTTCCCATTTAATCCCGTAACCTATTAGAAATAGGAGAACTATCTTACTACTAAGCTGCACCTCATTGTAAACTTAAAGTTTTTTTTTTTTTTCAATCACGTACAATATCACAACTAAAAAGAGTATTCATATATGAATCTGGTCTCATTATTAATCATTTGATATAATATATAAGGATTGGAGGTTAATGAGTTTATTTGTATAAATATATATATATATATATATATTCCTTATATATGATATTCCCTTCGATCCTTATTATAAGACATTTTGATTTGACATAAGTTTCACCTAATATGTTTTTTTAATTAAAAAAAATCTTAAAAATACATGTTCACATTTTTCACATTCATAGGGGTCTCCTCATTATTAAGAAATATTTTCAAAGTTTTTTTTCATCGAAAAAATATATTATGCGAAATTTAGGACAATTCAAAATACTTGATAGTAGCAAGGACAGGAGAAAGTGTTAATTTCACCGATACACAAACATTAAAGTAGCGTGTTCAGAATACTTCTTTGACTCTATAGTTTTATCGGGTTCAATTTTTATCGTTTCTTGTTAAACTGATGGTCATGGTGCAAATTGGTCCAGATGGGGAACTTAAAACCAAATTGAATACCTCTTTCTTTACGTTTCTCAGTGAGTCGGTCGAACATATGGAAAGAACAAAAACCAGATAATGTAGCTGGAATAATAAGAATGATATATTCATAAACAACAGATCATGTACAAAATTTTTTCAGTCAACCACTACGTTCATATATACAAATAACACTCTCAAAGTTAGCATGGTACAGGTGGAGGAAGCTGTTGACTTCTAGGGTTCCAGCCACTAGTCTTTTCGTACTCCTAAATTTGACCACCATACTTCAGCTATTTTACCACTCACGCAGAAACATGAACCCTCTCTTTGAACTCAGTAGTCCAGTTAGGCTAAATGATAATGTAGTTCGAATCTTTGTGCTTGGGATCTAAAGAAAAGAACTGTGACCTCCACAAATGGGTACTCTTGGCTTGAATTCAGCAGATACAGCCAAACAAGGGCAATGCTGAAAGTGCACGCTCTGAAACAATTAGAAAAATTTAACCACTAAGACTCTCAAATGACAACATAAAGAGAAGAGCCTCAGTTAACAGATAACGGTGCAGAAAAATTACAGCAACCACAACAATGATGTTAACAACTCTAATCTGACATAACGGAACAAGTTTCATATGTATAAAGCAGTGCCTGTCGAGCATAGGCAATGGGAAAGGACCTGAATAGAAGGAAATAACATCAACAGTTTTTAGCTTATAGCAAAGCTGTACAGTATTAAGAACAACATACCGGAATGCTAAGTAATAGGCCTCGAGAATCCACCAGCACAGGCAGGCTTCGTCTAGCAGCAACTGGGATAGACTTTAAACTTAGAAGAGCTTTGTTGGCTGACAGCTTAACAAATTCTGACCATGGCTTTATTTTCTGCTTTCCTTGCTGTTTTGCTGCATCTGAGAGTAAATGCTCAGTAGAACTTTCCTCATTCTCACTCTTTGACAAATGTGCAAGATAGAGCCAGTCAGAATCAACCATGCTACGCACCTCAGCGCCTTTATTATGATCAACTATACAATAAGTGCAAGGCTTCTGTTTCCCTATTACGTATTCAGATACATTCTCACTGGAGGAAGATAGACTTGGAATTTTTATGCAAGGGTTCCACCTTATCAGAAATCGATTCATAAAATAACAAACTTGTCCTGGATAAATGTTTCTTCGAGAACTCACTCTGACCGATTCCCCTTCATCATTTAAGCCATGATCATAGATGGCCTCGGTTGTAGGCTTAAAATATTCACTTTCTTGATTTTGTAAAGAAACAATAGTATCAAATGTAGAGCTACTGAGAATGCCCAGCCTTTTGGCTTCGGTTATTACGCACTCGGAAAAACTTCGACCCCGAAACTGAGAAGATGTTAAACCTAAAAGACGATCATCTGTATCGCCAGATATAAAACTTTCCGAAGAAGATTTGGCATTCTCAACTATTTGCTCTACTTCAGTTGAAATAGAGGGATGTATATCATTATAAAGTGCTTGAAGCACCTCCATCTTCAAAAGGGCACTGGAATCCACAGAACAGCAAACTAGGACTTTGGAGCCTTTAGAACCAGGAGATGGACAAAGATAGCAACCAGCTGCTGTAACACAAGTCTAGAGTGGAAATAACAAAATAAAGAAATCCACGGCTGATTAGATTAGGAAAATGTAGAGAGGAAGGGTTTCACGCCATTTGGCGATATCAGAAATAACATGGACTCGAAAAGTACAGTAACGCTAGAGAAAGGGGAATTGCGAAATTGCAATCACCTTGCATGGGGAAGAACGAATGTAGTCCATTAACAATTTTGATGCACTGCCCCGAACTGGCTTATGTCTTTGCGAGATGAACTGACATTTTCAGCGCAATCATTAGCATGGTATCCAATTTCTGCAGTACTTTGCATACATTTGTCCATAAATTGCAATCAAGATGGACTTACTTGCAAAATCAATGTGAGGAACTTCGATAGAATAATATCATCAACATAGCCTGGATCTAGAATTCCAACATTGATTACTGCATAGCCTTCCTGGGGAAGAAAGACAAAAGTATAGCTCTTCCTCAATAATAATATCCATTTTAAATTTACTGTTCATAACTCAATCCACAAACACAAGGACAAAACTTAAAAGGATTCTATATTTCTATGAAAAGCTATACATACTTAAAAGACTTCTCATTGATGATTATTCTACTGAAATTTGTGAATGTTTATGAGACGAAATAAATGTTTTATCAACAAGAACCTCTTTCAAAAGGAGCAAAGCAACAATAGAGAGAAGAAATTTCCAGGATTACAAAAAGCCAAGGTACAACAAGAAATTATTTTGGTCTATAACTTAATAATTGAAATTCAAAATTTTCATTTATTCTGAAGACCCTCAAAAGCTATTTATCAAATTAAAAGTAAGGAGCTAGATGGAAAATCTCCATGCGTTATATTATATAGAGACACTCCAAAAAAGCCTACTTACAGGCATAATATTTACAGCTTCATTTATCAGCTTAGTACAGACTTGGTCAACATGCACCCTTGTTCTTCTACAGGCAGAAATAACTGCAAGTAATTCAGCCCTGAAGATAGCTGCAAATAACAGTAAGAAAACCTTCTTCAACGAGGAGAACCAATTGAACTGGTTGTACTGAAATGGCTATTCTGCAAAATGTCATAATCAAATGTTCAACTTACATGATGATAAATTGTTCAGACCCATCCTGATCCTATTACGAGCAAATAATGAACTTTGATTCGTTGGATCTTCCACCCATTCTTGATTGGCTCCTAGGCAAATCTGCATCATTGACAAATATCCATTCATAGTAAAAGATCCAAATGACAAGATTCCGAGGAAGTATTGAGACTTATTTTATATCAAAAAGACTTACAAATTTGATATTATAGCTTGACTAATGAGCTAAACAAACTTAACAGTATAGAATTGAATCTTGTATTCCTTTTTCAATAACAAACTAAATAACTCTAACCTGGTACATGTCTTCTTTTGAAAAATCAAGAAGTGGTCGAACCAACAAAATTCCGGGCCAACTTAAGAGTTCACTAGAATGATATGTATGCGTTGGGTACAACTGTGAAACGAATGCCATGCCAGAAAGTCCAAGCACACCACTAGAGCGCGATAATCTTAGGATGAACAATTCTGCCTGCAAAATGCTCACATCTAAGAATGACTATGGTACAGTTGCCCCTAAACACTAAAGTTGTAGTTAAAGCAAACAAGAACAAAAGTTTTACCCCCAAAAAAAACTAATTATCAATTCCATTCCCATTGGTTTAGCACATCAGGACACAGAAAAACATTACAATCTCACCTGGTCATCAGCATGATGTGCAATCAATAATACACCAGTCTTATGTTTGATGCAAATATCTCGAAGAAGCTGATACCTAGAGCATTGAAAGGGGAAAATGAACCGAGTGGCAGGCATTAAATTCAAATCAAATTCAAATCTAATGTATGCAAAATCAAGTTTCCTATGGCTCAATATCTGGATATACATTATCACCTCTTATCACGAGCAGCCTCTTGCAAGTGACCAGGCTTGGGCCTACCCTCAGACCATTCACAGGGAGCAATCTCACATCTTACTCCTACATATAGCTCACATTACATCTCTCCATGATGAAGTCAGAATCAAATGAGGTTTCCATTGTGAAACCTCCCAACAGAAAAGAAGTTATCCATACCCATATTTCTAACTCGATTGCAAACAAGGTTTGCCTCATCTTTACTTTCAGGGCGCAGTCCATGATCAATTACAATTCCTACCAGACCATCAACGAATTCATCACTTTCCTCCGTAGCAACAGCACAATGCCCATCTTTCTTCCACATTGAAGCTAATATACAAAGGGCCATGCTGTCAGGACCACCAGAGACCCCGATAGCTGTGAAAGGTCCAAAAAGAAAAACAACTTGCTTAAACATTCTAAGCTCAAAATTATCTCCACATACAAAACAAGCACATCTTCTTCCCATCATCATAAACGGCTCTTCAACAAAAAGGTGTTAATTAAAACAAACTCAAGTTCATGATTTTCTTTATTTCTGTATTTCAATAGCCAAAACAATCAATTTCTCGTTGCGTCATTTTCACAAACAAATGCACGCACCCATGGTTACTTCTTATACAGAACATAACAGAGCAAAAGATAAGAGAATAACCGAGACGGTGATGGGGTTTAAGGCCAGCCATGTCCATTCTACGAGCAAAGGCTTCCTTGTATCGAGTCATTTCGGCGACGGCGTCCTGCTGATAGGAGCAACTACAGAGAAACCGGGTGGGAGGCCATGAAAACCGTTGGAGAAGAATTGCAGGAACAAGAGAAGAACAAAGTTGAAGTGGGAAATTTTCCAGTAGTCGGGCTCGAAAAATTGAGGTGAAAATCGGGTTTGATTTAATAATGTGCGGAGAGGCGGCAATTAGGCCTCTCGCCATTGTTGTAAATACTGGAGAGCTTGATATGTTGCCTGTTTGCCGCGAAGCGAGTAAAGAAGGTATAATCGACCCGTGCCCCGATACTTGTCATTTTCTTCTTTTCCAGGAGTGCCTCAGTACTTGTTTTATTGCATTCTTGTCCTCCATTTTTGTATGATTTCATAAATCCTGCATTGAAGAAAACAATGATTAAAACATTAATTTTTAAGTGTATTTTCTTTCTTGTCCCTAAAAAAGTATTGAAGCTGTACAAAAATTTAAAATTAGAGTGTAAAAAACAGGTAATTGTCATTATTACATGTTATTAAAAATAAAGAGAGATAAGGGTAAAATTAGAAAAATTCTATTTAATATTGTATTGAAAATTAAGTACGACAGATAAAAAACATTGAATTCATCCTAAAGCAAGAAAGAATGGTACACATAAAAAAGCGTCATATGTAAAGGTAAAATGAAGTTCTTTTGTGATGGCTCTTTGATGCTCACTGTATTTCTTTAAAGTGGAGTATCAAAAATTGTTTCTTTCTCTTTTAATAAAATAAAATAACATAATGAAAAGGGAATAAAGTAATCTTTTTTTTAAAAAAAATAGAATTTCCTTCTTAACTATAAATAAGTCACTCACTCAATGCATTAATTTGTTTACGGTCTTGATTTATATTTTAATTGTGTAATAACAAACAAACATTGTCTTCAAACAAAATGGTTGAGAATTTGCAACTTACGAAAAGGTAGCATTTCATGTCACTTTTGTCACACTGAGCATTTTGCTCGTCTAATATAACTTTACATCACGTATTTGCGTGATGAGGTCTAGTCATAAATCCATTCTTCACTTTGAAGAACCTATGCCTATCAATAGATTATGGGCCTTCTCCTTCCTCACTCCATCCCCTCAAGTAAAGTATTACTATCATATTTTTTGAACATTTTTCTTTCTAACAAAAAAGTTATGGTGAAGTAGTAAGAACTCTTCCACCCTTCACTATAGGTCGAGTGTTTGAACTCCTCTACCCACCGTTCGGGCAAATAAGTGGGCTGACGGTCCACCCGTCTGAGGTTAACTCAGGACGGTTTCATTGCCCGGTTGGTCAGTTTTATATTTTGTTTACCTGTACCCGAAACCGACACAAGTGGGTAGGTAGAGAATACCTAGGGGCACAAGACAACTCTCTCTAAGGAACTCGGCAAAATAGCCCCGTAACTTCAGGAGAAGGGGTGCCTCCTCACAAAGGGGGTCGTAGTTTCAATTTTTTTTATTTTTTATTTTCTCTCTAGTCAAGTTATTTGATTTGAAAAAATGACAGGGGTAAAATAGTCTAAATTAAAAATTTGTAGCTGAAAGAACTAAAGTTAGTGGTTTGAAAAACTAACACCCTTATTAAATACCAAGGACCGAAAGGAGCATTATGCTCTCTCTCCCTTTCTTTTTCTTTTTCTTTTTTTTTAACACTATATTATAAGGTTTTTTTTTTTAAAAAAAAAAAGTCATTATAAGGTATTTTGTCGAATAAAAAGTGGGTTGAAACTCTCACACAATAAAGTACAATGTACATGTTCTAAATCAGAGGAGAGTAAATGCGAAATTGGGAAGAGGAAGTGAAGGAGGGGATTCGACTGGAGATTTTATTAATATTGACTTAAATTAGTTGTTTATTTACTTATTATTTTCCTTATACTTAATATAAAGGCACAGTAGGCAAGAAATTAAATGCCCAAGAAATATTCAGGGCCACCTTCAAAGCGATCTCGTCTATCGGATGGGTTCAATCCGACGGTCAGTATTAAATCATTAACTAGGGGCAAAAAAACGAAATTCCATTAATTTAGAGGATAAGCAATCGTAAGTTTTTGAGGATAATAAGTAAAAATAAAAACCCCCATTAAACAAATGTAATTTCTTGAGGGTAAAAAATAAAAACCCCTATGAAGAAAACGAAGTCGTCCCTTTCCTCTGCCTAATTTTTCCCCAGAAAACCCCCAACCAAATAAACGACGTCGTGTCTTCATCTTCACCAGCCTAAATAAAACTCCTCCCTCTCCTTGTCGCTCTCAGAAATACATCTTCCTGACTTTCTCTCCGGCCACCCTCCGACAGAAAATCAGCCCATCGCCTCGTTCCCAACGTCACCACAACACCACCGGCGGTGTTTCCACCAACACCATGGCCTCGGGCCGTGGATTTATTCTGGCCCAACAAGAAACAATTTCTGATTTTCTTCTTCAAATAGGATTAGGAAATCACTATATAAAAAAAAATTCTCAATTCCAAATTGTCCCATGATTTCAGAATCCCAATCGGATTATAACTTCAAAGTCCACAACCGGTCTATAAAAACCTCAGCAATCCCCACAAATAGAACCACCCCAAGCTCTCTCTATAGCTTTCCAACTCCCGGCTCGTAACAGGTAAATTTCTCCTTCTTTGCCACTATTTTTGGACGAAAATTTTTGCAACTCCTGGTAACTATCCACTGTACCTGTGTAGCATCAAGTAACTAGCGTAGGTTTAATTATTTTTCATTCTGCATCACTATGTTTTCCCTTCAGACTTTAACAAATTTAGGATTATCGTTGGTCTGAATTGTGCGTGTTCCTGATTGAATGTTCTGACCTGCTATGAGTTTGAAGTTCTTGATCGATTTTCCATGCGTTTGTTTTTGCTCCAACTTAATTTCGATTCCATGCTTTTATTTGAAATTTTAGTTTAAATTTGAGTGTTGATCAGCCTTATTTTTCCCTGTTGGAATCCTTAAAGTTTATAGCTTGATCACTGTTATTATCGTTGCGATTGTTTGATGAGATGTTGCGTGTTCCTGCTGTTATTTTTGGACGAACATTTTTGCAACTCCCGGCAACTATTCACTGAACCTGTGTAGCATCAAGTTGCACATGAATATTTTTGTTTGGATTTTTAGTGATAATTCCAACAGACACCGTGAAGTCTACCTACGTCATTGCTATTGTTCTTGTGAATATTTAGTTTTGACTAATTAAATCATGAAGAATCATAGTTACAAGGTTGATTCTCGTGTAGTTTGCATGACCTGCTTCCCATTTTGATTCTCTGATTATTGTTGTAATTATTTTGATGTGCTGTTGTTGCTCTTGTATGTTGCATCTCCTGGAATTATATATATATATATATATATATATATATACTTTTAGTTCAGTCCTTTGTGTTGTTGATGTGATATTGTTGTCAGTTCTTACTTCCCTGCTTCTTTTTTATTTATCTTAAAATAATTGACAAGGCAATTGTGATTCATCAACAATTGAAAATAATCAATTGAGCTTCTTTTTTGGTTTTCCTTGATTTCAATGCGTTTGGTACTGTATGTTGTTCCTGGTCACTCCATTATTACGTGTAGCTCTGCGTTTGGTAGGATTTTATGATTTTTCGGTTATTTCCCATGTTGCCTTTTCAGTAAAACCATGCATGCTGAATAGCCTACATGGCTTTTGATGTGTTAAACTTAATGTCTCCTCACTGTTCCATGAAAACAGATTTCGGCTCCTCTAAAGAGCAACCTCGTGCATCTCCTGCAAAAGAAATTTTCCCAACTCCAAGCTTTTTTCTTCTTACACGGGTATTTTTTTGGTCTTATTGTATTTCTGAACTCATATTACAACTGCAAAAAAAAAAAAGAGAATTCTTGATGACATACCTTAACACTATGGTTTTTGTTGCTTCCTGCATATTTGTTTAGAATGGCTCCTCATTAGGATCTCCCCATTCACTGGTTTCTTTGCTCCCAACGACAATTCTTTAAGGGTTACGATTAGATTGCTTATGGCGACTTCAAAGCTGTTGTAGATTTTGATCGGGGTTCACTAGGTTGCTTCTAACAACATTGTCGAGTTTGACCTGCTTTGTCTGTACGAAATCATGCTGATTAATGCTTAGTGACATGTCATGTTGAAATAACCATCCTGTAATATTATTTTTGTTTGATGAGAATCTGGCTAAAATTAAAAATGTTAGAACATTATTTAAATATTGTTTAGATTTGTATACTTTGCTTATTGGTAATATCTGATAGTTCTAGGGTGTTTTATTCGTTGCCGATGGCAATAGATTTTTTGTCGCTGTCTAGAGTAGGCATAAAAAAGCATCACAAGGGTTGCCATCCGCTGGTGCAGGGGCTTTATAGTTTATCCTTGCAATTCACCAGCCATAAATTAGTAGGGACTTTACAATTTGCCCCTTCTGATGCTTGCTTTAGGGATTAGCCCTAAAAATTTTGCCACGTTAATTTCTAGCTTTGCTTGTTTAGCCTTGCATTATCCTCTTCTAAGTTTTTTTTTGATCTGCTTATGATGGAAAAGAGGCACTGTCATTTTAGATCTGAACTTCTTGAATCCCTTTTTCTTTACAGTTTATGTATGAAAGTAGCTATCAATTTATGCTCTCTTTTTAAGTATGTTAGCACATCGAACTCTCAAAACAGTCGCCTGTTTGTCCCCCTATTTTATTTGACAGTTGCTTTGTTATCTCTATATATTAAGTCTACTCCAATAAATAGCCGGACTAGGATTAAGTTATTTCTCTTTATTCTTTTGTGATGAATTTAATACTTCAATTCCATCATTTGGTTTGAGTTACAATTGCATAATTTGTATGGAGTTTCCATTTCATTCAAGGGTAAAAAACTTGGAGGCATTGTTACCTTTCTAAAGTGAAATTCCTAGCTGTATCAGCAAGCTATATTCTTTGACTAATTGTATCTTCAACAATAAGAGTCTTTAAATAGTTATATTCTATGCCAGATGATTTTATCAAGGGGTTGTGAGTATGGGTTATCTTTTAACATAAATATTGTATTCATTAGCATTTTTGCAGTGGGTGGTAACAAACAGGCGACAAAATCTTGGTGTCATACTAGACCTGATGATCAATCTCGTGAGAAATTAAGTGCAGGCTTTGGGGAGCAGAACACAGGTTTAAGCATGCCTAGCACTTTTCCTGGACTTGAGGGTACTATACCAGCCAGGAATTCGAGTTCCTATGGCAATAGGTGGCTTTTACAGGCTACAAGTTGGGCAAATGCCGATAATGCCATGACATAATCCCTTCTAGATTGGGAATCCAAACAATGCAGTCTAATTTAATCTCATCTCAAGGATGCAACTGTTGTTGCCTCATGGACCTCCTCGCGTCATCAATGAAAATTAGCGTAGTTGTATGTCAGCTGCAACCTAGAATAGAGATTAACCAACTTTCTTGACAATTTATTGCAGAAGCAATGCATCAGGCGTCAAATTTGTTCTCATGATGAAAACTCGTTTAAAATATAAAGAGTTTTCAATCACGATGACTATAATTAAAAACTACTACTAGATGCTGAAATTAACACCACAAAGGATTGGGACCCTGAAAAGAAATTTGCACATAAAAAACAAATGAACTTCCAAGTAATATAAACATAACAGAGGTTTTCAATACGACGGGTATCTATTCATTTTTCTCTTAAAGATTATTGTTTGCCTGTGTATTGAATCAACAATACCCACACCGCATATCTTTCCGAAGAAAGTAGTGAATAAGGGCACTGAAACAGCAAAGCACACAAGGCTTACCATGTTTCTCCAACCATGGCCTACCAAAAGGCAAAAGCACTAATTTATCTCTTTGAGCAGACGAGATACTAGGATTTTATTTTTCTTGATATAAACACAAATTCATTTTTTCTAAAGAAAATTTGTACCTCTATACCGTTTAAGAGAGGAGAACTGTTTATGTTTATTTTACAGTGATGAAATCCAAATTTCGTTCCCTGTTAGTTTCCCCCTTCCTGAACAAAACTTTTCCAACAATAAAAGATAGTTCTTCCATTTCCTTAAAACTTGAAAAGCTATCAAGAGATCAAAATCAACATTCATTACTCAGAGACTAAATCTTCCAAATCATTCCAAATATTTTAATTGACTGAACACTTTCTCAAATATTTTAATTGATTAAACACAACATTTAATTTGAGAAGCTACAATGTCATAGTGGTTTATATAACGCTAGAAGAATGGTGTTGAGTTCCATAATCACAATTGCTCAAAAAAGGAGTTTAAAAATAATCAAAAATTGCCATTAGGATTTTGTGACTAAAAGGAAATACCATGAACAAAAATAATTTAAAAAAGAAAGATAATTACAATTTCTAATAAAATAGTAGTTAAAAGTAGTCAAAATTTACCATTAGGAATGCAAACCTATGACTAATAGAAAATACCATGGATAAAAATTAAAAATTAAAAGGAAAAAAATAAAGTGTACTCCAGAATGATAAAATAAAAAATTAATCTGTTTTGGATGATAAATTTTTTAATTTTTTTTTTGTTTGGATTGTTTAAATCCCAAACAACTCAAAGCAACGATTAATAGAAAATACCTTAATTTCTTTCATAATTTGTGTATAATCTGAAAATTATAAGCCTAATCTGTTCATCATTATCACTCTAATTCGCAGAATAACAATCAAATAAACTGATTTAGAAAAGAAAATGGTCGCGCAACGCACGACGAAACAAATTTTGTTAGTCCCTATATTATCATTTGATAAAGATTTGTAGACCATAATCTTTTGAGTTTTACAGGTCAGTTTGCCCTGAAAATATTTTTTATTTTGGTTCAAAGTTGCATTGACATTGGTAGGTATATCTACATATGCGCGCATATCCATGAGATTTTTTGTCATCTTCTATCATCATATTTGATATTTTGGTCTTTTATGGTTTTAATGGTCAATTTAGTTCGATTAATTGATTTCGATTTTATAAATATAAAATTTGATGGCTATTTTGGTCCCAATTGGTGTGGTTTACTCCTTCGGTTTTGAGTTTCTTGGATATCAATTTAGTTTAGTAGATTAATGCATAATTTTATAATCAACATGGGTCGTTAAGTTCTTTTCTTATTCTTTAGGCACAATTTACTTAATTTGTCTGGGTTCTCCATTGTGACCTTATTCTGCGACTTTGGATTGATCTTACCTGCTAAATTTACTAAATTTATTGCTATCCTGCTAAGTGATTTAAGATTTCCTTTCTGTGCTATATGGGTTGTTAGGACTTAGCAAATATATGTTTGCTTTGGGCAATATCGTTTCTTTGATCTGAAATTATTATTTTTATAGTCAATTCATCTGGTCCTACATATCCCATCTTTTGAGCCAGGTGATCTGTTACTTGGGGGGAGCAAGGATTGGCATTCTGTACGAGACGTTGTTCGAAGATAGATATAAATATTTATTATTCGGGTAGAATCTCGGACGTGTATGTTACTCCCCTGAATTGTTGTGAGGTGTATTGCTGGAATTGAAGAATGCGACATAGATGAAATGATTTTATCTCGTTTTTCATTAATTGTTTCTGTTACTTTGCATCATAACTTCTAAATTTCTATTGAATGAATTGTTTGTTGATTCTGCATTATTACAGGAGAACCTTGCGAGGTGTTCCACTGCGGCTTGAGAGCAAATCATTTCTTGAGAAGATGACTATCGTTGAGCATACCATGACTTTTTTCTTGACAATACGTGAAGTAGAAAATGAATACCTTTCTTCTAATGCTCTGGTAATATTTTTTAGATGGTTTTTGCTGATGATTTGATATATAATTACGTATTTGATTTTTGTTTGATGTGGGCTTTCCATGTTTGCACTCCAGAAATTCATAGATCATGTTGGAGAATTGTTGCAGGAGTTTATCGATCGATGGGAACACGTATGATTGTTTTTATTGAGAGCTTGTTGATTTTTGTTTTGATATGAAGTGGTAGTAGAGTTAAATAAATTTGATTTATTCGGTATAAAAAATTTTGGACACACAAATTTACGTCAAATGTTGATTGTTATAATTTTGATATTTGGACTTCGTTGGGGAAAATACCCACTCGTCCCTTTGTTGTGGAAAATAATTTCTGTTTTTCACCACTTTACTGATGTCCTTCTCTAATGCAAGATGCTATTTTTAAACCTCCGGATGCATATACTCTCCGTTATGTATGCATACATGAATTTGTTCACGTTTTCCTTTCTTCGTATTACCAAATTAAGTCAATTGGTTCAATTCTTTTGCAGGTGCGCCTTATTAAGGAACTGTACAGAAATCAAAGTAAAGAGCTTTATAATAGTCTTCCACGCCATACTTGGTTGAATTCATCATTAATGAATATAATTGGTAAGTTGATTATGCACTTTTCTGAAATTCTTCACATGTGCAGGGTATAATAGAAACAACGAATTGTCTGTAGAAGAGTTTTATAACATTTCAGATGTGACTTCTTTTCTGTGTAAAGTGATTGTAAGTCTTAGATACATTGATCTTGTCTCTATACTTCCAACTGCTGTTAGTGTGCTCGCATGGCCAAAGCAGAGTGATTCTCTCACAACGACGATGGTAATGAGCAGGAGAAGTACTAATAAGTTCATTCCAGAACGGATGTCTTATGCAGAGGACTCATTGGAAATAATGAGTTTACCAGAACGTAATTATTATTATTTTGTAGTCATTAATTAAGGTGTCCTTTAATAAAAAGGAAAAGAAAAGATTATTTTTTCCTTCCCATGCTACAATTTATTATGTTGGGATTCATTTGGAGCCTGTTTGGCATAATCTTGTTATGTGTTTTGGTTCAATTTTCAGTGCCGCTTTCACATTTGAAAGACAAACTTTTTACATTTCAAATGAATTTGAAAATGGGTCAAAAGATTAACCATAAAAAAAAGGCAAAATACAATGTACAACAAGATCATTGTCCAACAGGCCCCATTTTAGCTGAGCTGCTTATCATCCAAAAATTTCCAAACAACTTACCAAAAAGGTATGATGATCTTCTGATGTCTTCTATATACTATGTGCATTGTTTTTTTTTTTAAGGAATGAAAGTCAACTACAACTCTTATTGCATTCACATTGTTTCTCATCTGAAAGCATCATAGTATATATGTTCTTTTTTTGGCCCTAAACCCCCTTTCAAATCCTTAGGGCCGGCAGTAAAGCTGCTTTCATTCTACTTATCATTTAAAATCATATTCCATATTTTAAAAATTAATCAAATTTAATTTATATTAAGATCTAAGTTTTTTCTTGTGAATTTTATTTTAACTATACACAAGAAAATCTCAAGCATAATTTGGACAGATTTGGCAATGAACTTCTGCACCACCACTCATTTTTGCTGCTTTACGTCAACTTTTAGGTATAGTCAAGCTGTAGAAGTCAGCATCTTTTTGGTATAGATGAACCTGATGTTTCTTGGGTCAATTGCTTTGTGAAAGAAGTTCCATCTGGGAACACTGAGCAACTATTTAGCTTAGAGCAGAAGCGTAATGGAGCGTTCAATGACATTATGCCATCATGGATTGATCAACTGTACATAGAGCAGGACATATAGTAGCTTAATCAATAATAATTGGCAAAACGATGCCTTGGCTTCAATCCACTATGGAATTGTATTCATATTCTTTATAGTATTCTTTTCATAATTCATATATGTAGAAAGAAGAAACTATATGGTGATCATTGGGTCCTAAGTTAGCTGATGAAAGATTTGGAGTAGGATAACTAATCTATTGTTTGATAGTTAAGGATTAGACTAAGGAATAATGTTTTGAGATGTATTTAGTTTCTTTCATTCCCTGAAAATCTCAAGGGGAAGCTACTTTCCATGCATTCTTCAATAGTAAAACGAAATGACCTTTTAATCGTTTCTCTATTTCTCAGTGTTTTACTTCTTAGACCTTTCTTCCATAGGCATTGGATCTATTGCCGCGCTAAACTGATCAAAACACAATGAAAAAGTTCATATAATTTCATAAACTTCTAGGATCTGAAAGAAAGAATCGGGAAACAAAAGTAGAATGTTGAAGTTCACACACTAATGATACTTTTTCCGTTTCAAAGTAAGAGTTCATTTGTGACGAGAGAATATGTTTATTTCAAATACGTGTCTGGTATTTTTGATGATGTAGTTTTTCATCTGTTAAATTACGAGGCAACCAACTAGCACGTAAATCTGATGAATACTATTGTTTATCTAAAATAATTGTCAACCAATTAGCACGTAAATATGATAAATACTCGTTTGTAGCTAAAAAAAGTTATTTCAAACAATACAGAAGAAGCTATTTCAAGAGTTGGGATTAGATTACATTAAAGGGACTTGGTAAATAAAGAAATTTGTAACCAAGGACTAACAAAATTAAGTGATAAGTAGAAGGCGCTTTTACCGAACAATGCTGAAATTTCAAAAAACCCATCATCAATCTCATAACTATAAGATGATTCAATTACAGAAAGAGACACAATGTATCAAAAATTACAAAATAAAAAATTGAATTGCTACACTTTTTACCGAAATTAAGCTTTGAATGTATTACCAAAATTTAACTATCGCATGCGTTCTAAATTATAAAAGATGTATAAAAATGTAACAAAAACACTGGTCGCGCAACGTGCGACATCAAAAGCCTAGTATTATCCAAAGTTTTGGCTAAATAATTTGTGCATATACAATACGGAGTAGTACAAATACAATGTGTACCAACCACCTATCATGTGCATGACAAATCGCCATGATTAATTCATTTTATTATGTATACCAACAAATTTGTGTAATTCAACAACGAAATTTGTCTCTTAAAATGAGATTTTTATTTCTTTTTAATCATAAATATAGGACTCGTGTAGTCTCTTTCATGATTTGATAAAATAGTAATTATTTTATTTTATCAGATCTTTATTTCTTATTACCGATCTCTTTTGCCTTTTTATGTACAAATCAGATCTCTTCACCTATTCGTCTCACATATTTTTGATGATTCCTTTTATTTTTTCTAGTACCACTTATTTTCCTAAAAGTAAGTTTCATGTGTTATATTATACTAACGATAAAGATATACCAGCATTATCGTATATTCCTATTCCTTTTGGGGGTGGTCGTATTTTCTTATTATGATCACCAATCCTCCTAAAGTAACTTTCATGTAAAACTCTTCCCTCTCTCTTATTGCTGCTGCTTCTCAACTTCTCCCTCCGACAATTCTGTTCAATTCCGGTCCCGGCATTTATACATATTCCATAATTCCCTATGATTCGCCGGTAGCCGGTAGTTGACAAGTGGTATGGGAGCCGAGTGAAGCTTCCGCGATGACATAATCAACTTCACCGACGCATCTTGAAGATCAACGCTCCGGCGACGTTTCGGAGCTAAGGTTAGAAATGGAGTCAAGATTCGCTTATTAGGAGCGCCAGATGAAGGAAATGCAGTGTTCAACTGTCGCGATTCAGAGCTCAATAGTTTCCATGGATTCAATGTGGGATAATCTGATTGCGAGTTTTCCGAAAAGGTGTCTCATCGCCGACTCCCACAAGAGTAACAAGACTCTGAATTTCGAGTATTCGGTTCCTTCAACTCCGACTACAGGTGAAGTTCCGGTTCAGATTGGAATGATAGAGTCAATGCGAGGGCCGAAGGAATTCGTCGAAATGGGCGGATTGAATCTTCAATAACCTAAATCAGACGGGTTCAATCAGGGAGTATCAAGAAAGGTTCGAAGAACTCCGTTCCAATATGTTGCTCCAAGATTCAAGACTCCTTTCATCTTCAGTTTCTTGAATGGGTTAAAGGAAGAACTCAAGCCAGCAACCAGAATCTGTGTACCACTCACCTCAGCAAAGAACAGATTTTTGAAGTCACCAGCAAAATGCAAAAATCGACTCCGTATTAGGAAAGAGTGCGTTAAAATGGCTGATGATGATATGATATCCAAGAAGATTAATGATGATGTGGAGAAAGTTGTTGAATCGATTGTGTATACCGTAGAGAAAAGTTTAGAAATAAAACAGGCAATTAAAATCACATAATAGATGAAGAAATACCTCCTGGACTAAAGTTTGGGTCTTGAACCGATTTTAATAACTGGAATAAAGGATGGAACAGTAAGCCGTGAAAGTGTGAAAAAAGAAGAAGAAAAGTGAGGATTTTGATTTCTCCCATGTAAGCATTGGGCTGACTTGAAGTCATTGCATATGAATTGTCTTGATGAACCCTGAAAAGGAAACGTGCTTGTTTGAGAAGAGAAGGAGAAGGAGAAGAGAGAGATGGAGGGTGCAGAGAGAATGTGAAAATAGTTTTGAGGGAGTGAAGGAAAATACAGTATATTATATAGACTCGATTGAAAAGGATGACAAAGTTCGGTTAATTATCCTTTTACCCCCTCGTTCTGTTTAGGTTACTAACATTTGTCCTACCAAGTTTCAGTCGTATTAGTACTAAAGATAAATGAAGATATTTCTTTTAAGTGAAGTACATTATTGGATTTTTAACATTATGAAAAGTGAAAGTAAAATTTATTTATACTAATTTTCTACGCTCACAAATTGCATTAGTTTGTTTTGTAATCTTGACAACAGTTTTAAATATGTTTAAAATAAATAATTGGTTGAGATTTTGCGCTTTAACTTTTCATATCACTTACTTCGGCATTGAGCATGCATTTGGTAGGTTTTCCCATCTAATTTAACTTTGCATTATAAGTTAATGCAATTAGGTCCAGTCATAAATTCATTTTCGATAAATAATACTTATAAATAGATTATGGGATTTTGACTACTTACACTTCTTCTTCATTACTCCATCTTCTTTTAAGTAAAATAGTACTATCACATTTTTGGAGCATTTTTCTTTCTTATAAATGAAGTTTTAAAAATGAAATTATGTCTTGTCAATATCAAATTTACTACAATTATGCCTCATATACTGCATCAGATTTATTATTACTTCAATTTACTACTCTCTATTATCCTTTATTTTATAACCCAAAAAAAATAAATAAATCAAAGGCACTGATTTTAAGAAATTGGTAGAAGAACTTCACTTAGGGACGAAAATGGAAAATAAATATCAATCGTGAAAAGAATTGTTGGGAGTAAATTTGCAATTATGGGTAAGAAATAAATATCAAACGTGCCCCAACTTGGCAACTTGGACTTCAGAGGAGGATGACGAAAAGTGAAGAAACCAAAAATATATAACAAAAAGAAAAAAAAAAAAAAAAGACAATAAAGAAGAAAACACTAAAGGGGAAACAGTCAAAGCAGGAAGAAGCAATGAATATTTGGTGGCATTTGCAGATTTCTCCGTCAAGAAAAAGCTCAGGTCTTTGCCACAGACAAGAAGAATCAGCTCAATTCTTTCATCTGCAATCTGTGTAAAGCAAACCAACTTGTTCTTCAGTTTTCAATCGCCCTGAGTTTCTAGATGAGGGTGAAGAAGCTTGGTTTACCTTAACCATGAGGTCCACGACCCTTTTCGTTTCGAGATTTTCCCTTTTCGTTTTGCCCCTGATTTTCTTGTTCACATCCTTCTTCCTGCATCCTTATTTCCAATTCCGGCCCTTGCCCGGTAACGGAACCCAGGCAGGAGTTTCATACGTTGATCCGCCCGAACCACCGGGGAATCGTCGCCAAGAAGAGCCCTTTACTCGAAAGAACCATATCATTCGATTCACTGATTACAGGAAAGCCGAAGATTTCAGAAACTATCTCCAGAAGGAAGTGAATTTTGAGGGATGGGAATGGATTGATAGGAAGAATCCCGCTTCGAAATTTCCTACGGATTTTGGGCTGGTGGCGATTGAGGATTCGAAGAGTGATGTACTGATCGGGAAATTTGAGGGATTGGAGCTCGTGAAGGATGTCTCGTTGGATTTAAGTTATCAAAGAGTGGTTCTTGAGGAAGATACGATAAAGAATGGGGTTAAAGAGGGATCTTTTGTCGATGGAAAGAAGCGGGCAGGCAAGATGTTTACTTCAATGTCGTTTGGTGAGGATGACGGGACTAATGCTGCGGTGGCCAATACTAGTCATATGAAGATTAGCTGGGGAAGGACTTTAATGGCGGAGGTGAGATTTTGTTTCTTGCAAACCTTGTGCATTTATTTATGGTTTTTCTGTATTTAGAATGTATCAAGAGCTGCAGCAGGTGTGCTTGTTTATTTAGTTTTGTTGTGGTGGATTAGCTGGTAAACTTGATTGTAGCACCATCATGTCTATGTGATATTAGCTTACACAAGTGATGCTGTAGAGGAAGAGTGAAGATTTACATCCTTAATCTCTTTGATGACTAGTACTCAATTGTGTGAAGATAGTGTTGATAGTTAACTGCCTACATTGACTTGTAGATGGGTATTTAAAATTATCATAAAGCATGATCAACTGCAAGTAAAAGAAGCTCACTTCCCAAGTTGTGCAACTGGTCAATTGCTCATTAGACTGATGATTATTATCAATGTACTCAATTTTTTTTAGCATGAAATTCCTCCTCAACATGCATTTCTTTGTAAAAGAAGTAAACCTTGCTTTCTTTTTGTGAAGTCAAAGAGAAGAGAAAAAATCAATTGCAGATCATTGTCAATATCAGTATGCTCGTCATTATTCAGCTTTGTCTTATTAGAGGTTTGACTAAATATTTCTTTGTGTACTTATTGTGCCTCACAGAAATCGCAAGTTACATCCTATTTTGGAGCAGATTCACTCTGGTCGAAAGGCTATACTGGTTCAAAAGTCAAAATGGCAATATTTGATACTGGTATTCGATCAGATCATCCTCATTTTCGTAACATCAAGGTAATTGGGCATAGTTCCTTTTACGTGCTTTCTCTTTTTTCTTTCACTTCCTTTTCGTTTTGGATGTCAAGTCCAAAATTAAAGCACATTGTTCTACTGGGTCTCAGGAGCGCACTAATTGGACCAATGAAAACACACTGAATGACAATCTTGGACATGGGACTTTTGTTGCTGGAGTCATTGCTGGTCAAGATGCAGAGTGTCTTGGCTTTGCCCCAGATACCGAGATTTATGCTTTTCGTGTTTTTACAGACGCGCAGGTAATGCATCAGTGTGCACTCCTTATTTTCTGAGTGAATGTCTGTGAGACTTTTGTATTCCTTCTTGTTTACTGTGCGGAAACTGAGTTGACACAGAAAAATCTGATTGCATTGGGGCCTATTCAGATCCTTAGTTATTTCACCTAGAACTACAACTCCCAAATGCAGAGTGATTACTTTCTTTGTTCTGTTTTCCACTTTTGTTGAAATTATGTGGTCCTAAAGTGGATGTTTTGTGAACCAAATTCAACAACTACAGCAAGGAGGCTCTATCCTACTATGTGGTCAGCAATTAATTTATGTGAATCAAATAGTAAGAAATGTTAATGACGTTAAAAACAAAAGTAAGATGGATTTATTGTACCTGATCAAACTTTCCAGTACATGTCATTCAGTGGTCAAAGGACCTCGAGTACTCAAATGCATTTCACGCATCTAACATAAACTTCAAAGAAGCAGCAAAGGCTCAGAGGATCACAACTACTGAATTACTGAAGAATGAGTTAACGAAGAGGAAAAGAGGAAGATGCATTTATAAAAGAAAAACTAGAGTTAGAAAGAGTGATAGAGCACTTGGTTATTTACACTGTTTGGTTTTGACCATAGGTTTGGTCAAAATTGCATGTTGTTAGGCAGGCCTATAGTTGCATGATAAGTCCAAATACACACTTTGTGTCCTGCTGTCTAATCAGGTCAAATACAAATAATGATCATCCTCACCCTACTCCTCATAACTTCAAGCTTATAGTCTTTTTCGTAAATGTTGTCTCCCAAAGAAGAAGGGCCACTTGAATGTAAAATTCTCTTCCTCGTGTTGGTTTCTGCATGGGGTGTAGTGGCTCATTTGTTCTGTCTCCTCTCTAGCTCTTTCGTATTGGCAAGGTTATGAGAATTTTGTGTTCAGCTTACTGCAGGTATCGTATACATCGTGGTTCCTTGATGCATTCAACTATGCAATTGCAATGAATATGGATGTGCTGAATTTGAGCATTGGTGGACCAGATTACCTGGACCTTCCATTTGTTGAGAAGGTAAGTCTCTTTCTTTTATAATCAGTTGGAAAGCATCATGTGCCTTGTGTCGAAAGCACCCTTTTATACTCCTGTTTTTCCTTTAATTGCTTTTAGGCACTGTGTGGTTTCTGTTTGTTTGTATATTTATCTATACTCTAGAGAGTGAATTCCAAACATCAATTGCTTATTGCACAATAATGTTTTGCTGGACACACCATTAGAATACAATAGTGATCATTGAGCTTCATCTTGCTATGATTGATTATATTGGATCATATCTCATTATCTGTGCTCGATCATTCAATTCATACAATGAAAATTATATGTGATTAATTTTTCTTTTTTCTAGGTTTGGGAACTTACAGCTAATAATGTCATCATGGTTTCTGCTATTGGGAATGATGGACCACTTTATGGAACTCTGAATAATCCCGCTGACCAAAGTGATGTAATTGGTGTTGGTGGCATTGATTACAATGATCATATTGCTGCCTTTTCATCTCGAGGGATGAGTACTTGGGAGATTCCTCATGGGTATGTGACTTGAATTGTTTCTTCTCTCTTCTGTATGGTTAAGGTCTAGAACTTGCGAAAGAGCTCTTGCTTGTGTATCCTGTAAATTTATTTTATTTGCTCAGAGTTATTTCCTTTAAACTGCATTGTACCAGACCTGTCCTTGTGTCTGTTCTCTTGTGGCTAAAACTGAGCGATAAGTTAAATCATTCTCTTAGTTGGTTTAGGAGAAACCTCTTTGTGTCTGAGTGTTTTTTTGTTAGTTCATGTTTTTATCTATATGATCGGGCAATTTGTGTGTGACAACATTACTAACTTTCCCACAATAAAAGAGAAAAAAGTGAAATTATGTCATTTAGAAGTTCAAAGAGGGAACGCTTACTTAAAGATGAATAGAACTGTTTAGCCACATTTGTAAATTATGTTTCTACTATTCTCCAGTTCATGAGGTGTCTAATTCTGAAATTCGCATCAACAGCTATGGTCGCATGAAACCAGATGTTGTTGCATTCGGACGAGAGATCATGGGATCCAAGATCAGCACGGGCTGTAAAAGCTTATCAGGAACTAGTGTTGCAAGCCCTGTAGTGGCTGGTATAGTTTGCCTCCTCGTTAGTGTGATTCCTGAAAACAAGCGAAAGGACATCTTGAACCCAGCTAGCATGAAGCAAGCTTTGGTTGAGGGTGCTGCCAAGCTCTCTGGCCCAAATATGTATGAGCAGGGTGCTGGAAGAGTTGATCTGTAAGTTATTGTCCCCTATGCTTTGTGCTATGATATCATGTTGATTCTGATTTACTATTCTATAACTCTTTTCTATAATTATCAGATTGGAATCATATGAAATCTTGAAGAGCTATAAACCTCGAGCGAGTATTTTCCCCAGTGTTCTTGATTACACTGATTGCCCTTACTCATGGCCTTTCTGCCGTCAGCCACTATATGCGGGTGCGATGCCAGTTATCTTTAATGCCACCATCCTGAATGGGATGTCTGTAATTGGTTATGTTGAAAGCCCCCCTACTTGGCATCCTTCTAACGAGGAAGGCAATCTTCTCAGCGTTCACTTTACTTATTCAGATGTTATCTGGCCTTGGACTGGTTACCTGGCACTTCACATGCAAATCAAGGAAGAAGGTGCTCAATTTTCTGGAGATATAGAAGGGAATGTAACTGTGAGAGTTTCTAGTCCACCAGCAAAAGGAGATACGACGCCTAGAATTAGTACTTGTGTATTACAACTGAAACTGAAAGTTGTTCCAACCCCTCCAAGGTCGTCGCGAATACTGTGGGATCAATTTCACAGCATCAAATACCCTCCCGGATATATTCCAAAAGACTCTCTAGATGTTCGGAATGACATACTTGACTGGCACGGAGATCACCTACATACAAATTTCCATGTCATGTTTAATATGTTGAGGGATTCGGGATATTTTGTTGAGACCCTTGGCTCCCCGTTTACGTGCTTTGATGCTAGCGGGTATGGAACTCTGATGTTGGTGGACCTTGAAGATGAATTCTTCCCTGAAGAAATAAAAAAATTGAAAGATGATATTATAAGCACAGGTTTAGGTCTTGTTGTATTTGCTGATTGGTATAATGTTGAAACCATGGTCAAAATGAGATTTTTTGATGATAACACCCGGAGCTGGTGGTCCCCAGTCACTGGAGGTGCTAATGTGCCTGCTTTAAATGATCTTTTGGCCCCATTTGGAGTAGCATTTGGAGACAAGATCCTTAATGGTGATTTTTTCATGAACGGAGAGGACAACCGGTATGCGTCGGGAACTAATATTCTGAAGTTTCCAGGAGGTGGATACTTGCACAGTTTCTCGCTCCCAGATAGCTCAGAGGGTGGCGCCACAACTCAGAATATCTTGCTATCAGGCACAGTTCAGGTAAAACTTGGAGCTTTTTCTTGCAGTCTATCAGTTCTTATAAGTTTCTCCTCTCTCGTCCCCACTTATCATTGGCTCCTTGTAAAATCTATGTAAATAAAGACAATAGTTATGCCTTTACCTCTCTGTGCTGGTTTATAGGTCTATTAATCATTAAAAACCATGGGTAACATCTGCTTCTTCTATGTCCCGTTATGAAATGTAACTAAACCTTGTTTTAATTGTTAACATAATGTAGCTGTCCTCTGTTGTCTGGAAATTGCTCATGTTAATTAATGCATCAACCTAATTATTCTCGGAAATTTTACTGGCAACACACATTTCTATGGATTTTGAATATGTAGCATTTTCCTGTACGAACGAAGCAATCAAGTGGCGACACTTGCAGCCTACTTTCATGTTTTAGCTTTAAGATTGTTTTTCATATTTTTGTGATGATATTTGAACCGACATGTATATTCTTCTAAGTTTTTTAAGCGATTTGCTTGCTTGAGTGACCTTTCTCACCCTATTTCCTTTGGAAGAGGAAGCGGAGGAAGTACATATCAATTACTCATCTTACAATATTTGTGAAGACATCTATTTTAAGGCGAACTTTAGCATTGTGTTAATTGAAGTGTGTTTTAATCAGTTAAGCCCATCATCTTGAGATCTGATAACCCATTCTGATGATCACTGCGAATATATACACTTAACCCTGATTTATGCTTGTTGCAGACTGATTCTCCCATTCTGGGACTTGTAGGGGTTGGCAATGGCCGAGTTGCGGTATACGGAGATTCCAACTGCTTAGATAGTAGCCACATGGTGACCAATTGTTATTGGCTTTTGAAGAAAATGCTAAATTATACAAGCAAAAATGTCAGAGATCCTGAACTTTTTGCAGACTCAAATAGACAGCAAAAGCCCTTGCATTTCGACAGCAACCAGTTACCATCTCGTAGAAATGATGTTAGTTTCTCAACATATTCATCAGTTATTGGGAAGGAGCTGACCTGTGGGAGTGATACAAGATTTGAGGTTTGGGGGACGAAGGGCTACAATTCGCAGGTCCTAAGAAGGAACCGGAGATTACCAGGTTATGTGGGTACTGATCAAAGCATAGGTCAGAATTTAACAACTGACACTTTCAATGAAGTGGCCTCTGAATTAATTGAGAAGAATTCTGACGATTCTGGAGCCTCTACATATTTTGGCATATTTAACAGAGAAGATGTAAGAATGAAAATTTTACATCCGTCTTGTTGTTTCCTTATTTCCTTTTTTCCTTTGAAGTTTGATTGCTTTCAAGAATTGCTGCCGTTTTTGTCCAACACTCAAAAGTGGATAGACCTGATTTTATTCTTCTCTTACATTATTAACTTCAGGTGGATATGCCTGTACTGGTTACAAGTCACTGGCTTTTACCTGCTGCTTTCGCTGTTTTGGGTAAGTGATGGACATCTATGTTGGTTGATGAGTTCTCTTGCTTTGGTCAAGCCTCAAATTTTTCTTACATTACAGTCTCCTGCTTTGACGTTGCTTCCAAATTTCTTACGTGTGATATGTGTTGTGTATATCAGGCATTCTGCTCTTAAGTTTTTGGCGTATTCGGCAGAAGCGGCGCAGGAGGAGGAAAGGATCTGGTTCAATACGATCTGCAAATCCTTGAATTGAGAGATTTTTAATTGTAAAATGAGTAGAACCTAATAGGTTCCCCGTTTTCTTTTTTTTGGTTAATTAGTTTTACACAAAAAAGCGGTAGAATTTCAGTTGAGGCAATATCAAAGAAAAGAATTTTGTATTAGTACAGTGTAGTATAACTATAAAATGCTGTAGAGGAAAATAGAAGTTGGGCTACACAACAACTGTTCTTTGGACCTACTATTTGGTCCTTGCTAAGAAGGGGCGGGGCTCTATGCTTCATTTTCTTTAATATCTTGACCAAGGCGTAACGGACAATTGTTGTATCTAAGAAGCATGGTTTTGATTTAGTTGTTTTTACATGCTGAGTTTGTAGTCCAAGAAAATATTACTCCCTCCGTTTCAAAATTATTGTTCAGTTTAAATTTTTATTTTTAGTTCATATTATTAAAAATGAATACCTAAAGTGGATACTAATTTCGAGACGGAGGAAGTATATAACAGCCATACATCACATCATCTAACAAGAGAAAGTTTGTTACGAAGGTGTCCACTTTTAGAAAACAATGGACTTGTACCATTTTCATTTAAGTTTCCATTTTTATTGATCAAAAAGTTTATTACTATTTACATGGAATTGGAAATACATTTGTAAGTTTCGCCTATGTAGAAACGAAAGGACAAACCATCAGTAACTAGAGGATCGCTGATTGTAGATCCATCCTTAATTAAAGATCAAAACATCATTAACTAGAGGATAGTTGTCTGGTGAATTAATCCTTAACTAGAGATTGTGATTTAATCCCGCACTTATTGTTAGTGACAAAAATAATAATAAGAATAATAAATTAATAATTACTTCTTCTATCCTAAAGAAATATTTTATTTTATTGTTATTTTTTTTTTGGCTTTACATGTTCACTAACAATAATAGTGACAATAAGTGTTAATCTCTGGTTAAGAATGAATTAACAAACAGCAATCATCTAGTTAATGATATTGTGATTTATTTTTTTGGAACAAAAGTATTAAGTAATAAAATTAGTTGCTCCATAACACACCGCAATTTATAAGGAAGATGCTCATTGGATGCTCCTTCAGCAAGCTGATGAGCAATGCAGTTAACCCCACAGCTCCCTTTTTTTTTTTTTTTTGTAGGGTTGTGCGACAACTTTCAACTAATTTTATCATCTTTACCACACAGTACTATATATTGCAGCAGCCATCATCAACTGAGGAAGTTAAGATTGAGGAGCCACAAAAAGACACTTAGAAATATTAGCAAAAGGCCATGTGCAAAACCCCCCATATGATGAGTGTGATTTGCTGGCTTGCATTATCCTTTTTGGCATTTACCTTCTCTGCGGAAACATCATCATAATTCTCTCCCTATTTGCATGTGGGAAAGACTAGGCCCCCCATTTTCTTTTTCCCAGTCTTTTTTGGCCTAGTGGAGAAAAAGTCACCAATGTGCAGGTTCAACTCTTCTAATCAGGATTATTAAAATAAATCCAGCTTGCACTAATGATTCAGTCAATAGTCCTTCTCCGTTATTAATTAGGTCAAACTACCAACCTTTGAAAAAGCTGAAAGACTATATCAACAAACTTGAAGCTAAAGTTTAAACAGATCTGAACAAAGACACCAATTTTACAATTGAAAGAATATAGATACAATTATCACAACCCTTTTCCCAAAAAGAATGCCTTACAGTTAAACTCAAAGAAAAAAAATCAAGGGGAAAAAAAAAACTTTCCAAATAAAAATGGGAAAGAAAAATGCGTATGTTACTCAAGCAGTGTACTAAAAACATCGGACCTAGGCCGAAAAAACCAAAAATAAAAAAGAATTAGCTAGTGATTTTTATACAAAAGGCAGAGAGGGTTACTATCTCAGGGTGAATAGTCACCGCTGTATCCTCTACTGTCTTTCTTCATTTTCCCCATTTCCATTTCCCGGGTATTTTGTGCTTCAGAACTTGAGCCAGAAGGGTTTAGGCCATATTCACTGGTTTGAACTCCACTGTACTCACTGGTTCCATATTCAGTGCTGCCCATTACCGCCTTTCTGAAATTGCTCATGTCTTTTTTATATTGGGCAGTGTCATAATCCGAGCTTCCATGTGAACTGTAAACTGTGCTATGTCCTGGCCGAATTCCTTCATTAAGATCAGCCAAGGATACATCCCCTTCCAAGGCTCTTACTACCTGTTGAATATTGTTACACTCGAATTAACATGCAGTTCCTAATATCAAACTCGAACTTTGAAAGCAGAAGACCTTAAGTCAAGTCATGAACTTAGTAGAATGTGGTATACATTATACTCAGGTATCAGTAAAATATTCAGGGCAACATGTTGCACAACATTACACTTTGGATAAATGACTCACTATATAGACTAGGTTCCAGTAGGGAAATTGGGATACTGTAATTTACAATCAGAAAAATTGCAAGGACCATTCCAAGGTATTAAATTATAACTCAACCGATCATTTATTATATTTGATCAGAACCACAAATATTAAGTCATAGTCTGCCCACTATGAAATTGTACTACCGGTAATAAGCCAATAATAAGGATAGACAAGTACCTGGCTCATTCTAGGTCGACGTCTTGCTGAATGGCGCACACAGGCAGCAGCACAAGCAACTATGCGAGCCATTTCTCTGCTGTCGTACTCATGATGTAACCGTGGATCAACAAGATCAACAAAATTTTCTTCATCTAGAGCTCTTGTTAACAAGGGCCTTGCCTGTTTTGTAAGATTTCAGTTAGTTATTTTCTATCGAATACATAGATACTGAATACAGCTGGAAATCAAGACACTATTTGAAGGGTAAAATCCCAGGTGACATTTAATTAAAGACTCACCCAATCAACCAAACTGTCATCCATGGCAGTTGGATCAACAGGTCGCCGGCCTGTAATCAACTCTAGAAGCACAACTCCAAAGGAGAAAACATCCGACTTATCAGTAAGTTTTCCGGAAGCAGCATATTCAGGAGCCAGATACCTACATTTAGTGGTAAGATACAAACATTAATTAAGAATAAACCAAGAAGACCTGGTCCATCAATGCTAAGATGGACCATTTCATCGCTTTTACAGTTTCATTAGTTTCCAAAACATGCATGCAAAACCCAAAACAGAGAATTGAACCAAAATTTCACTCCAGTGATGCAAACAGCGAAAGAAAAGTTAATCTTACCCAAAAGTTCCCATCACTCGAGTGGAGACATGAGTATTGACATCAGAAGTGAACTTTGCTAAACCAAAATCAGCAACCTGAAATGTGATCCATCATCAGTCAGTAAAGATTAAGAATGTAAAAATTCAGCAATTTTACACTGCAACTAAATGTTGATTTGTTGAACTCCAAAATTTACATGCAAAAAAATGTGCTAAAGATAAGTTCAATCAAGTGAACTTGCCTTTGCCTCAAAATTGAAATCAAGAAGTATATTAGCTGCCTTGATATCACGATGAATGATCTTAGGATGGCCTGTATCATAAATTAATATAGTATTAACAACATAGTCAGCAAAATATGAAATTAACATAAGGATATAAAATTGTTTGTGATAATGAAGCCAACAACTTACAATCCTCATGCAGATAAGCCAATCCCTTTGCAGAGCCCAAAGCAATCTTCAACCGTGTGGACCAATCCAATGGGGGCCTTCCCTTACCTGAAATACAGTGACTTGTTAGGTATCACTATCCTACTCAAATGTAAATCAAACCAGCATATACAGCATAATGGAATAAGCAGCAAAAAAAAAAAAAAATGTAACTGTTGATCCTCATGGTGGGAAGATTTTAATTAAGTGGTTATAATTAAGAAATATAAACTACTCACCCTATACCCATAGCAGCCAAATAAACAAACAGACAAATGATAAAAAAGCATTTAAACTATTCAATACAAGTTCCAACACATAGGCAACGGAATCTCAGTTGGTGATCCAGAATTTACTCACCGTGCAAATGGAACTCCAAGGTGTTATTGGGAACAAATTCGTATATAAGTAGTCTTTTCTCCCCGGTGATGCAATAACCAACTAATGAAACCAGATGTTTGTGGTGAACCCGACTGATGATCTCAACCTCAGCCTGGAATTCCCGCTCTCCCTGTCCACTTCCAGCCTTCAGCTGTTTAATAGCAACCTCTTTACCGTCCTTCGGAAGAATTCCCCGATGCACATATCCAAACCCACCTTGTCCAAGAAGGTTGGCATCAGAGAAGCCGTCGGTTGCCATGGATAGTTCTTCATAGCTGAATGTGCTCTTTGAGAACCCATAAGCCATTCCAGGGGAGGGAGGTGGAAGTGGTGCGTCAGAACCTGAATAATTGGACCCTGAACCACCACTGCTGCTGATATAAGCCGGAGGTGGTGGTGGTGGAGGTTGGGAAGGAGGCGGCCGTAATGGGGAATGTGGAGGCCTTGATGCCCCTCCAGGAGGTGGGTTGAGTTTTGGAGGCATTGAAACAACATGGTCTTCAGGTGGCGGAGCATTATGCTGCCATTGGTACACCGGGCCACCATAAGGGTCGACTGCAATTGGTCATGAAATTCCAACTTATAAATGATATTCACAAAGCTCTGAAGCAGGGATTAAAAAAAAGTAGGAATCATAACCTTAACATATCAGCTAGAATTTAGAAGAACAAAGTTAGTACTAATGTGCAATCCATATATACTTCATCTAAATTTATAAGATTGGACCCATAAACAAACCTCAATTCTTATAGTCATTGTGCTCAACACACCCAAACAACCAAAACTGGAATGAAAAAGGGGACAAAAAAGCAAAAAACGAAAACCACATTCCGTGATTGCAGGCACACTTCCAATACTTGATATCTAATGCAATGAGGAATCCTAAGTCATACACATTCCAAAGAACTAGAAATGACCCAGATCCATTCTCAAGTCCATTAATTAATCCAAAATCATTTAGCTTAGATGATATATCAACCAGGATTAAAAGAAATCGATCTTGGATCAAAAAGTTCTCACCTTTAGGACCTGTTGGCGGAGGACCATAGTAATCAAAAGCCGCATGGCTTCTTCTCTTCTTCCTTCTACAGAAAATGAATATCAAACTCAAAATTGCCAGGAGGGCAACTGCAGCAATGGCAATGCCAACTACCACCGGAGTAGATACACCCCCGCCGCCTCCGCCGCCATTGGATGAAGGAGAAGATGGGCTTGGGTTCGATGAAGGTGGTGAGTTACCTCCCCTTGGAGCCGGTGGAGATCTCCCACCCGACGGCGGCGATGGTGAAGACCCTGAAGGAGGAGAAGGAGTGGTGGAAGGTGGCGACGGAGGAGATGGAGTCGTCGAAGGTGGCGATGGAGTAGTAGACGGCGGCGGAGATGCCGGAGTTGAAGAGGGTGGCGACGGAGGAGATGAAGCGGGAGGAGGAGTGACGGGGGCTGGAGGAGAAGTAGCCGGAGCAGGAGTAACAGGCGCTGGAGGAGTAACAGCAGGAGGCGGAGTAACAGCCGGGGCCGGAGGGCTAGCAGCAGGAGGAGGAGGAGTAGTCGCCGGCGTCGGCGGTGTCGCGGTAGCATTGCCCCCAGGAGGCGAAGTAGGAGCCGGAGACGCTCCCGGCGAAGACATCCTTCACCCTGACCCCACCCTTTAACTAAACGTACAAGATGAAACGAACTGTATCGATTGTGAGTTAAAACAGAAAGAAATAAAGATCGTCGGAGGAGAAAGCAAAAACAGAAACTTTTCGTACAGAACTAGTACTTTGATAAAATTTGAGAAACGAATTGAGATAATGTATCAGGAGAAGCACTATAATGTGGGTTTGAAAAATTGAAACTTTTCAAAGAAGTACAGCTTTTTTTTTGGTGAATTTAGCTTTGGAAAAAGCTTAAAAGGGTAGGCTGGACATGGCAGCCAGAGCCTCCGGAAATTGGAGTAGAAGAAGGAGTCTAATATTAACCTTAATCAGATATGATAAATACTGCAAAACCACATCTAACGGGTTTTTGAGTTTTTTTTTCTTTTCCTTTCTCTTTCTCTCTCACCTACTTGGGGTGTCTGTGTGGGGGAAAAAAACACTCAAACAGTGTGTGCTTTGTGTGTTCACATATAATAGACTAGGTTGGAGTATGTCAAAAAAAAAAAAATGTGGGGAGAGAATTTAGCATAATTGGAGAAAAATCTGAAAATCAAAAACGGGACAGAAAGTTGGAAGGGTGGGCCCACACGTATGGCCCGCGCATTTCTCCGCCTTTTACTCGTTGGGATAAAATCGCTTAATTGGGGAGTTGAGTTCGGTGACAAATTTTCTGATGTTTTTTTTTTTTGTGTTTTTTTTTTTCGCTTTCAGTTTGGTGGTGGTCTTTTTCTTTTTATTCTTTTCTATTGATTTGTGATTTGTGTCCATTTTCAGCAAAATTGATTAAATGCTTTCTTAATAATATAAAGATCGCTCAATCAATAATTCAACTCGTTTGATCGTAATATGTCATGATATAAGATAACAAATCATGTACAAGCGATTCAATCAGTAATTTATAAGCCGATCGTATAATACATTATTGACGTTCTCCTATTTTCAAATTTTAATTTACGGCCATTATTTTTTTGTTACTATTTTAAAATTTTCTCTTCAGGTTGAAAAGTATACTGAAACTAAAAAAAGTAAAATAGTTAAATAATAAAAACGACCAAGGAAGAAGAGGTCCAGTTCCAACAAGATACTTACCTCACAATGATGCTGACTGAGAAGTATTTACTCGGTTTAGACTTTAGACTATAGAGGAGAATGGCGGTATTAATGACTCCATTATACATTTTTGGAATATTCTTTCTGTCAAAAATGTACTAATATTTCTTTCGGGAAAATAATCTCAAGGAGTGATTACAGGATAATCAAAGAACTTCTAGAAAATTTTATCCCAAGGGAAAAAAAAAACCTTCTAGAAAATAATCTTTAGTGGTGATGAGCTGAGATGAACTCGGTGTCATAATTAGTTTTGTGTTTGCTTGTGCCTTGTCTTGTTTCATTTAGGTCAAAAGAAATTCTTGAGACTCAAACTGTCCGAATGAAAGTAATCAATGCTTTAGATTCCAACAATAAATATAATTTTGTTTAACATTTTTGGTTAATATTTATCATTTTATAAACAACAACAACAAGTCTTTTTCTCACTAAGTTAAGTCGATTATAAGTGTGTAAAAGAATGACATAGTGTGATCTATATGAATAAACAAGTAATAAGATTTTTTGTTACGTTAAAATCAACATAAAATTCAAAGACTAAGATGTGATATCTATTTATTCAATAAATTCTGTAATATCAAGTGAATTCGATATTCGGATTACAGATGTCACGCATCATTCCAAGAATGATGAATTCACGATTCATCCATCTTCATGGAGTTGATGATTTAAGTTGAGTGTTCTAACTTCTAAATTCTAAATAAGGATCTGAAAAAGGAAAAAAAATAGTTTGTGATTCAAAATTCCAGTTGTAACAATCAAGTCTCTTATCCAATCAGCGTACACTAGTACTAGTTGTTTTGTTTACATTTACTTATTTCATTTGTCCTCATTATGCAATTTATTATGCTCCAACCCAAAAGACCCATAACTTCTCTGTAATAAAGCAAAGGGACAATGACATTGCCAGCATACCATACTTGGTTATACATATTGTTGGTATGCTTTTTCAATTTGCCTCCATCTTAAGCAAAAAAAAAAAAAAAAAAAGGTTTTAAAAGTTCATCATGTAAATCAACTAAAATAGGCTCTATCCTGAATTAAACGTCCGAGTGTTCTTCACCTAATTTCATAAAATTGTCGTACTATGCAACAACTTATATTGACAACATTCAACTTCGTCAATCACAATAATCCATTTATCAAATGATTCAAGCAATAATTTAGCTTATCACAAGTATTATATATTTTAATAATATTATAACCATCGTGACTGAACTATTCATTCTCATTCTTGTTAATTTATTTTCTGAAAATTATACTCTAGCTTCCAAGGGTTAATATAGTAACAATACCAATAAAGAAAATGCAAAATGAAAATATTCAATAAGAAAATTATAAAAAAAATAAGGAAAATTATTTTTGACAATAGTCGCTAGAACAGCAACACCATGCAACAAAAATGATCGACATTATTAAATCACAAATTTCATCCACAAATAGATATATGCTCATATTTAATCGAATAATAAAAGAAACAAATTAAAACCACCAATAAGGGGCTCACTGCTAATGATGATCTTGATAACGAGGTTTTTTCAAAACGAACTTTGTCCTTTTTCTATTGACTAATTTAAGGCCAAATTTTCAGTTAATCCATATTATTTTTTAATTTGAATATTCTCATTATAGAGTCATCATAATTAGTGGATAATAGCTAATTAATTGACTAGCCGTAACACAGATGGAATACACTGCAATTAAATTTAAGAATTAGGTGAATTTGGCAGGAATCACTTTTGAGGATTTGATGGCTTCAAGTATAAACTATAACTTCAAAGGAATCCAGCTGGACAAGAAATGGACGCGCTACTCCTACCAAAACCACATTGGACCATTCTTTTTTTGTTTCTGTTTTTTTTTTCCCCTTAAGTATGCATTTTAAAATTATTAATCTTCACTTTATATACTTAATCAACAAGGGGCGAGTTCACGTTCTTAATCATATTTTTTTAATCCATAATTTACATTTTTTGTCGTAATAGTAATCATAGTTGCCAATTCCTTTTATACCCGTCCGTTTGATAATGTTCTTTCATTGAGAATATGTCAAAGTTTTACTTTGATCCTTCAAAAGATAAAATGGTGGCTTGGGCAGTTGAGAAATTTTCAATTTTTTTTTTGGCATTATTTCCTCTATTCCATAATTATTGTCCATTTTGGGTTTTCATTTCTAATTCAAATTGTACTAAAAATAAAATCACAAACTAGACAATAATTTTGGGACATAGGAAGTATATTTTTGCGGCTTCGTTGGCATTTGGCAACCAACAAGAAGAAGCAATTGTGTTCAACAGACAGCAGGACTTCCTTATCTCCAAGCCAGCAATTGAAACGTAGCATCACGATTATCTGGTCTAGTAGTAAAATAACGTTTTGGGCCGGTGACAATCGAATTGTTGTTAATTTACACATTTTTGTACTGATTATTACTTATAATATACTGTAATTAATGTTCTTAATTATTATAATACTATTTACTACTATATTGTTTTCCTTACAATTAAAGTAAAAGGATCCAAGTGTCACCGACCCATTAATGGTTATTATGTGCCGGTACATTGTTATGTTTCCATGCATGTGCAACAAAATCTTTTTAATAAAAAAATGTAAAAATATACTATATTAGTAGTGATTAAGTAGTGAGTAAGATTATGATTGCGGTGATAGTAGTCGTAGGTTTTTACATTTCTTTTATTATGTAAAATAAATATACAGTACTTTTTATGTCCCACAAAAATTGTCCACATTAAATTTTGAGTTTTGTACTGTTTTTAGTACAAATTTGAAAACTCAATGTGAACTATTCTTTTGGAATGGAGGTAGTAGTAGTATTTAGGTTCTTTTGATTTAACTAATGTGGTTTTTTGTTGGAGGACGGGAAGAGGTGTTTTTTTTTTTAAAAAAAAATGACTAGCATTTGTGAGTCATAATTTTGATTAAGGAAAGATTAAAAAATATTTAGTACTAAAAAATAATTTTGTTACGATTGTAATTTAACACTCCTTGCTCCCCGAGCCAAAAGAAACGAAGATATCAAACATATGTCTTCTGTTTATTTACGAGTTGTTCTAAATTTAATAAAATTAGTATATTCTCTGCACCAAAATTATTATTGTCTAATTTGATTTTTTATTTCTAGTTCAAATTATACTAAAAGGGAAAACTCAAACATGACAATAATTATGGGACGAAGGGAGTATTATAACTTCGTTGTCATTAGAGTAAGTGAGTAACTAGCACACACAAAATAAAAAGGGGTTAACGTCTTGATCCCTCTATTTTTTCTTCGTTTTTCCCTGCTTTAAACTTTAAACTTTTTAGCGTCTTACTCATAATTTGAAATTTTTTGAACCTTGAAGAGTTTGTAAAAAGCAATTACGCAACCTTTGACCAGAAATGTCTTCGTTAAATATTATTCATAATTCCTTAAAGTAGGAGGCCGCTTATGTTTGAACTCCGAAGACCACATTTATTATAGTTCAAACGTCTGTTAAATGCGTTCTTTTTTTTGCTTTAGAAATGTATACATATATTGTAGTATCAGATATTTGGTCAGCCCAGCCACCGGGTGACCGCCGTCCTGCGAGTCAATTCCGGCATGCAATCGTCATTATAATTATATCGAAGAGGTTGTTGAGTTTAAAGAAAGACATTTTCATCATTTTACCATAAAGCACTAATTCATGTAGAACGCGGATAATTATTCTTCAGGCTCTGGTCGTTTTATGATTTGTGAATGGAATCTTTTGTACTTCTTCCGTCTCATAATTATTGTCCAATTTTAGTTTTTATTTTTAGTTTAAAATATACTAAAAATGAAATCTCAAATTTGGACAATAATTTTGAGACAGAAGAAGTAACTTTTTTTATGTTACATTTATAGTGTTTTTCACGGCGGTATCTTTTATTCATTGACGATCTCACGTAAACAAGATGATCAATGCAGATGTAGTGCAGATAAAAAGTGTGCCACAAAAAATGTCCCAAAATATTTTGTCATATGATTGTTTCGGTCTTTTTTAAATATATATTTACTATTTTATGGTAAATTTATCAGGGAAACAGAAACGGGAATTGAATAAAGTAAGTTTGGCCATAATCAATCCTTAATTTTTCGAATGAGATTCTTTCTCCTACTACGCACTTGTATTTTGGAAAACAGAAATTGAGTAAATGGGCCAACTGCATTCTTTTAATAGTGAAAGAATAAAATTTGTCAGATTTTTGCATGCGATATTTAAATAATAAGAAATAAAAAATATGACTTATCTCCACAAATACATACAATAGTAGTACTAATATATTCTTTCTTATAGTATTTTTCTGTCTTTTATCTTTCTACGGTTTCTTTCGTTTGGTCCATTTCGGGGAAGACTGGCGGGCGGGCGGAACTCCGGGGGACCAGAAGAAAGTCACATGTGGGATTGGGGATATTGGAATCCAAATTTCCACAACATCATCATCATCAGTGGCACGACATTCGCAATTTCGCATCTCCGTAGGTCCGCCGCAGCAAAAAAAAAAAAAAAAAAAGATCGAATCTGACCAAAATATCTATCATCTCACGGGAAAAAATTCGTGCATTTTACAATCCCATGCAATAAATATTGGAAAAAGCCATATTATACAGTTCGTTAATTGCAAAAATGACAGAATCTTGTTATGATGGTACGCGATGATGAGCAATTGAGCATTCTTCCTCCTAAATATATGAAATCAGTCTAAATGTGTAAATTACATAATTTTTTTCACTGATGTGTTGGACAGAATGATCTTGAAATTGTCAGAAGATGTCACATGTCAACTCTCAACTGTAATATGAAGTTTGAATGGATGAGTAATATATGTTCTTTTTTTACTGTGGGGGTGGAAGAACACTACAAGGTTAAGAATTGGTGTAAGTTGTTTGTAACTACAATCAATGAAAGAGTTTCACTTGCAAAGGAACATAAAATGACGTCTGCAAGTACGACAGGAAACACAAGGGTGGGATTGTGAACCAAGTACGCCGAGAAAACGTGTTGCACTGTCTGCCGGTCAACAACCACTAGGAAGTTGCCTATCTTCTCTACTATGTTCTGAAAATAAAAGATAATAAGATGCCCATTCTTCTTTCACTGCTCGTACTCCTGGCACAACTAATTCATTAGCTGGTGAGAGACTACAATCTTTTCTTCTTTTTCTTTCTTTCTTTTTTTTTGGGGGGGGAGGGGTAATAGAAGAATACCATAAAGCTGATACGGAATTATAACATAACGAGAGACTATAATCGTTTTTCTAAAAAATCAGCATTTACAGAATTTTCTGTTTGTTTAGATAGTTTAACAAAATAGATTATTTTTCTTGGACAAAGAGAACAACTCATTTCCGTCTGTCTTTTCTACACTTTCTTTTGTCATATAATAATGGTCACGTCTTGAAAAATAGTTTTAGCCGCAGGATTGTTATTTTCAAGAATGAGATGATTAGAAAGTACCAACGCGATACATCAGGCTATGGCGGATCCATGCAGATTGAAAAACTTGGCTGGAGCCTGAAAATATATCCTAGACAACAAATGATTTGACGCTACTGTCTTTCAGGAATTGTCAAACTCCTTGTTTTAGTCAAAACCAAACCCTTCATCTTCATCCTCATCAATGGAATCCTCCTCACCCCCGCTAAACCCCTCAAAAGTTGCATTTTCAACGTCTTCCTCAAACTCGTCATCCTCCATGGAAGTTTTAGATTTCTCATCTCTGTCTCTTGACTTCTCCATATCTTTCCTCAGCCGATCCATATCCTCCTGCAGACGTTGCTCCTCCAGTAGATTCTTTGCTGCTCTTCCCTTGTCCAGTTCATTCCTAGGAATCATATGGCATATCTATTAAAATGATGAAGCTGGTAAAATCCAGGGCAATGGATAATTTTGAGAGAATAGAAAAGCAGTTAATTTCACCTAATAGTTCTTTTAGAAAAATACATCCACATGAAACATTGGGAAGCTAAATCTGTTACCTATGATTTTCCATGTATTCCTCAGCACTGGCTTCAACTGCCCTAAAAAAGACATCCATCCCAGCACCAGAAACTGCAGATACCCCAACAGATCTAAGGTTCTTGTAGAACTTCTCCAATGCAAGGGATTGACTTCGAGACACTGTGGATGTGTAAGAGTCATCTGAATCAAGTGCTGCTTGGAGAAGTTCGAAATTTTGCATCCACTGCAGTTTGAAAGACAATATTTCAGATATTACTACAGTCCACCATATGAATGCAAAAAATGCAAAGACAGCAGAAAATCTGGAATGACTTTAGAGAGGAAAAATTCTAAAAACTAGCATCTTGAGCCAAGCTGAGGAAAAAAAAAAAGTCTCCAACTTCAGCAATATTATCACCTTTCCCTCATCAAGAAGTATCACCATATCATCTCCAAACCCTTGCTCACCAAAAGCAAATTGAGATGCTAAGCACAAAGCGATCCAGGGGATAGACAACATAATGGAAGGTAAGGTGAAAATGTGATCATACCTCCAAAGCGAACTGATGTTGCGCTACATCAGTCTTGTTAAACGCAAATATAAGTGGTAACCTTGTCTTGTAGAGAAGACGACAAGCATACAGCAAGTTACTCATAAACGTGGCAGGATTGGTTGAACGTGGTGTATCAACGACATAAGCAATCACAGTAGGGAAGGTTGATGCAAAACCTTCGGTGATGATTGCCCCAGAGGCTGACCAGGTGAAAATCTCAATCTGACCAGGAGTGTCAACTAAAACATAGTCCAGCTGATCTGCTCGATTTTCAATCACAGACACAACCTGCAGCCACATTGGGATTTTAAGCTAAAAGCAAGGCAACATAATAACATTATATGAAAATTTAGTTAGGAAAACAGGATCAAAAGTCAGATACGTTGAAACAGATGATTGTGAGCCGAAAAAAAAGAAAAAGTAAAAAGGGAATGACCAAAGGAAATAACTGTTACCAAAATGAAATGGTTTATCGAGGAAGTCCAATGCCATAACTTTTTGAGTTTAGAGGAGAGGAATCACCTCAATGACTCCAATGTTTCAAAGGAAGAAGATTTAGAGAGAGAAATTTGCAAAGCAAAATCAGATGTTGCCCCCAACAGTCCAGCCAATAAAGGCAAGAACAATCTCATTCGCCTATAGTTCAATTATTTCTGTCTCGCTAGAAAATCAGACAAGTAATTTGATCTATTAGGCTCACCGCATACTACAGAACATAGGATCTTGCCAACTTCTAAACTGAAAAGGTGCAATGTGTCTTTAGGCAGAAAATAATTGGAAGACACAGTTTACTGACAAAAGTGTCCCCAAGTTAGCAATAACATTATAGAATGAAAAGAAACTAGATCAAAGAAAAAAGAAAACAAAAATAAAAGGAGAAAACAAGAACAAACCTTCACAAAACAGGCAACAGAATGAAAGTTTGAGATGGAGATTTAAAGCAATCCAACCTAGTGAAATCTTTTTGATACATCTCACAGAATAACTAAACACAATTATACTCTCTTCGTATATTGCAAGTATATGACATTCCTCATAACCTCTCAGAGTCTCATTACTCAAACCGTTTCGGGTTGTATTGAAAATCTATTTAATAACTCTCATAGAAGAATACGAACTAGTCTGTCACGATGTGTAATTGATCACAAGACTAGTAAAACTGCAGAAATGGACAAGCTGCAGCTAGGGAAGAAATCACGCAGATGAATATTTATACGCAAAATTAGATAGAGATGGAGAATGTAAGTTCCAGTCTCGAGCCTTACCTCATCAAACTTTGTAGAGAACAAGTGTAGGGATGCCAAAATGCCACCATTTGGTCCAAGATTGGACCCATTCATTTCTTCCCTATAACGAACTGTATCTCTTATGTCAATGTTTGCTGCATATGGTAGAGCCATCGCAGCAGGGTCAAGATTAACCACATACCCGCGAAGGTTTGAGGCCATTGTGTGGCACACTAATCGGTGCATAAAAGTTGTCTTTCCACTCCCTAATAAAGAACAACAGACCACTTAAATGTAGAACATCAAGCACCATAATTCTATTGAAACTCCTCCACAAAATCTCACAGTTCCTATCGAAACAAAACAAACAAGAAAAAGGCTTGATATAGAGTACGGATATATTATAGTATACAATTTTGCCATGTTCATACCTGCCATTCCAATAACAATGATGACAACAGGTTTTCGCTTAAAGGTGGATGATGACTCTGAGATGATCAAATTCTCCATAGACTGTAACATTTCATCTTTATGATTTCCATCTAAAATGAAGAAGCAAAATCAACTCAAGTCATATACATTACAACCTTGTTTGTGTCATGTCTAAGAAGTACACCATCAAATTAATCAAACACCTCACGTACCCAAGCCAAGACTTGCGTTCGGGTCAGTACACATATCAGTGAATATATTTGCTTCGGAGTCCACTTGCATTGATGTTTCAGTGTCATCTGCTTTTGGGTCAACATCCATTTTTGAAAACTGAAAAGGAGAGGAAACAATTTAACAACTGGAATTAAACTCTTCCAATTTCCCTGTTTTGGGTTACATTAAACGAAATCAGATATTTGATCTTGTTCCATAATGCAGCTAAAAGCATAATGATGTATAAGTAAATTTGCCCTCACAGAATAATTGGGCATCATGTTTGTGCAGAAGTAAATTCTCCAAGCACGAATATTAGGGCAATCTAATTAAAACATTAGGGCTAATTGAATAGCCGTACGAACCAATTCGTCTTTCGGACTTTATCCTTCAGTCGGCGCTCGTGCCTTTAAGGATAGTCTCAGGTGCTTGTGTAGAGTTCCGGTGACCGGAGGTCGAGCAGGGCTGATCGGAGGGATTGGTTGATTTCGACGATCAGGGGTGGCTGTGGAAGAAGACGCTGGCGTTTCAATTTGGCGCTTCTTTTTCCAAATACATTTATTACCTAATTATTAGCCTCCGTCTCTACTCTCTACTATACATTGTCTTGTCAAAAAAAAAGAGAAAAAGCTATACATTGTAAATTGTAGAAGGTTAAACCCTTCCTTTTTAGGATATTCTCATTTCTGTCTCCTATATTAGATAGTAATAAATACTACTCCCTCTGTGCCACAGAAATAGTCCACACTGAGTTTTGAATTTTATATTGTTTTTAGTACAAATTTAAAGACTCAATATAGACTATTTTTGCGTGATGGAGATAGTACAATGTTTGTTTATTTCCATTCGATTGTCTGATCATTAAGTGAAAAATATTTGGAAAAATTCCTTTTGGGCTAATATTAATGTAGAGAACAGTTCTAAATAATTGTTAACATAGAGAACACAATTGTTCATTTGGGCTGATATAAATGACCAAATTCAGGATTCAATCATATTTAAAATAAATGTGTTTATCCAAATGGCACATCAAGTCAGTCAGGCTCTCAATATAAACCCAATTGTCATGGCCTTTTCTTTGATTTTTGGGTTGGTAAATATTGTAGGTTATTCCATTTCCTTATTCCCAGTTTCCCGCACTAAATGTCAGTTATTGTCACGGGCAGATAAGTAACGATCATGAGCGAAGGATAAATTTTCTTTTCTTTTCTTTTCTTGATGGTCATGAGTTCAACATCGACTGTCGACGCATTGGGTGTCTTCGTCATCAATTTGCGTTTGGTATCCTTGATAATAACATCGACTGTCGACGCATTGGGTGCAGCCTTGGAATAGATAACAGGAGGTCACATAGCAAGTCTCACCGCAATACTCTCCTTTACTCGTCAGCTCTCTTGCGGGGAAGGTCTTCATTGCTTCAGTTATGCCCACACGAGAGGACTCAACTTCCACAACCCCAACAACTGCAACATTCAAAAAGTTATTTTATATATTGACAACTTATAATTTTTGTAAAAAGCTTTCATGAAATAGTAATAAAAGAGTACTATAAATAATCACCCATATGAACCCTACCCTACATTACGTTGATCTAGCTAGCATTGTTTGTAAGGTAAAAATGGATTCATTAAACATAACGTACTAAATATAAAATTGTTTTGTTTTTTAAATCAAAATAATTGTCTTTTTTGTTATAATATAATAATAATTAACATGACAATTAATTAGGACTCGGAGAATATTATATATATATATAAATAGATAAAGATGTGATGGGAGTTTACTTACAAGCTTCAAGGAGCAAGACTAGGATGAAATACTTTGTAAACTTAGCCATTTCTCCTTCAGATAAAATTAGTTGTAAGGGAGAACAAAGCCAACAACAAAAGTGTATAAATGATGCTTTCGTGTGTTCCTTGTAGTTTCTGTATTGAACGTGTTCATCATATATATATATATATAGAGGGGTTGGCTAAATGTTAGTTCACATCCACACTTGCAACACAACTCCAAAAAAACAAAAGCTATTCAGATTTGCTTATTTAGGGTAAGAAAAAGAATCTAGCCATCTTGTCATTTTCGATATCCCAACATCACTTCACCTAAAACTATAAAATTTCTCTTTGATTCTTACTTTCAAAAATCATTGTTTCAACATAAAATTTTAATTTAATTAAATTTAGGTCTACATTTATCATATTTAAACCTTTCCAACGTATTCCACAAATTAATACAGAAAAATAGGTCTACATATGTCATGCATTTTTCAAAAACAATTCCGATGAATTGATAGGATTAAATATTTTGTGATTGTCACTAAATATAAGACCGAACCCGCACATTAGCGCACGGGTCAAAAATCTTGTACTTACATTATGGCATTATCTAGCTGAACCAGTAATCCAGACACCCCTTAAATTAACTTCACTAGTTAGCTTCCTAGTGCGGTTAAAACATGGAGAAAATGTAGTACTCCTCTATCTATTTTCGGTACATTTTTTTACTTCTACATTTTACATTTCCAATATAATTTTACTATTTTTTAAACAAAAATTAAAAACCAAAATGACGAAAAGACATACAATTTGCTTTTGTACATTATTGCAAAGTACTTTCTCCTTCTCATAATTATTGTTCAGTTTGGATTTTCACTCTAAATTCAATTTGTACTAAAAATGAAAAACCAAACTGGTCAATAATTTCGGGACAGATGGAGTATTATTCAATACACTAATTGGTTTGTTATTCAATAATTCTTTTTCAATGGCTTATTTCTCATTATTTGTATTTGACATTGTATTATTTGCAAGGATGTTCAATAGATATTGGATATAAGTTAGTTCGCAAACCACAATAACTTTGATAGTTTCATCACACAATGCCCCATGTCAAATAATATTTTATGTATAATTGGAAAAAAAAATTATATTTACAACCTAATTGTTCTCGCTTTCTTCATCTAATATTACCAACACTCTAGTAAAATAATGATTCGTGAATTTTGGTGACCGGTTAAACTTTATAAATGATTTAGTGTGTCTTCTTCGTATTATCATTGTCTTTTTTAGTACAATGAAAGAGCCAATGACACAAACACAAATGCAGCCATATCAATTGTTCCAACTCTCGTCTTCATCAGATCGACTCTAATTAAAGCAGAAAACCATTTGTAAGTTTTAGGGTTTTTGGTTGGATTATAATTAATATTTTTAGTTTAGTAACTTGGCCAAATTGTTAGGTTGGCCGAATTGTGTTTATATCTTTAACAAGTTATGCCAATCATCATTAACCATATATTGCACGCGGCTCAGTAGTTAGAAAGAACTTTAAACTTAGAATAGTAAATTTTGGTGGTTGATCATTTCTGGGAAACGTGCAAAATTATACTAGTTAGTATAAGTAGTAGTATTAGGTTTGGTTATTTTATGTTTATTTTCGCCGACTTATAAAGGAGTTTCTGGCCGAAAAGCAAACAGACTTGCACGATTTTTATGATTGATTATTTGTCATTATAAACTCCTTTTTTTTTTTTTTTGGCAAATTAATATCCTATTAAAAATGTGAATTTTGTTTTGGTTCAATTGATAGCGTTTAATATTTTTTTTTCCCTTTACTACTAAGTAGGGTCGAGATTTTCATACAATGAACGAATTTTTACACTGACGTATTACACTTTTGTGCATCCATTCCCACAACATTGGTGACAACAGCTTGATTTTTCGCTTAAACGAAGATGACTGATCAGCTACTCCATAGTACTGAAAGATTTCATCTTTTTCATTTCCATCTAAAATGAATAAAAGGAAATACATGAATATATACAGATTAATATATATGCATTGTATTTAATTAATTCAGGGGCTTTAGTAGCGTTCCAATGAGCAGCCGTCAAGCAGGAGATTGGACGGATTTCAATTTTGGTTGATTTCGACGATTACATTGGGATGAATGTGCGTGGGTGTGGAAGAAGACTGTGGCGTTTTAAGTTGGCGCGCTTCTTTTTTGGTTCCAAATACATTTCCTAATTATTGAATAAAGTTATTTACCATAAAACCCCTTCATTTCAAGGATAATCTCAGTTTTGTCCCCATATGTTATAGATTGTTTATTTCTCTCTTATTTATTGATCAAATGAAGAATCCGAAAATACTTTTACTTTTTTTTTTTGATCTATTACACTCACCTAGCATCGAAAATCATTGTTCTAACTAATTCATTCTTTCAACAGGTGGTATTTTACTGGCGTGCCCAAATTCGGATCGAGTCATAATTATTTATACTGACCCAATACATTTATTACTTGGATCAAGTGCTTATTATTTCTTTAGTAATTTTTTTTAGCCCCATAAGCATACCAAAATAAGAAAATATGGATGTGGCCAGAACAAAATTGGGGACTAAATCTAACCAAACTCACGAATGCCTTGAACTCAACTCCTTGATGAGTCCAAATAATTAGTTGGAGAAAGTTCCACACTTAAGCTTCTTTTCGTGCTACTTCTTAAGGATTAATTTGCTATCTGTAACACACTAAATACATAATTCAAAATGTGCTATCCCGGTGACATATGTGCTCTTGTGAAACCCAAATTCTTGAGACCCCGTGCTTGATTTTTTTAAAAGGTCGAGCTACTGGAAACTGGAACGCCGAGGGGATCTCCCATAGGAAAATGATCAAATTAATTCCCTTCCTAGTTCCTAGTTTTCATCTAGCTTCCTTTGGAAATAAAAATGGACACATTTCCGTATTATGCACCGATTTCGCACCAACTTATAGGCTATTAACATAATTGTATTTATCTCTAGTGGTGTTATATATCAACGTAAGCTAAAAACGCTCTTTACAAAAAAAACAAAAAAAAAAAATTTTGGGGGCCTTTTACAGAAACGACAGAGACAACTTCCTGAGGGATTTTTACAAATTTTTGGGAAGATGTTCGGTTGAGAAGGCTTGCGGCCATCCGTACAAGTCTAGAAGTTGCAAAGCAGCAATGATTCATCAAAATCCTTGTTGAATCTGATTACGAGATAGCTATATATAAAGCTATGCTCTAGCCTAAATGGAATCAGAAACTTGAATTCTGATTTGAGATGCATTCAGGACCTTTTGGATAATAGTTTTGGGAAGTACCTTTTAAGCACATATTTAGGGATAACAGTTCCTGTGCTGATACAATAACAAAGAACGCTTTACGGAAGAATGGGAGATTATACAATTTTTATATCATCCCCTCTTTTATATCCTTGTTAGAGCATGATAATTTTAGTTCATGTCCGTCTTTTGATCAAGGTACCTAACTTTATTTAGAAATAAAGTCTATTTTCGACCAAAAAAAAATGAAAATCATTCGATTTCGATCGAAAGCCAACAAAACTACTAAAAATAGGATCTACTCATGTAATGTACGTGGTAAGTTAAACCATGATCGGAACACGGAATAATCAGTATCTCTTACAAACGAAATGTGCTCATTTAACATTCTGAAGTATCGTCACTTTTATTGTAAAAAGGATGGAGAAACCATAATCCCTAGAGATCAGCTTGCTCTTTTTGGTTTCTTTCTCCATTTTGCATTTCATGAAACAAAAATACATAGAGGACGGATGCATTGGCAGCCGCGAACGGCGGATGCACATGGTAGAAAAACGCAGCTCTCACCACAATATTTGGCGGTGCCCAGCATCTTTCTCCGGGAAAGGTCTTGATAGCTTCAAGAGTTCAGTATATAGTCCCCTCCAGAAGAAGACTCAACTTCTAAAACCCCAACAACTGCAAGATTCTAAAATACTTTTACTTAGTAATTTCTAAGAACAACTCAATTAACGGGAGACCAAGAAAACTTATAATTCATAACAAATAATTTCTTTCTAATATTCTGTAACACATAAATTAAGGAGTGCTGATTTATTATTATGTAATCACTCATATTAAAAGTAGATTACGATGGTTTAGCATTGAAATTCCAAAAAATAATTTTAAAAAAAATATAGCTAAAAATTGCTAGGGAGATGTAAATGTAAACTCCACGTCCTAAAATGATTGTTATGTTTTACTGTATTAAAATTGTATTTTCCTTTATCTAGAAATCATTGTCCAGTTTAAATTTTCACTTATAATTCAATTTTCAGAGGAAGTAATAAATATGAAAATCATTTTAGAACATATGAATATATGAAAAGGAGAGATTTGACGGAAATTTACTTACCAAGCTGCAACAAGGAATATAGCATGAAATACTTTTCATTTCTTCTCCGGGCACAAGTAGTTGTAATATGGTCATATGGACTGGTGAGTTCATATCTACATTTGAAAAGATAAAAAATAAAAAAATAAATAAAAAAAAGGTGCAAGGCGACCATTGACTTCTTAAGTGTTTTATTCTTTAAAAATAGCAGTTACTCCATCCGTTTTGAAAAGAAAAAAAGGAAAAATCCACATTTAAAAGGATAATGATTGTGAAGGAAAATTGTACAGAAAAATTTAACAAGACTGAATATAATCATTAGATGATAATTAAGATTTAGCCACCTTAAATTTTTATTGTCAAATTTGTTCTGCATGTATCAGCCTATTATTTAAAATTAATACGTATCTCAAAATTCAATACGAATTTATTTTGAGAACAATAGAGGGAGTATTATATATTGGTATCAAAGATCCAACATAATACTGTAACAATTTACGTGAGACTGACACACTTTCACATGATTACTCATAATCTTAACTCAAAATACGTTTATATAGAGAGAAAGCAAAAAAAGTCAGTAATCTATTGTTTTCGATAGCCATATTCACGAAATTGACCGGATTGGTAGCGCGCCTTCTATATATATTGAATTGCACATTTAAGAGCGTATGACGTGTACATTCGCGCTTCCTCAATAAACTGCAATCTCCATCAATGTAAGAGAGTATCTTTGTATAATTTTAATTAATTAGAAGTATCTGTTTACCAAAAATAAAAATTTCTTAAAAAGGAGTCTCTGGAAACTTAATTTCCAAATTTCTGATACAAAATTAAGAGTTGTCCTCTGGTGTCTATATAAAGTTCTTCAAACGTCAAATATTCAACCTCCATAACATATAAAAAAAAAAACACACACACACACACACATACACACAAACACAGTTTTTCTTCTCATCATGTCGACTACTAGATTGATGATCTGCTTGGTTTTTGGTTTAGTAATCCTAAACCTTCTGACAATGCATGAATGTAAGTTCTAAAGGATATTGATTTTATTTTGCTAGAAAGAGTCATGTTTTTGGGATAGAGAAAATCATTACAACAATGTTTTAATTGCTTTACTTTTTTGTTTTTCATCTTTGATTTTCAAGCAGGTGCTGATCATGGTGGATATTGGAACAGTAAGATTGCTGGACTTCCAGAAAAGAAGATAAATATTGATTTTTGTTACAAAGAGACAATAAACAGACAAGAGATGTGGTGCTGCGAATTCAATGGTCAGAAACATATCCCTTGTTGGATTGACAGAGGTTTATGTCGTGATAACTGTTTTCATACCCCTCCTCAAAGTGTAAAGGCTGAGGCTTTCTTGCCTTGATCCTCGTTTTTTATTAATCTTTCTATGGAATAATGATACCATACTGCTTCAATTCGTTTGTTTTTTGTTCTTTTTTTCCGCATCAGTTATTTGATGTTTATTTTCGTTATGTTTTTAGTTATACATACACAAGATAAAAGAAAATATATGACAGAAATTAAGCGACCTTTTGATGATATGAATGATAATTTATGAAACATGTACTAGTAGTTATTAATACTAGGGTTTGGTTATTAATTAGATTCCGTTGGCCGACTTTCCCCTAAAGGGGTATTTCCCCAAAAACATACAAGATTTTCACGATTATTATGATTAATTTTTTTAATGATTAATTAGCAAATTGTTGTCTTGCAAAACTCGTGACTTATCAATTGAAATATCCTTCCGTTCAAAAAAAAAAAAAAAAAAAAATGGGTCACATTAAAACATTTATAATGTCAATGAATAGACTATTTCTAGAGACGGGATGAAGTATACCGTTTGCATTCGATTGATGCGTCAATATTGTTTTTTTTCCACAGTTAAATTAGATTGAGGTTTTTAGACAATTGAAATAAGTATGGAACGCTATTTTGGAATATTGTTGGATATCCGATTGTGGTGATATTCTTCAACACATTGTTGCTAGTCGGTCAGCTATTTCTTTGGTTGTTATAATTCTAAAATACTACTCCCTCCGTCCCAAAATAATAGTCCACATTTAGTTTCAAATTTATACTATTTAGAATATAAAATTCAAAACTCAATATTATTTTATTGGGACAAAAATAGTATATCACATTTCTTTTCGGTAAAAAACGTCGTCTTCTTCTTTTTTCTTTCTTTTTTAATCTTTTTCATATGTTTGTTATTACAGCCGCAACTTGGGCAAGAACCGATACGTAAAGCCAAAATGAAATAATATGTCGAATCAACAATGTTGGTTTCTGTACAATATTAATACAAAGAATACATATATACACATTGAAATCCTGACGTCCACACAAATTAATCAATAAATCAACTTATGCCGTTTTGATCCAATGATTTTCACGTTTAGCATCTGCTAAAATGTGTAGATAAAAATACATACATATATATATATATATAATGAATTTCTATGCTAACGGCGAGAAAACTTGCCTTTTGATTTCGATTTTTAGGCTAAATCTGTGGCCTTCATGTTATCCATAAAAGTTTAGGAGGGAAAAATTATAACTTGAATAGTAATTTACTAAACCTCGGATTAATTTAGAGATGTTTGTTTTTGTTTTTTTTTTTTTTCTAACTCCTAATGCTCTGTAATTGAAAGCTTACTCTTAAAAAACAAAATTCACAACGAGGGCAAAGTTTTAGGTATGAACGACATTTTGTCCTCGGCTATCACGACCTTAGCTCCATTTTGGGAGAACAGTCGCATGGCCGCCGCTCCGATTCCACTCGCGCCTCCGGTGATGATGGTTTGAGCATTTGTGTACAAGTCCTACAAAAATCTTTACTCCGTGTGTCTTAAAATTGTTGTTTAATTTAAATTTTTCGTTTTATAATACAAACAACTAAATACAAAAAAACTGTACTCAAAATTGAAAATACAAATTGAACAATCATTTCGGATTAAGAAAATAATTATTTAATGAGTAAGTACGCAATTACCTTTTGTTGTTAATGCAGGAAGAAGCAACTGAGGGATGATCATCAGCCATGTCGGCCGTCGGGGACAAGCTAGCAGATCGGAGCACGTACGAGAGAAGCGAATATTTGATGTATATTGGCTGGCACTTTTGGTGATCAGTACCGATTTCTTTTAGCAGTGGTTTTATGATAATCTACTATGGAGGGGTTTCTCAAAAATAAATAAACCTAATACAGCGAGGTTGGGAAAAATGAATGAAACCTGATGTACTGATAATTGGTTGTTTCTTGCATCTGACCTTCCGAGAACTGATTAGGAAGATGAAACAATGTCAACAAGTAAATTATTGTTTATATTCGTGTCCGAATCCAAACCTTTAGTTGTTATTCTTTCTGTTTATCTCTATTATTTCTTATAAAAGAACGAGTTCCAATTATATTCTAATATTTTAATTAATTCATAAATACTTCGATGACATCAGCCTTTTAAAATGGTTATAATTGTCAGTCACTAAATATAATACTATTTTTAAACAATTTCTCCTTAATGAAGTTAAAGACACAGAATTAAAAACTTGAACGTCAAAACGATGTCGTTTTTCCTCCTGTATAATCAAAAACCCCCGCTTAAAATTATACAAATTTTCTGCTACCCTTCCTCCACCTCCGGTCTCCGACTCTGTTAATCCCTCAAATTTCATACTCCAATTTTCCGCTGGTGGTTCACTTCCTCCTCCGCGTCAATTTCAGCCTCCAAGGTTGCTGATAAAAGCAGCGATGGTGAATCTGGAAGTAATATTGGTGGAGGCGGTGGGAAGGTGGAACTGTTAGTGATGATGGAGTTTTTCCGGTAGTGCTCCAAAATCAGTCCTCCGCCAATCTTCCCCGTCATAGTTACCAAATTCGCCCCAATAGCACTAAACCTTCGCTTGACTTCTGAAATCCAGAGTTCCCTCGACTGGTTGAATATAGTGATTTGATCAACAAAGATTGGTGGAGAAGGTGGTCGTGGCGGTGGAATGTTTCCGGGAGAAGCCCTTGATAAATCCACCTCCCCTTCTCACCCATGGAATTCACGTTTTCTATTGTCCTGTAAGTGCCGCATTTCTTTTTATGGCTAAATTTCGTAGTCTCTAAATCAATGAATTGTTCTCGAAGAATTGTGATTTATTTCCCGTCATAGAATTGTGATGTCTCCACTATTATTGTTACCTCCCTATTTCTTTAACGGAATTCGGTTTTATGTTTGGCCATTCCTTTTGGTCCTATTTTTGATTGTTTTTCATTGATGAAAATTTCTATGATAAATTTAATGATTAGAATTGATGGTATTGTTGGATGTTCATGGTGCTTATTCTCGTTAACAATAATCACTTGCCAAATTTTGAGTATAATGCACAAGTTTCATGCTCTACTTCGATTTCCCCTAAAATACTCAAGTATGTGCTATACTGCTTCTTAGAATCAAGCTTGCTAGATACACAGCTATCTCTGCTACATTAGTTTTTGTGGCAGTTGAATAGAGAACCTATGCTTATTGGAGCCTTCTCTTGCTGCTACAAAGGTTAGCACAGGCGAAGAAGTTTTACAAAAAAAAAAAAGACTATATGGAGCACGAAATGGGCTGCCAGAAGACTAGTTTTGGTCATGTTGACGGGATTTGGAATTGGCTTTGTATATTATGGCCTTCAGCTTAATGTTGAAAATTTGAACTTCAACATATACCTCACACTAACAATAAACAGCACGATGGAGATACCAGCAGTGTTCTTCGGTAGCTAACTTAGCATGGCTAATCGCCGGGTAATTTTTTTTCTCAATCAGCTTATATAGCTAGATTTTCAAGCATTCTTTGCATAATATTTGCAAATGTGGGAGATAAATCAGGAGGAAGCTGGCCGTAATTGATCCTTGAAGTGCTTGGGTTCATGGCAATTTTGACTGCATTTGATGTTCTGTATATTTTTTGCGTAGAACTCTTTCCAACGAATGTGATAAACTTCGCTGTCTCAATGTTGCGGCAAGCATTGATGTTAGGGGTATCTATAGCTCCTCTGTTGGTGGCTGTCGGCAGGTTCATTCCTTATATAGTCTTTCTCATTTTTGGGTTGCTCTCCATTTTAAGTGGAGCCTTGAGTTGGTGGCTGCCTGAGACCATAAACTCCCCTTTGTATGAGACACTGGAGCCTTTAACTATAAACTACCAAAAACCTGAAAAAGAAAAGAAATAGAAAAATATAATTTTTCTTTGATTTTATTTTGATGGTGAGGAACGAGCTGAATCCAAATACTACTACTTATCATGTTTTCTTGAGGTACTTATTCTAGTGCAATGATTTGGAAAGTTCGTGGAGCTTGTATCAAAGGATCAAGACCAGATATCTGGTGAACATACAATATTCTCTTGAAGTTTATCAACAAAAACAAATAATTATCTGGAAGATCTTAATTTATGTAACCGGCAATGCCGCTAAAAATATTCTCCTTTGTTATATTTTTATATTGCTACTCAATTATAAAAATATTCTCCTTTGTTACCCAATTATTTTTATATTACTCATTTGTGTCATTTTTTATATTGCTATTTATTTTAAAAACTTATAATTTATATAAAAACTGGTCGCGCAACGTGCGACAAGAAGTAAACTAGTTAAAATTAAAGTTCGGTATCTCACTTTTATTACAATTTAAAATTAAAATAAAAAATTTAAATTATACTAGTATTTCAGGACAGGGCAAATATTAATTATTAAAACCATATTGTGTACATTTTCAAAACCATGAAACTGGGGTTACAATAATTTACGATTAGAATATTATAGGGAAAAGGACAAAAACCCTCCAAGTTATATCCAAAAGACAAATTGCCCCCCGATATTTCATATAAAGACAATAACCCCTTACCGCCAAGTCAAAGACAATTTACCCCTTGCATAAGCAAATCTTAGTGTAAAAAAATAGAAATACCTTTAAATCAAAAAATAAATTTTTTTTACACCAAACTTATCTTCTAACCAACTCGTTTATTTTTCTAAAAATTATAAATACTATTATTTATCATTTTAAATCCGTCCCTAACTCCGTTTTGATGCATTATTTCTCCCTATCACTGCCGCCTCAATAAAATAAATCCGAGATTGAGAATTTAATCTATCAAAATCATAAATTTTATTTCTATTTATCCGGAGAAACAGAATTTATAGTTTTGCTAGATTAAATTCTCAATCTCAGATTTATTTTTATTGTGGCCGCAGTGATATGGAGAAATAATGTATCAAAATGGAATCAGTAACGGATTTAATCGGATCTAAACTGTCTAAGGATTTAAAAGAAAATAAAATAAACGAATTGATTGCAGAGTATGTTTGGTCTTGAAAAAGATTATTTTTAGATTGAAAGGTATTTTTGTCTTTTCGCATCAAGATTTGCTGATGCAGGAGGCAAATTGTCTTTTACCTTGGCGGTAGGGAGTAATTGTCTTTATATGAAATGTCGGGGCAATTTGTCTTTTGGACATAACTCAAAGGATTTTTGTCTTTTCCCAATATTATATGCGCACATAGCGTGCTAGCGTGTATGCTTAATTTATTATCTTCATTGCTAACAGCTTCACTGCATGCCTAGGGGAAGAAGGATCGGTCAATGCGGCTAGCTAGCAACTTGAAAATTTGCTTGAATAGATAAATGGCCATAATGAAATAGTATGCCCCATCAAGAATGTTGTCTGTAGTACAATATTACAAAGAATACATACATATTGAATCCTGGTGTCCACAATTTAATCATTCTAAGCACAACCTAATTATATGCCGTTTTTAGGCTGAATTTGTGGCCCTCGTGGATCGGATATTGGTTAACATAGATTTCAGGAGCTCTACTTTTGGAGGTAAACGTGCCGGTGAGATTTCAGGAAACAATAATATTATCCCAGTTTATTCGTCCAATGAAAATCCAATGAAGTTTCAGGAGCTGGTCTTAAAGGCACCCTTTAAGAAGGAGCCGGTCCCTTCGGTTTAGCTAGCTGGTTTTGACCCGGCTACTTCTCAAAGGGTAGTCGGTTTGTCGCCGACTATCTCTGTTCAGAACGGTTTTTTTTTTTCTCATAATATTCAATGAATTTTGGCAAAAAAAACATATCAAATTTGAGGTCGAGCCTTCCGGTGCTTGATTCTCTTGTTTCGCCATTTTTTTAATTTCTAAATTATTGTAGATCTGAGTTTGACATTGTGATTTTTGGGTTTTTTTTTTTTTTTGAGAGTTGGAGTGGAGAAAAAAATGATTTGAAACTGTGTTTTAATACTCTTTGTAGTACTCAAGGACACAAATGTCCAAACGACTGTAAATGAGTAATTCTTATAATTGGAAATAGCAATGCCCAAAAGAAACTGAAGAATTGAAGTAGTATGGTATCATTATTCCATATAGTATGTATTATTCAAAAATGAGGATCAATTCAAGGCAAGAAATCATCCGCCTTTATATTTTGGGGAGGGATATGAAAACAACTTTCACGACATACAGCTCTATCAATCCAACAAGGAATACGTCTACTACCACTGAATCTACAACACCACATGTCCTGCCCTTCTACTATCTCTTTGTAATAAAAATCAAGGTTTATCTTCTTCTCTGGAATTCCAACAATCTCATGGTTCCAAGATCCATCGGGATCAACACCCGCTTGAAAATCAAAGAATATATATAAATATATAAACATTTAAAATAGTGTTGCAATATACATTCTTTCTATCCCAAAATCATATATATACGTATATTATTGTGTCTGTTTAATTCAATAAATATAACTCTTTTCTTGCGAAATAAAATCAATAATCCTCTAAAACTTACATTCATGCATAGTCAGAAGGTTTAGGATTACTAAACCAAAAACCAAGCAGATCAGCAATCTAGTTGCCGGCATGATGACAAGGAAAAACTGTGTGCGAGTGGTTTTTTTTCCCCCTTATGTTGGTTGAATTCTTTGTCGTTCGAAGAACTATTATAGACACAAGAGGACAGCTCCTAATTTAGTACTCCTTCCGGTCCTTATTATAAAGTATTTTGATTTCATTCTATATTTCACCTAAGATGTCCTTTTAATTGAAATAAAAATCTTAAAAATATTTCATAGTAATTAGAAGAATACAACAAATATAAAAATATATTTTAAAGATTTTTTTTAATTAAAAAGACATCCTATGTGAAACCTAAGACGATATCAAAATACCTTATAATAAGCACCGGAGGGAGTATTATAAAGGGAAACTTTGAATTAAGGGTAGTGGGGAGCTTCTTCATCCTCTCCAGCCGCGATTCATCTCCTTCATTTTGGATCCGTCGGCATTTTGCAAGGTGATCGTAGCAAAGTGGCTCATAAAATTTGCAGTGATCAATTTATTTTGTTCTCTTTAAGCCAAGGGATCTTAAGCATACTTCTAATTCAGTAATAATGGAGTAGTATAATATGATTGTTAAAAAATAAAATAAATGAAGAACCAACTAACTCTCTTTTAGACCATTTGCAGAGACAACATGGCTCAAATAGTAGTGGATTATTGTCATCAATTTTTTCTGGCAGGGGATATGCTCATACATTAATAGTTATAGGTTCACTGACATAAATTGAATTGATCACAAGAAAGAGTAGAAATGAATTAATCAGTGCTAATTTTATGAATCAATTTGCTTCGATTACCTTCCAAAAAAGCCGACAGATTAATGTCTGGTGAAAGAATTTACTCAATGAAATGTGGTGGGAGAGAATGAAGAAGGGGTTTGGGTTTTTTTTCCCCTAGTTCAATGTGATAGGGTCAAATGAGTCAAGGACAATTACGGTAGTATATATACAATTTAATTTTGTTATTTTGAGAAAATAATTTACTGCCTTTAATTCATATTATGTAAAACTTATACCTTTTTATTAATTAAATGCTCCCTACTGTCCTTAATCCAAATTTTCTCTATTATGAACGAAATTTGGAAATTAATTTACCAGACTCCTAACTAAAATTGTACGCAGATACTCTCAGATTCTATTTACATTGATGCGGATACACATATTATGACTGCTTTTAAATGTGAATGCGTAATTAGGAAATTTTGGTGATTTGATTAGTTTGGAAAATGTACTACAATATTAGTTCCCTCTTGTTTCTTTTGGCCGATAAACATACAGACTTGCATGATTTTTTATGATTGATATTTGTCTGTTTTTATAAACTTTTGTTCATTTGGCAAATTGTTGTCCACCTAAAATGAATGTCACCAGTAGTAATTTCTTCTATCTGTCCCATTTTAATAATTATTATGTTGTATCATAAAAATAAAATAGGATGGAGAGTGGATTGTATGCTTAATTCCTTTCCAAGGGATCCTTTCCCACATTAAGTACAAGGGGAGGATCCATGTTGCTACTTGAAAGTATGCAAAAAGAGTATATCAAATATGTAAGAGGTCAGAATTGAAACCAGTATCCCAATCAAGAATGCTGTCCGTACTATATATTACAAAGAATACATACATATTGGGTATCCTAGCCCCCATTCCATCCTCCTGCCTTTGATCCAATAATCTCCACGTTTAGCATCAGCTAAACCGCTTGGAAAAGTGTAATGAATTTTCTATCCTAACGACGAGAACACATGCCCCTTGTTTTCGAGTTGGGCTAAATATGTGGCCTCATCAATTGCGTATGGTTATACAAGTCATCATAACTTCTGGAGCTCTACTTTTGCAGGTAAATGATGAGGTTTCAGGTGCCTGGAAACGTGCTCACCGTGCTCGAAAGGATGATGAAAGCACACACGACAGAGAGAGAGAAGACTGAAACCCAGGTGTTTTCTGTGTACATCTCCATGGCATCTGTGAAAGAGAAACGAGTGCGATTCTCTGCCCAGTTCCGGAGCCTATCTGCCTCTGCAGCATATAATGCTCTTCCCTAGAATTGCAAAAGTCGTTAAGACATGAGCACTAGAGGATGACTTAATATCTACATAAAGTATTAAACTCTATTTCAAAGCTATTACCAACAGTAAAAAGGAACCAACGGCGTGTTACCTGCTCATCAAACCAACGACCTCTTCTAAGCCATGCAGTAACCAAAGCTAGTAATATCCTCGGAGGAGTCAGATAATTTATGGCCTTTCCACTTCCCTTCACAACTCGCATCCTAGGAACCAAGGTTCTAGCAACTGTTTCCGGAAGTTCACATATTAAGTTAAACATCTGCTTGTTTTTTGTGCTTGAGCCACTGCAACATTTCAAACAAAACTTAAACTTGTTTTTGGTAAAAACAGCACTGACGAATGCTTGTACAGTGGTTGAAGCAATGCAAATGGGTCCTTTATCAAGTTTCTCGAAGAGTCCAGAGCTTCATTGATGAATATAAAATCCAATTTACAAGAGATGCAAATTTTCCAAAACCCATGCCTTTACCTCAACAACAGATCTGTTAGAACCATGCCAGGAGAAGCTGTATGCACACCGACATTTATTTTTCTGCTCTCTTTCAGAAGAGATGATTGAAGCTGCCTAAGTCCACATTTTGTTGACCCATATCTGCATGTGAAAGTAATCTAAAATTGAATCATCAATAGCCAAAGTTCAGCTCACAGGTTGATAATGCTAACCAAATTGAAGAGCTTACACAGCGGTCAGGGGAGTGCTAGATCCTCCAGAACCTGCACCATCCATGTTGAAAATGTGTCCTCCTTGTTTTTGGTTTCGCATTATACGCATGGCTTCACGTGTGCAGAGTATGGATCCAACCAGGTTTGTTGAAACGATCTTGCCCCCGAATTAAAGAACATAATACCAAGATCAGTAAAAGGAAAGAGTTACCAGACTTAAATTTTCTATGAGGCCATGAGTTTTCCCTGAAGACAACTAAGGCATCATATTTGTAGCTCGGTGTGACGAAAAAGAAGATCAAATGTATTCCTATTTTGCAATAGAAAGCTTTTCCTTGATGGTAATTAGTTCAACAGCGCTCTCTCTGTTTTCAAGTTTCAACTTTCGCCTTACAATGTTTATGAGATACTATTTTTGAAGAGTGGAACTAAATCCGAATTGGACCTATTTTATGGCATGAGAATGACAGTAATCAGATAGATAATAGGACATTTTTCCCATTTACATACAATTATCATGCTTTACAAATAACCGGATGAAAAGGGGATGCTTATATCTTCTTTCATCTTTTGGACTAAAATTAACTTCATTAGAAGATACCAAGGGCTAGTTCATACTCAGTGAATACCTGTTGAATTTCTTCATCCGTAAATTGCAGCAAGGGTCTGAAACCTTTGTTTATCCCAGCATTATTGACCTGTTACCATTGATACAGAAAAGTTCAAAAAGGTTTCATTTGCAGAAAGTAACTGCTTCATTAAGTTTAATTTGCTAAATATCACAACATCATGCATCAATTTCCTTAGCTAAAGTTTCGAAACTGGTTGTTTGAGGAAGAAGAGACATCGAACTTAAGAGATATTTACCCAGATGTCAATAGAACCAAGTTCGTTTATAGCATAGTCTGCCAATTTATGCACATCAGCAGGTACAGAGACATCACAAGCAATACCAATCACCTTTGCTTGAGCAATTTTCTTACTTGATGAGACACCTGAGTTAACCAGGAGCTGCTGCAGGTTCTCCTCAAGCTCTTTGACAGTTCTGTCTACGGATTCAGCGCTGCTCAAAACACAGTAGAGCGGATAAGTAGTTGTAATTGAAAATAATAGGACTGGGTAGGATAAAAAGGCATTTGAAAAACCTGCGTGAAGCAATAACAACGCGATCCCCAGAAAGCAAGAATTCACGTGCAAGAGCTTTCCCCAATCCTCTTGTACTTCAATCAACAATAGAAGATAATAATCAGTTGGCAGATTTGCATAAAAGAAGATTAATGTGGTGAAAAGAAAAGAGAGGTTTGAGGTAAGAAAAAAATTACCTACAAAACCAAGGTCAAAATTCTTTGTAACAGACCAAAAAACAGTTTCGTGTTTTGCCCCTTGTGAAAAAATAATGCATGTGTGCTAAGGCAATAAAAAAGGCTAACTAGAAAAGACTACAAACACAATCCTGAATACATCTACTTATAGAACTGCTCTTAGCTGAAAAGCCGAATTTCATGATTTGCATCACGAAAAGCAGTTTAAGGATCAAAATGTAAATTAACCTCCCAAAATAGAGCTAATGTACCTTCCGGTTACAACAACATTGCGAGGACCAGCTCGACTAACTTCCTCCAACACCATATTGGAGCCGATCATAGTTCCGATGATTATACCTCCTAGCCAACTATACCATACCAATTCGTTCATCTGGCTATCTCCACCTTCATAAACATGCATAGAATCAAGAAATTGTGCAATGCTCTGTACTAATCTAACAACAGAATCAGTCATGTGGAAACCGGGTGAATAATTTTCAGCTTACCTGACAACTGAAATCCTATTAACAGTATAGCGCCCGTGCTCATCATTGTCACAATATATCGTGCAAATTGTATAGCGGCCTATTTAGTCAAGAAAGATTAAACATTTAAAAACATCTCCAAAATCGAAAAGACCAGATTGTAAATATGAAGTGAGAAAACACAAGCTTTAAAATACAAATGTGAGAAACAAACAGATAACATCTTCAGAGGAGAGTGTTAATTACCACGGATAACTTCCTCTCCAGCTGCTCCAAAGCTTTGGATCGTGAACTGGGCTTTGAAAATTTCCACACAATAGACCTAATAGCACCAAATAACTCATTATCAAGTCTCCTCTTCAATTTCTCATTTTTCCTCAAACTGGGATTTCTTTTCTCCACTCCCTCCTCCTCTGACCTGAAGCACCTGCATGGTTTAAGATGAATTCTACCTCGACCCTTTACACTAACAAGATCCCACGTCAGAATACTCCGGGGGAAATCCTGCCTCACCGGCGGGATCAAGACTATCCGCTGGTGTAAAGGTGACACGTGTAACTCAGGCATGGTGGAAAGCTATGCTCTTTTTTGCTGAGGTTGCAACACTTGCTGATGCATGAATCTTAGTACTCTCGAATGAAAATATCCTCAAGTGGGTTGCCTTGTATTTGTCTGGTTTCCAAGAATTGGGATTGGGAACAGAAATATCTTGCAACAGATTTTGGGGGAATCTAAATCGGAAAAAAAGTAACCGAGAATAGAGGGTAGGGAAAAAAACCGGAATTGGGTACAAAAAATACCAAAAGAGCAAAGAACAGGACGGTGTAGAGTGTGATAACCACACGTTAAAGCAACCTCATCAACTCACGCCTTTTACTGAAACGTGGCGCCATTGATCCAATTTTGTTGGACCCCAAAGATGTCACTTTTGCCTTCATCAAACGGTGGTAATGAACCCATAAATGTGAATTTCAAGCTACACCACCTCATTTGTAAATATACTAAATACCGGATTTTGATGTGTTTTTTGTCATTATATTGAAGTTCATTGAAAGGGAGGTTGATATTATTAAAGTAATGGCGTGTGGATCACTATCTGTATGTGTCAAATCCAGCCCTGAAATCGTTAAGAGTCACCATTGTTAACCAAATCTTTTCCTGGAACCAAATTACACTAGTAATTTCACATGATGGAGTTTGATTTGCCCAACAGCATTAGCAAGGAGGATCAATAGCAATAACCAGAAACTTGCAACTTAGCAAATATTCCAATTTCGAAGGATATTGACAAAATGACAACCTTATACTGCTGTCTCGATTGAGTTTTGCCCAACCATTCAACTAAAAATGTTTACTTTTTTATGATAAACTATTCCTGACTATTGGGACCATCCAGAGAAATGGGAGCTTTTTGTCATCTTTGGTAAAATGTAGTAACGTACCGTACAAGAGTTTTTTGAAATGTATATAGGATGGGATAAAATTTGTACTCCAATCTTATCGATCACTATTTTGAGACGACCAAATCTGAAAATATAGTTGTTAACTCAAAAGTGGCTCTTTTTATGATGGAAGAAGATCATGCCTTTTTCACTCTTTACAAATTGACAATTTACAACTATAATTGTTGCATTTGTTTTACTCATAACATGTGAGTTTTGTTTAGGCTAAACTTAAAAGAGAGGTAAACAAAGGACTAAAAAAGAAAATATTTATTTTTAAAACTAAGTTTAAAAGGGGTAAACTTAATCTTTTTTTATAAAAAAAATTGAAAGTAAAAAGTAAAATAATAACTTTCCTATCCCAACATACCTTTTTACATTTTCAATACATATTTTATATTCTCAATACGAAAAACACCTTAAAATACACACTAAAAAATAACCAAACATAAATTACAGATATATACGTGACTTTTATCGTTTTTGTCAGAGGTTTATTAAACTATGGGGTCATCCGTTGGTTTCTGGAATCAGGAGAGCTTTTTGGTATTTAACTTTTTGCATTTTATTTTTTTTTTTTAATTTTATTCCAAATTCAAATTTCAATGCAAAAACGTTGGATTGATAAGCCCAAAGCTTCATTCTGTCATAGCTAATTTCATTTGAAAAACTGTTTTGCACTTTCGTTTTTAAACCAACTCTATCGATGGTAAAAACACAATCTTTCTCTTTACTTCCTCCATTTCAAAATGTAGATCGTTTTAGGTTTGAAGAAATATTTCAAAACATATAGCGTTTTAGAATTTCAAGACAAATTAAAGATTGGCTTCCCAACTTTGCTTCCAATAAATAATGCTAACAACTTTTCATCTAGTTCTGGTTATAGTTCCAAAACAATTAATGAAGAGCAAAATAAACATTTAACATACAAATTAATCATTAAATGATTGTCTCCTTAGTTTACGTGTAGAGACTAAAAAGACTTACTCCCTCCATTTCAAAATGTAGGTCGTTTTAGGTTTAGAGAAATATTTCAAAATGTAAGTCGTTTTAGTATTTCAAGTCAAATTAAAGATTAACTTCTCAACTTTGCCTCCAATAAATATGCTAACAACTTTTCATCTAGTTTTGATTATAGTTACAAAACAATTAATGAAAGATAAAATAAACATTTAACACACAAATCAATCATGTTTCCTTAGTTTACGTGTAGACGATAAAAAAACTTATATTTTGAAATGGAAAGAGTACAACTTAAGAGTGAGAAACACTAAAGTTAACTCTTCAATTATCCTCAAGCGATCTTTTACCAAAAAATAATTTTCCTACTATCACATTGGGAATAAAACCCCCAAATAGCACCTGGTCTTGAATTCCACAATCCAAATCACTCGTAAGGATTGCGACGGCCATTCATAGTCGCCGAGCCAACTTGGTAAGGATTTGACCAAGTGCTTATCAAAATGAAATAGTGAATGATGATCCGGTAACGATTCTAAATAATTGAACAAGAGAATGATCATGTTTTACATATTGAAACATTTTATGTAGTAACTTTTTAATTTGCGTTTAAATCATGATTATTACTGTTTGTAATCTAAACTCAAAAATCAAAACAAACATTAAAACTCTAAAACTTGGTTTATACAAGCATAACAAAAGCTGAAAGATGCTTAAAATATACGTTTATAGTAACATAATGAGTTTTCTAGTTAATTAAAGAGAACTTCTGATTCAATGTTGGTTAATCAAATCACAGAAGAAGAGGAGGATAGAAAGAGAGGGGAGGAGGAAAACGAGTGGAAGAAAATTGGGAAGGTCGTAGAAAATGATTAATTAGGCTACTCATATAATCCACGGTGTGTCCAGCTGGAAACTATTTGCCCCAAAAAGTAAAAATATTATACTAAAACAGCAAATGCCAAGCAAGCTGAGAATGATTGCCAGCCACATTTGCAATAATTTCTTCCAATTTTCTAAAACAGAGCCACTCTTCTCGCTCGGCTTCTTTGTAGGCAGCAATTTCAGAATTCAGACAAAGGTATATATGCAAAAGAACAGTGTCATCAAAATTTCCATTTTCTGACTTCAAACGACTGATGACTCATTTCAAGAATTCTCTTTGAGGAAATCAGAACCCCCCAAAATTTCTCTCTCCCACATCCACCTTCTGTGTTTTTCCCCCCTTCCATTATTCCTTCTGTGGGAGAGAGGAGAGGGATACAATCACAAAAGGGGGAAACTTTTTTTTTTATTATCAATTATTATAAAGGGGCAGGAAAGAGCAAGAATATGCAGACGCCTAAGGATCAACGGTCAAGAGCTTCTAAGCCCACCACCATCCACGGATTTGCTCAGTCTGGGGATCTTATTGCATTCCAAAAGCTACTTCGTGACAACCCTTCTCTTCTAAATGACCGGAACCCTGTTGTAAGATCTCCTTGTTTAATGCCCCTTTAAGTTTAAATTCATATGTAATGAGAACCCCTTTTGTTGTTTGTTGTTTTATCATGCATTGTTTGTTTTCTGATTGTCGGTCATGAATTTTTCTCCTCGTGTGGCATTGGGTTTTGTATTTGCCCTTATTGGCCTGTGAGATTGTGTTGTTTCTTTCCTCATTCAAGTTACATTTGCCTGGGTTTCTTATAGATTTTCAGCACTAGTTGTGTTCTTCTGACGTTGGCTTTGAGTTTGATCAAGTGAATTTGCTAAGAACAACATAAATGTACGATCTTTAGCTTCCATCCATTTGGGATCTGTTAAGTTTGCAAAGTTGAACTTAATAATATCCAGATAAAAGCTCCTGATTAGAACACTGATTAGAAGCAGGCAATCATGTATGGTTGGGTTGCAGTAGCATTGCAAATTTGGCTTAGTGATATGGATTCTTTTGAAGTTTGTGAAGGTCGAGTTTTGAGTGATTTAGCGAACTGGTGAACTGGAATTAATAGGTACTTGGTTTCTCTCCAAAATAGAGAGGTGTAGTTGGATGTAGTTTAGTTCTTTTCTGTGAAATTTAGCTGATAAAATCAAGGTTGGGGGCTTGTGCTTGGTTATCCCTGGGTTTATTGTGTGAGTCTGCAAAGCCTTCATCTGAGTTCATTTTGAAAACAATAACTTTAAGTTTGTGATCTGTTTGCTGCAACTATTTGGTAGGTTGATCGCTACTGTTTTTAATTGATTAGAGATGGTGAAATGAGAATCTACAAAGGGTACTTTTATCAAGTTTAGTTTCTGTCGTTATCTCCTTGTTTGGGTTTTGATTCCATCTATAACGTTCTAACCTCAGACCTAAGCTGGTTGTCAAATGATATAGCATCAATGATGCTCTGTTGATGATTGCTTCATCTATTCATATTCAAAAAAAGATTTTCAGTGTTTCCCTGTTCAGCAGTTTCTTGTTCCGAGCTTCTTGGTATTTTTAGCCGAGAAATGGGGACATTTTAGCAGAGTAATGAAAATATTATAGTTACCAGATGGTCTATGGTATGGAAATTATTAAACTTTATGAATTACCCATTTTCCTACTCTCACCCCCTCCTCCTTCCCCTCTTTATTAGAGGTTAAGATTACCACTGAAAGTGGCTTATTTCACTTTCATCATCAACTAATTGTAATGTGATGTCATTTTCTTACCTATTGAAACATAACCTTATATGACTTTGCATGCTCAAGATTCAACGTTTATCTGCCAAGTCCTTTTCCTTTATTTGCTCCCACCATAAAGTCAGTATTTTCTTTATGAATATTCAGAAGGTATCAATATGGTCAGCATTGCTAGGATTCTCTCAGTGTCTTTTAGCTATCTACAAGGTTGAGATGATCATGTTACAAAAATTGTATGCTCCTTCTCCCTCCCCCTTCTTTTTCTAAATGCAAACAATTTGAAGTAAAGGTTGTCTACTACTTGTGTAGGCTTATGAGCTTCTTTTTCTCTGGATGCAGATGGCGCAAACACCACTTCATGTTTCTGCTGGTTACAATAAAGTTGAAATAGTTAAGCATCTGCTTGGTTGGCCTGGACAAGAGAAGGTAGAGCTGGAAGCTAGGAATATGGTAAGTAGAGCTATCTCAGTTGACTTTAATTTGTTGTTTTTATGATGTGTTTTCTACGGTAACCTGTGTTTTAGTAGTTGATGTAACAAATTTATTTGACTTTGGAGTTTTCGGAAAGATTATTTAACATACGTCATCAAAATTGACTTTGTGAAGAGATGTTTCTTCGAATCCGCATGCTCATGAAACTGGGTGGATTGATTGGTGCTGTTTATGAATTATTGCTAGGACTTCAGGCTTTGCTTTGACCTATATTACCTGTTACTGGATTAATATCCTGATGCCATGTGTACTTCAATAGGAAGTCAACCGATTGCATGTGCTAACTAGAGATCCATTTATTTTTTTCTCGTGTTGTCTTTATTTTATACTGTTTGAACATTTGATCTTATCCATTTATTTTTTTTCTCTTGTTGTCTTTATTTTATACTGTTTGAACATTTGATCTTATCCTTGGAGTTTAGTTCTATACAGGATTCATATTCTTGTTTTCTTATTTTGTTTTGATATACTTTTGTAGTATGGAGAAACCCCATTGCACATGGCCGCTAAGAATGGATGTAACGAAGCTGCGAAGCTGCTTCTGGCTCATGGTGCCTCTCTTGAAGCTAAAGCTAATGTCCGTATTTTCTTCTGCTGCAGTGGCTTTCCTTGATAAACTTTGTGTTTTTGCCCAAAGATTTCAGATGCTGGGTGTTAAATAGATTGCCCCTTATTTAAATTTTGCAGAATGGGATGACTCCATTACATCTTGCTGTCTGGCATTCACTTCGAGCTGAAGATTATTCTACAGTGAAGACATTGCTGGAGTACAATGCTGACTGCAGTGCCGAAGATAATGTATGATATCTTGCTATTGGTTCCACAATTATTAGTGCTCTCTTCTCCACTGTTGTTTCGAGACTGCAACAACTAAATATGTTTCAACTGCAGGAGGGTCTGACTCCTTTGAATCATCTGTCGCAAAGTCGAGGAAGTGAAAAATTGCGGGACCTTCTCCAACATTATCTTGAAGAGCAGCGGAAGCGTAAAGCTATTGAAGCATGTAGCGAAACTCAAGCAAAGATGGACGCACTTGAAAAAGAATTATCTAGTATAGTTGGATTGGATGAGCTTAAACTTCAATTGCGGAAATGGGCAAAGGGCATGCTATTGGATGAGAGACGCCGAGCTCTTGGACTGAAAGTTGGAGCTAGAAGACCACCTCACATGGCCTTTTTAGGAAACCCTGGAACAGGTACTGAGAGTCTGAAATCATGTGTATTTGTTCTAATTCCAAGGATGAATTTTGTTTTTAATGGAAAGCTTTTGTTGTCTCATATTGTTGCTTGGGCAACTTCCTTGCAGGTAAGACTATGGTTGCCAGAGTCCTCGGGAAGTTACTGAATATGGTTGGAATTCTTCCTACTGACCGGGTAACTGAGGTGCAGAGAACAGACTTGGTTGGGGAATTTGTAGGTCACACAGGCCCCAAGACAAGGAGAAAGGTAAACAAGATCTATTGAGTTATTTGAAATGGTAAATGTTGTTATGAAGAATAACCAATAGATGTTTGAGCTATCTGCAGATTCAAGAAGCTGAAGGTGGCATTCTGTTCGTGGATGAAGCCTATCGACTAATACCCATGCAGAAGGCAGATGATAAAGACTATGGGCTGGAAGCATTAGAAGAAATCATGTCTGTGATGGACAGTGGGAAAGTAGTTGTCATTTTCGCTGGTTACAGTGAACCAATGAAGCGTGTAATTTCTTCCAATGAAGGATTCTGCAGAAGGGTAACCAAGTTTTTCCAATTCAGTGACTTCAATTCTGAAGATCTTGCTAAGATTCTTCGTCTTAAAATGACAAATCAAGCAGAAAGTAGCCTGTTGTATGGATTTAAGTTGCACCCATCATGTAGTGTAGAAAATATTGCAGCACTGATAGAGCGAGACACCACAGAAAAGCAGCGGAAGGAGATGAACGGAGGTTTAATAGATCCGATGCTAGTTAATGCTAGAGAAATTTTGGATTTGAGGCTGAGTTTCGACTGTATTGACACAGATGAACTCCTGACTATCACATTGGAGGATTTAGAGGCTAGCCTTAGGATGCTTTCGCAATGAACAGCAGGTAATCAGAGTGGACAGGAAACAGAACAAGGATGAAAACAGCAATAGTAAAGGGTAGAATTCACTTTTTCCCTTTTAGGAGTCTGACGGTTTGGTCTCCTATGATTCTTTTGGCCGTAAAAAGACCCATAATTCTTCCTTTTTCTTTCCCCCTTTGTTTTTGGTAGTGTGTATTTTACATCTTGAGGTACATTGCCTCTTTGTATGTCAAGAACATGGAAATCTTGTCATATTCTTTGTATCAATATGTTGTTGTAATGTTGTTGTACCATATCCATCTGTTCCTTATTTCATATTACAAGGTACTGTTATATATTTTGTCTTCCGTTTCATTTTCCATTCCATTTTAATTTATTTTATCGAATCAAAATGTTATATATTTTGTCTTCTGTTTCATTTTCCATTCCATTTTTTAATTTATTTTATCGAATCAAAATAATATAATGAATTCATCGAATTAAAATAGTACAATGAAGTGGACTATTAAATAGAATGGTGATTGGTATATTTTTTAGAAAAAATGCCTTTTGCAAGTGTCTCATAAAGGGTAGTGAGTGACACAATAGGTAAAATTTGACAAGGAAATCTAGTCAAAATGAAACAAGATCTCATTATTTGTCATAAAATTAATTTTTTTTTAAAATAGAATCATATGAAAATTCTCTAGTCTAAATGAAAAAAAAAAAAAAAAAATTGACACCAATGACAACATCCCACAAAAATAAAATCTTTGCGTACAGCAGCCTCATGGTTGACAACGGATTTCTAAATTGAGAATTCCTCAGAAGCTATGGTTCATAGCAGTTCTCTTTCTGTAATCTCATCATCTCCAGCATCTGTTTGTTCTCTGCCATCGAATGATTCCAATTGTCCGCTGCCTATGAACTCCGATTGGCCTTCTTCCACCTCCTCCTCATCATCATCGTCATCCTATTTGTCATCTCGATTTTCATCAATCTTGAAACAAAAAGATTCTGGGCTCCCGAAATTCAGCTTAAGGGTCTCATCTAAGCAGCAGAAGCAGCAATTAGTAACAGCAGATAATGGGTCTGCTGAGCAATTCCTGGAGAATAATTCTATTGCGGATTTCATGAGGTTTATCAAGAGGGATTCCTCCAATTCCAGGCCTGAAAGCAGTGATGATGGTGGGGATGGACAAGGCAGCTCTGAATTGCAGACTGCTGTCGTTAGCTATCGCAAGAAGTTCCCTTGGTCTCTTTTTCGACCATTTCTTCAGGTCTGTTTAATCTTTTCCCTTTACCATTTCCCGGTATAATTAACCGAGTCAACTTATTTTCTTCGTGTAATAGATTGTTTATGTCGGTTCTTCTTATGGGTACAGGTTGATTTGGTCTCCACCATACATATTGCGGATAAAGAGTAAGCTTTCTTACCTTTATATTTCTGAATTGGGAGTAAAAAGAGAGACTCAGTATGGATTTGGTGTTATTATGTTCATCATGGAGTATTCATTAGTTTGTAAAATAACTCAGCTTTTAGAGTTCTGTCCCTTTTACTGGTAGATATAATGAGGGGAATTGAGGATATGAATAATTGGGAAGATGTGTGATGTAGGTTATAGCGATTCCTCAGCGAGATATTGTTACCATATTGTCCAGAGATATAGCTGTTGGCATGTTACGCAGACATTTCTGTGTCCAAATTATATTGATTGATTATCTACTAATGTTTTGAGAGAAAAGCAAGATGCTTTTGAAATTCAATCTCCGCTGGAGACTGTTTTCGATACTACTGATGCACTTGTCCTATGCTTCTCGTTGCTGCTTAGGTGTACTATATAGCATAGCACCAAGTTAGCATAATGACGTGGGCAGTTGGGAGATGTTAGTTTTTGACTCGGCAATGCAAAGTAATACAGGAAACTGATTAATCTTGGTACTTGCAGGTATTTTGAAACCCTGCAGAAGGAACTTGAACTGTATGATTGCGTTCTTTATGAAATGGTTGCTAGCAGAGAAAGTTTAGAAAGTAGAAGAAGTCCTACTTCTAAAAAGAAGCTGAAAGGTTCAGGTGCTAGGGGTATTAATATTATTGGATGCGTCCAGAGGCAGATGGCTAGTTTTCTTACACTTGATTTCCAGTTAGATTGCCTTGACTACCAGGCTGAGAACTGGTACCATGCTGATCTTGATTTCGAAACATTTAAATTACTTCAGGTTGGTATTCAACCTTTTCTTTTTGAAGTTGCTTGATTTAAAAATTTCTGGTTATATTGTATACTTAATCTGAGTATCACGTGAACCCATGTTAGGCAGCTTATGGTTATTCTTGATGGTTGTTTTCCTAATCACACGACAAGTCTCTTTCTTCTTATTATTAAAAATATTAATAATCCTCTATACATGATAAACTGGAATAAATATTTACCCGTATTGTAGTCTTCAAGTTTTGAAGTGTTAGTTTATCGTGTTGTGCTCATAATGCAATTAGGATGACATCTTAAAACCATTTGCAGCGTGAAAAAGGTGAGAGCTTCTTTACATTTGCAAGGGATATGACAATTAGATCAACAAAAGCAATTGTACAGAATTCATCTGTTCCAGAAAATCTAGGTCCCTGGAGAGCCAAGCTTTTACAGGCTTCTAGGGTGCTACCTATGCCTCTTGTTGGCCTGCTTATCATTGGCGGTGTTTGCTCCGATGTGGGAAACCAGGCAAATGACTTCCCTGAATTGGAAGCCCTGTCAAGGCTTGATTTTGGTGCAGCAATGAAGGTTTTTCTTGCAAAGAGGCTAACATCTGAGTATGTCTTTTACTTGTTGATGCTTATTTCACATTTTCAGCTACTAGTCTTGTTGATATCAAACAATACGTGTTCAGGATTGTGGCATTTGTTTCTTCAACTGAATAACACCATGCCAGAAACTTCTTTTCAGTCTAGATATGTAATTTTCTTGCTCTCCATTTTACTGGCTTGAAATTTTATTTCAAAAACTTTGACATAGAAGAAGTTAACAAATTTGCTCTCTAGGTATACAAGAGTTTAAAAAGTTCATGCAAAAGCTAAAATTGGGGTATAGCTTCATTTGCATTTTAGTATTCTGGGTCTACAAAGATCGCGAATGGTGTTTGGATTTCATATTTCAAAACACATTTTGACCATATATTGTTTTTTTTTTTTTTTTTACTATTTTAACTTTTGAAACTGAAACTGGTAAAACCAAAAATAAGATATGTTTTACCATTTTCAGCAGAAGCGGTTGTTCATAATAACCTAAAGATACATTTGAGAACACATCGTTCAAAAGCAATTACATAAGAAATGTAGCTTAAATTTTGAAGCCTGGATGAAGAAAGATTAATTACAAGGTGCATGGATTCTCAATTTTCAAATCTGCAACTTTTTAGGTCCCATCCCCCCAACCCCTCCACGCGCCTGCATTGCTGCAATTAATTATGAATTTCGATTTTGAACAGATTCACAGAAGTAACAGCAGATGTGGAGGAGGGATCCGTAATCATTGGCGAGAGAAACAGAGCCGCAACGGAAGCACTTCAAAGAGCAATAGACGAAGGGCATAACAAGATTGCTATCCTGTATGGGGGTGGGCACATGCCGGACTTAGGGCGGCGACTGAGAGAGGAGTTTGGCCTTTCACCAACGAGGGTGCAATGGATAACAGCGTGGTCTATTAGGAACAGACACCTAACCACTAGCTCCCTTCCCTTCTTGAAGACAATGGCAGATGTCTTGGGTTGGCCTTTGAATCGTTACCAGACCCTTGCACTGCTTATCTTTTCATCGGTCCTGGCAATAGATTTATGGTTCTGGGAACTCTTTTTCGGTACCACAGTTAACTGGGTTTCCGATGTTGCTTCCGACTTTCTTCAATTTGTCAATACTGCAAACATAATGTGATTGATTTCCGTACAGAAATCAGTCTTTTATAAACGAGCTTCAAAGCTCAAACAGTCGTAAATACTGTAGACTTTCAGCTAATATTCTTTGTAGGAAATTGTTACCAGTGAATGCTTATTGTCTTTTTATTTTTCTGCTTCACAAACGACCAAAAGCTAGGAAACGGAACCAAAAGAGTAGCATATCCAAGTCCACCGCATCCAGAACAAAAAACAAATGACGAACGCAAACCATTACCTCAGTTCATAAAGAACTAAACGATGCGTCATCTTCCAACATAGGATTTTTCTGTCGGAGCAGAAAAGCTGGAAGAATCCCACTTTGATTTCTTTGGGAAATGGGATAGTAGTATAGAACCGCAGCATAAAGCCAGAAACTGAGGAAGCACAGGTTGGAGCTTTGAAGAAAAATGCTAAAAAGCGGGCGCCCATAATGCTTACCGCTTATGTTAGTGTACGTATTACTATTATAGAGTCCCTTATTAATTCTGCTGATGACCAGTTCTCTCTGTCGCTTTTGGAATATTGCTCCGATTTCTGTTTCTTGAAGGCCTAAATATAGACCCACATATGGTTCTACCTCAAAACCAATTGGCAATGAGGGGAGTAGCACATGGGGTATATATGTTGAGTTCAAGAGTCTTCATCCATTCATGTGGGACAAGGGAACATGAGGTAATTTCTTTCTTTTCATTTATTTAACACGCCCCTCTCAAGCCCAATGGGCTTGGACGGGCAATTTTATATTTTTTTCTGATTTTTTTTTCAAGCTTACGATCGGTTATTTTTTCGAATAAACTGTCGCCTGTCTGAACCAGTCAAAGTTCAAAGTCAAACTATGGATTTCTTCCTTGGATTGACCAAAGTTTCAAGACCTAATCTGGGTCAGTCCACCTCGCCCCACAAGTCCCACATGGATGGATGAAGACTCTTGAACTCAACATATATACCACATGTGCTACTCCCCGCATTGCCAATTGGTTTTGAGGTGGAACCACATGTGGACCTATATTTGGGCCTTCAAGAATTTTCATCCATCCATGTGGGACAAGGAAATATGAGGTAATTTCTTTCTTTTCATTCATTTAACACTGTTCGGATTGGCAGTAGTCATTGTTTTCAAACATTCAATCTTTAATTGTCATTAACATAAAGAATAAAACTGTACGGTTCTGTACCGGCAGGAAAGCCATAGGACGTGAGTTCCGGAATTTGTAAGACAATTTTACTTTATTAATTTAATTTTGGTAGACCACATCACAACATCGTCGCTTTGGCCGAGTGGTTAAGGCGTGTGCCTGCTAAGTACATGGGGTTTCCCCGCGAGAGTTCGAATCTCTCAGGCGACGTCATCTCTTTTAGTTTTATTTTATTTTATTCCATTAGATTAGACCCAAGATACTACAAGGCAGCTCTGTGAATTTACAAATGGCAATAGCCAAGAGGTACGTTTTGCTTCCAAAAACAAATCGATAAGGTACTCTCTTAGTCTCTTTTGGTAAAAAACTAAGGAGGATATGTTTGTTTTGTTTTTTTAGTGTGTGTTTTTAGGTGTTTTTTGTATTAAAAATGTAAAAGGTTATAATAGGATGAGACGGTTATTATTATTTAATTTTGAAAAAACCAACTAAAAAAGAAAACAAACAAAGCTTAAATTATTATAGTTTAACAAAATAAATTAATTTTAGGGGGTACGAATAGAAATGCAAATTCGGAAAAGTTATTTCTTGAGGTATGTCATGTACTTTACATTTTACATTTCATCATTACATAAATCTTTTATAAAATTTTTTATTTTTAAAGGAAACGAAACTCATAATACAAACCTATTATAAATATACCATGCAATATTGTTCCGAGAACTATCGTCCTCCACACAGTGCTAGCTAGTTACTTCAGGTATAGTTTGCCAAGTGCTTTGGAGTTTGAATATCTGTCATGACAAATCGACGAGTCATACATTCTTTTCACTCAATTTTCATAGTCTAATTTGTTGAACTAAAATATCACAACAATGTAAAACTGTTGAAATAATTAGAGCTGGCGACAGCTACTTCATGCTTAATTTGTTTCTTTGTTGTTCCAAAATTTATTGAAACAAATATGTAACACAACAAAGTACCCAGAAGTTATGCCGTTTGGTAAACATCGCAATTTTCGTGATCAACTGCTTCAGATTATATAAATGATTACTTCGCTCGGCTCCGATCATTTTAACTTTGTGCTTGTTGTATAAACCTTAGGTACCTAGTGTAATAAGGTTTCGGAAATGTTCATTTTGTAGAATGATGTTTATGTTTTTTTAATTTGTATTTTTAGAAAAGAAGAAGTACATAATATTTTATCGTGTGACAAAGGGAAACACAACGAGTAGGGATGGGTTTCTAATTTATAGTTTATAGTGCTAACAATTTGAATTTGAATTCAGATAATCTCATTCATTTCGCATTTCATTAAATTCCATGGGTTTTCTTTTCTTTCTTTTTTTCCCCTAGAGGCAGACAAGTTATAGGAGAGTGAATGATGATGCCAACAACGAGTAACACTGGAAAAAAAAAAGAAAGAAAAGATTTGGATAAACATTATGTGAGAAGCATTATCACAAGATCTTTTATTTAATATTGTAAAACTTACTAAAGGAAAAAAAAAATACAGCCGTTCAAAAATTCATAGCAAATAATGTGACACAATTGACAATTATTTTTATATATATTGATTATAACACCCTTAACAATAATAGATAACACAATGACCAATTGACACGTTAGTCACTGTAAAAATTTCATAGTGAATCTTTCATTCGATATTTCATTTCTATGATTAAGGAAACAGGATATTGTGTAGACTCAGTAGTCATGTAAATGTATAAAGGGAATTACTAATTAGCGTGGATAAAGGGATTGATGTACTTATCCAAAATACATTTCTTATACGGGATTTATATCATTAATTTTAGTAGCTAGTTTAGGGATACGGGGGGGATAAGAGACTTTTTTTTTCCTCTCATGGAAGTAGTAAAATATGGTAATTCCCAGGTTTTGCTTATAAAATCAGAGCTTAAAACGTGTCATTACCGCCTCTAATTACGCCAATCTTTTCATCCAATCTCTCCTTCGCTGAAAATCTCAAAATTGGTTACACTCACAACTCCTCCTCCCGAATTCCTATCCACAATTTTTAATTAAATAGATGGATGATCATGTGAGTAAAGTGCACACACTGGAACTGAACTAAACCATCTGATTCTGCAAATAACATCGAACCCGAATGGAAAACGAAGAAGGGCCGAGATCAAACATGGCAACAGTCACCACCACCTGGGTAAATGAAGAAGAATCACAACAAGAACCCAAAAAGAAGCCTCGTCTTAACAAATACGCACTTGGATGTGCTATTTTGGCTTCCACTAATTCCATTCTCTTGGGTTATGGTAATTTCATCCAAATTCTTTTTTCTACTTCAATTCTTATCAATCCAACCCAATGGGTTCTGTTTTTTTTTCCCACTCTGATAAGATTGTGCTTTGTTTCAATCTCTGTTTTTGTTTTGGTATTAGATATTGGGGTGATGAGTGGGGCAGTGCTATCAATCAAGGACCAGTTCAATATTACAAGTAGTCAGGTGGAAATCTTGGTGGGCTCTTTAAATGTGGTCTCCTTGTTCGGATCAATTGCTTCCGGCAAAACTTCTGATTACATTGGACGGCGCTACACCATCGTGGTCGCCGCGATGACGTTCTTAGTCGGTGCCCTTGTGATGGGTTCCGCGCCAAACTACGGCGTGCTCCTCGCCGGAAGGGTCATCGCCGGAATCGGGGTCGGTTACGCCCTCATGATATCGCCGGTGTACGTAGCAGAGGTGTCTCCGACGCTGACGCGTGGCTTCCTCTCCTCACTTCCCGAACTATTCATCAACATAGGAATTTTAATTGGGTACATAGTTAATGTTGCTCTGACCGATGTTTCCCAAAAAATTAACTGGAGGCTGATGCTCGGATTAGCCGGCGTTCCGGCCGTCGGAATTATAATCGGAGTTTTGCAAATGCCGGAGTCTCCCCGTTGGCTCGTCATGAAAGGCAGAGTTGAAGAGGCCAGAAGGGTTTTGAGGAAAACTTCCGAGACTGAAGAGGAAGCTCAGGATAGACTCGATGACATAACCAAGGCGGCTACTCAGGCAGTCGGCCCGAATGATATCGACCCGGAGTCATCGAAATCGGCCACCGAACAAGATTGGCACGGCCAAGGTGTTTGGAAGGAAATCTTCATGCCGACCAGGCAAATTCGCCGGATTTTAATCATAGCCGTCGGAATAAATTTCTTCATGCAAGCTTCCGGTAATGATGCGGTGGTGTACTATACTCCGTCGGTGTTCAAGAACGCCGGCATCAAAACCCGGAAAGGGTTAATCGAGGTGACGATCATAATGGGCCTGGCTAAAACCTCTTTCGTGTTGGTCTCAGCCCTCTTCCTCGATCAGTATGGTAGGAGGCCGTTATTATTACTGGGCACGACTGGACAGGCTCTTTCTCTAGCTGGGTTGGGAATTAGTTCGATGTTCCTTCAGCATGCTCATAAGAAGCCCGTTTGGGCTATTGCAATGAGCATAGTCGCTGTGTGTGCTGACGTGTCATTCTTTTCAATTGGGCTTGGGCCAATAACATGGGTTTACACATCGGAGATATTCCCGATCAGGTTAAGGGCCCAAGGTTCAGCCCTGGCGGTTTCAGTGAACAGGGTGGTGAGTGGGGCAGTGTCCATGTCATTCCTCAGTGTTTCAGAAAAGATCACATTTGGGGGTACTTTCTTTGTGCTCTCCGGAGTCATGGTGATAGCCACCATTTTCTTCTTCTTTTTCTTGCCTGAAACAAAGGGCTTGGGCTTAGAGGAAATTGGGGAAATCTTCGAGGATAAAGAGGACCAAAAACGTAGTAGTACTAGTAAGGAAAGTGAAATGACTCCTGTTACATAGCTTTTTCTCTATCTTTGCTAGTTTACAAGTTTGTAATGGTTAACGATTTGTATTACATCTGAAAGTTAATAGGGTTATTCGACGAGGGTTATATTTGGTTGTCGAAAAATAATCCAATCACAATAGATTATGAGAGGTTTGCAATTTGATTCCTTGGTTCTCTCTCTCTCTTTTTTTTTGATATATATCTTCTATTAAATAATCGTTGGACTTAAATTACTCCCTCTATCCCATAATTATTGGCGAGTTTGGGTTTTCATTCTAGTTCAAATTATACTAAAAGTGAAATTTCAAACTGGACAATAATTTTGGGACAGAGAGAGTATTTTACTCAGTGATCCAAAAGTTATAATGATTTTTACATGAACATGGATGATTGAATGAATCATTCTGTCCCAACTCACAACCCTACATCACTTCCTCTCCATTTCAACCCCAAATAGGGTTAAGTTAGATTATTATGATCACTACGTATTTTATTGTTAATGGAATTTTATATATATATAATCAAAGAATTAACGTACCAAGAGTCGCAGTTCTAAATGTGGATAAAAGATAATACTGTCCCCCCGTAAATGCACTAAGAACTAAAAAGATGCCTCTCTTTTTGCTATGTATATTGATGAAACTTATACTTTTGGACACGTTAATATGATTAGGGACAAATGGTAGAGACAAAAGTTTATAGTAATAAAAATTAAGATTACCAGTGAACGCGAGCCGTTAAATTAACGTTGTGAGATATGAACTCAGAGCAATACATAAAGTTAAGCCCAGCAGATGAGCAGAGGTTTTCAAATTTTTCAGAGCCATCTTCATCATCATGATACACTCAATTACAAAAAAAAAAGGCATCAAATAAGAACAACGAAAATGTTAAGAATTCGGGAAAACCCATGTCAAAAACATGCAAAAAAACATTAATGCGTGCTTTGTCAATAACCCAAAAATTCAACTCCAAAAAAAGCTGAAGGATCCGTATTTCTTCCCAGGTAGAGCTCAGTAATGTCTTCTTGTTGCTGCTTGAAAACCAAAAAAACCACAAAAGACTGAATAGCAAAATCTTTGAAATTGAAATGGATTTTATGATTTAACTTCTTAAGACCATAAAGCTGAAGGATCCGTATTTTCCCCAGTTTTTGTTTGGGTGTGTTTGTAAGGTTGTTGGATTTTCAAGATGCTCTGTTTTTTTTTTAATGCGTTGAACAAAAGACAGGGGGGAGCACTAATTACTGCAAATTGTACGGATCAAGTTGAAGTAATTATTTGGGAGTTTCTGGCAATCGGAAAGACACTGTAAATTAATTTGTAGGTAAAAGAAGAAGACATAAGCATTAGGACAAAGAGTCCCTATTAAGTTCTTGCATGCAAAAGCTATATATAAATCAATTAATCAACGGCGGTGTTGCAGTTAACCTTATTTTTTACATTGCATAAAAACGGATGTGAGAAACTCTATCCATCCCATTAGACTATGATCATTTAATCACACAAATGTGTAAACAACTTTTTATGGAGAAGGAAGGAGTAGTTTTATTTATCGGCCATGAAATTATTTTAAGACAGATGATAAGTGATCACATAGAAATGCGTTCTATGTGTAATTGCCATTTTAGTTACTTTTCATTTGCTTGATTTCAAATGATCTAAGGGAAGCAAAAAAGAAATTTTTTTTTTTTTTTGGTACAACAAGAAATTTATTTATTACACTCAAGAAGAGATAGACGGTTTGTTAATCATTTTTTTTTCTTCCATAAAAAAACTTATTTAGCTAACTCCTGATTTAATATTAACTTCCAAAATGTAACTAGCTAGGTTGTTTCCCTCTACTGGGAAACAATTAAGAGCGCTACCTTTATTACCTGTTGGAATGGGGTACAACGTCATTACTTGTTAGTTTTATCAAATGAGCTAATGACACAGTGAAGCAAGAAACCTCCTATTACGTCAAAAGTTAGCCACAATCTTTCCCTTTGTTTAAAAAAAAAAAAAAAAACTCTAACTTGTGTAATGTTATTAGTTAGTTTTGTAAAATTTACGTTAAAAACTCTAACTTCATTGTTGAGCATAATCGAATACCGAATATATATTTTACTCTTTCCAGTGAACAAACCTTTGTGAGATGAAATTATTTAAACGATAGTATTTTCCAGTTTTGGAACTTTTTTTTTTCTTTTTTTTGAGGGTGGAACTATTTGTCAAGCTTGCCGTTAAAAGTTGAACCGGATGGCCTTTTTGACTCTCAGTAACAATGTCGGTGGTTGGCGATGGAATAAACCTTTCAGGAAAAAAAAAATTATAAGAATTCTCCCAAACGTTGTTATTCACCTTTATCTATCTTATTGACAACAAGGTAATGGCAAAGGTCAAGTAACATCTAAGCCTTTCTTCTTCTAAAATTATATATATTTGTCCACAGTTAGGGCTAAAACTAATTCGAATTCAAAACGGTTATACAATATATATATATATATATATATATCTAGTTATACTCCTTCCGTCCCACAAAAATAGTCCACATTGAGTTTTGAGTTTTGTACTGTTTTTAGTACAAATTTGAAAACTCAATGTGGACTATTTTTGTTGGGACAGAGGTAGTATATAATTATGCATACAAATTCGTTGCAAGTTCTAATATGCAGTTAAAATTCTATATCTTGACGATGCAGGGAGAAGAAATGTAGAATATGTTAATCCGATTCTTCTTTCTAGTAAGAAAAAAAGGGTTGATTCACACTTTCGCGTTTCGCTTTTTTGACATTTTTAAGTTTGCAACAATCAAGAAAGGTGTAAGGTATTTTCATGCGTGAGTTACGAGTTTACTTTCTCGTAAAGGGCCTGTACAAAGGAATATTCCCAATAAAAAAAAAATTAGAGATGCAAAGATTAACCGAGCATAATCGTTGACACACACAAAACTACGATTACTTATGAGCCTTAAAACACCAGCACCCCGTTCTTTGACGTGGTATCAGTTGAGTAAATAGATGATTAGCTTGATAGGTATGGAGTAATTTTAATACTTTGGCCAGCTGTGCCATCCATTGTGATGCCTATGTACAATTTATCGAGGGGGATTAGTCACTGTTGTCGACGGTGAAAATCCTAAAAACTAGATGATTAGTTATAATGATCGAAAGTAGATAATATTACTCTTTGAAAGCATCGAGCAATGTAAAAAGAGGAAGAAGTAATTAAATTTTTCAATGGGATTGCTGAAAGGTTTGTCGATGGAGAATCCATATGTTACGGCCAAATTTGTTAATCATTGTCTCATTATTTGAGTAAAGCTAAATTACAACACCTACTTGGGTAGCTGCTCTACTACTAGGAGTAGTATATATAATTCCAATTAAATAAAACTGGGTTCAAAATAAAGCTAGCTATAAGTTTGCTTACGTTTTGAATTTTGAAATATTCAAATCAACATCCTACTATTGGTCTGCGTATATCTATAACTGGATCATCGTCTTTTTCCCCAAAATTCCCCTTCATGGTCCCCCGGCAGCTTTTAATTTGTTTAATAAAAACTTATCGAACTAGTAAGTAGGTAGCTGTTTTGATCAGGTAGTAGCTAACCTTACTCAGCAAAATATTCATTAAAATCCCAGACAATCCTCATTTACGTTTTTCCCTGTCAATACATATTCTGGCCAACATCATTTACTGTTTTAACTTTTCACTTCTGCGAACCATTAATTTTCACCTACGAGAAATTTGAAGGGGCAAAAAGGAAAATAAAATAAATCTCAAAGAGTAATGAAATGCAGTTTAATTGGACAATATTGAACAGTGATACAAATAATGTGGATAATTAGATTACATGTTAATCTTAGAATACTGTACTAATTGAAGTTTGACAATGCATTTTAATCAGATTCATACCAACCGGAATAGTTTTAATCAAGGAGGTGGCTGGTTTATGAGTTTGGGAAATTCAGGAAAGGAGACAATAAACAAGACAAAACTAAACAACAACCATTATTAGTCAGCCATGCAGTCATCAGATTCATCCCTTAAATTATTCAAACAGTATTGCTTTTTCTTTCTTTCTTCTTCTTCTTTTTTTTTTTTTGGTATTATTCGTTCAAATAATTAAACCTTTTTCTATGATTATGAATTAGTCCTTCTTCACAACATATATATAAACTTTAACCACCTCATTGGGTACACATTTCTCCGGTCAATTCTCTCCCTCAATATATATGCACTACTCTGTTCTTCTTCTTCTTCTACTTCTCTCTCTTCTGTACTTAAAGAAACCACACTGTTCAAATAAACCTCCCAAGAAAAATGGAAAACAGATTCAAAATGCGAATTTCTCGCATGTTCCGATCATCACTGGCTTCCTGCCGTCCAAAGGACATCACCGCTAACGTCATTGAACGATCACCGATTTTTCTCCCTGGCAGCAGCAGCAGCAGCACCACCACCACCACCCACCGGCACCACCAGTTGATTGAGCTTTTATCTCCTAAACCGCCGCCTCCGCCGCTGCCACCTCATCTCTCCGGCCGAGGTAAACAACTCAAATGGTCCCAAACGGGCCGTAACAAGAAACCCCTGTTCTCGTTGACCGAAACAGAGGGTCAAAAGTGTCCCCCTGTTTCTCCAAGTTCACCTTTCCTCAACACTTTCTACGATCACCATCATCATCAAGATCGGTCAGCATCATCATCGTCTTCGTCTAAGAACAAGGAAAAGACGAAAAAGACTAAAAAGCCGAAAAGGGTTCGTTCCAAGATCAAATCTTTCGGCCTCCACGACGAGTTTCCGGCTTGCAATTACAACGGGCTGTTCAGCAGCGACGACGGCGATGACGACGTCGACGTGGACAGCGACGACATAACAACCTTATTCTCCTCGAGATCCCTCTCCTCCGACTCCTCAGAATCGTTGTCCCGGAGCCGGAGTTGCCGGATTGTCCAGAGGACGAATTCCGACAACTTTCACCACCGGTACGGCCGGCAACAAAAATCAAGAACGACCGGAGTAAAAGACGATTTGGAAATCATGGGCCCACGTTCGACGTCGATGCTGGCGGGACTGAAAATGGAAGGCAAAGTGAAGGACAGCTTTGCGGTGGTGAAGCGTTCCAGTGATCCGTACAATGATTTCAGAACTTCAATGGTGGAAATGATTCTGGAAAGGCAGCTGTTTTCAGCCGATGAGCTTGAGAAGCTGTTACAGTGTTTTCTGTCCCTCAATGCTTACCAACATCACCGAGTTATCGTCCAAGTTTTCACTGAGATTTGGGAAGCTTTATTTTCAAATCGTTGAAGTTCGTCTGACGTTGATTATGCTTTAATTAATGTTGTTGTTTGTTGTTCAGATTAATGACTGGATTAGTTAGTGTTCTACTGACTGACTGTTGTGTAACGTTGTCGACTAATTAATCTTAATGGAGTTTAAAACTCTAATGATCCTTTTTTTTTTTTTTTGGGTCTTCACGAGTGATTTAATCTGATTTGATGAGACTCTGAAAAAGCTAGGGTGAAATTGAAATTTGATTTGAAGCAGGACAAATAGATAAAAAGGTGAAAGCTGCTATATAGAATACGTCAAAAAATCTCAAAAGTGAGGAGATGGATCTAAGCTTATTAGCATGTTTTTAGTTGTTGTTGTGAGATATGCCTGCAGAATTGCCTGCAAACTCTAATTCTTTTTTCGAAGATTGATTGGATGAATGATGATGCCATGAATCACGATGATGGGCAAACAAAAAGATAGACAATACAACAAAAAAAACTTTAAAAAGGGACGACTTTGCAAGACTGTGAAGTTGATATTTGCTATTGCTATCACTTTATTCTTTTTATGAATAATGTTTTTTTTTTAAAAAAATAAAAATGTGTACTTGCGAAAGTCTTTTCTTTTTCACGATTTTGCACGAAGAAAGGTGGTTTCTATATCTCTCTAGTCTCACTACGTTGATTGAGGAAAAGGTACTTTGCACTTTTGCTAGTTTTCAAAGACTCCAACTCGTTTTCTTTTGTGTTTGAAAAATTGTTGAGCAGCTGACTACCAAAAGTAGAGTGAAAAAGGAATCTGTTTGCATTCCGCATGGTTTATAAGCTGTATTATTTTTTTCACTGGACCAAAAAAAAAGTAGCAAAAAAGCTGCATTTTATTTTGAGGTACATTAAATTATTTGGCTATCAATTTGTCCTTCTCCTGTATTTAAATTTAGTTGATTAGTTACTAACAAAATTACATACAAATCAGAGGTAGCTAGATTGATCTTTCAACTAGTTGGAAAAACCTTTAAAAACGATCGGTAGAGCAAGCCTTTTAAATTTACGGAGATTATTCAGCAAAAATTAAAAAAAAATAAAAAATTTAAGGAGATTGTTCTGAAAATGGTTCGGGTAAAGACTTGTTACAACTTTGAACAAACAGATAATTCTTTGATGAATCAGAGGATAAGAAAGCATATGTGCATGGTTTTTAATTTAGTGTTACTAGTATAATTATTTTTTCGGGTCAACCATAACGGGGCAACATGTGGCCATGTCTACATGTGCTTGTTATTTTCTTCATGTCGATTTGGTGATGACCCTCAGCTCTTCTTCCTTTAGCTTTTCTTTTTCTGAATCTTATACTCTTTATTTTTTAAAAAAGGTTTTTATGAAGGATGTAATAGAGTGTACCAATCATAGAGACTCCATGCCCTGTATAATTACCAACAACCAGTGTCGGCTCAAATAGAAAAATGATCAAAATGTGTCCACCATATGATTGGTTGTTCTTGCCTACATAATATGGACAAAAGAATCCATCTTAAATTTGCATTTCTTTCTGCTAATAATTTTTGTTTGGTACACAAGAGAGACAAAAATTGTCCTTATGATACATCATTAGGTGTTCCTTTTTTAATATTTTAGGAAAAAGGAAAATATAAATAAATGTTAGGTGTATCTGTTCAGGGAATTTCATTATCAAATTAAAGCAGTTTTTTTTTTTTTCATGAGTTGAAAAGCCATTTTCTATTCGTTGTATAGTGCTAGTTTAGATTCGGTACATAACTCCTGTTTCCATTGATTGATTTCAACGTTGTACAATATTACAAATCACAAGCTAGTCGCAAACGACCATCTATCCAACAAACTTATAATTTTTGTTTACATTTGACCACAATAAACGGTAGCTTAGTTTGAGATTAATTAGTTATTAGTCGTATGCTCTGTGCATTTTCGACCCATTAGGTAGGAGAATCGCAGTGAGGTTTAAGCGTTCAAGACATTTTTTTATGCTAACTTGAACCACTGTTGAAAATATCTAGTTGTAGACGAAGTTGATCTAGAAAATATGAGTGACGTTATTGTGTTTTTTCTATTTTTTTAAAATTTTATTTTATCTCACTCGCGTAGTTGGAATACAATTCGGTTGTGAACTTTCATCGATCGTTGTTGTCAAAAATTACCTTGGGTTCCCATCTCAAAACTAATTGGCAATAAGTGGGGTGACTTTTGATACTTATAAACAGGTAACAGATCCTTCATGATACCGATATGGGATTCTTTGTCCCAACAGTTGTGTTGTGATCGGTTAGTATATTAGGTCATCGACCTCCTTTTTTGTACCAAAAAAGAAATCAATAGATATATATTGTGGAGTAATGAGAAACACGTCTATAAAATTTGATTAGTAGTTTTGTAATGAGCGTAACATCAATATATATACAATTACCAATTAATTGAATAATTGACGTATCTCATTGTGATCTATCTATATATATATATATATATATATATATATATATATATGGGATGGTATTTTTACTACAGAAATTCAAATATAGTACACAAGATTTCATGCAATTCTTCTCGTCATCACTAAATCCTTGAAAGTGATCGGTCACAACTAGTGCACGATCACATGGAAACTTAAATGTAAATGTCAGTTCGTTTAAAGGGGAGAAAGAGTTTGAGCAAATTGGCAGAAAGGCTCTCTGTGTAATCTGTATCAGTATCTAGTTGCTGGTGAAAAACAGAGATGACGATGAAATAAAATAGGAGACAAAGGGATTTTGATAAAAGAGAAAAATGGACAGAACTTCTACTATTGAGGAACAGTCATATGACCATAGATAGTACATAAAAAACCACACAATAAATCGAGAATGATAGTACAAAAACACCAGAAACAATTTTCAGTAACATATTTACGTAAGTTTGGTTTTTGGGGGATTGGGCCATTTGGTAGTACGTATAAGGGGTTTTTGTTATTCGTGAAATGTTACTAAATTTATACGATATGTTTTCTGCCTTCTGCTGGCTTTGACAGTAACAATATGATCTGTTAATAATTAATGTGGTTCTGATAACATTCCATAACATCACTATCCTAGCTAGTTTGTTGAGAAAGCTGTTCGCTTAGGCAGAAAAATTTCGAATTTGAAGCATTATTTATTTGTTTATTATAGAATGAAAAATTGGAATTTTTTTTTTATATTGCAAGCGTCTACCGTTAGCAACAGTGGCTACTCCCCATCGCTCATGGTAGATACCTAGATGGGTGGGTAAGCTGGCCAAAGGATTAAAGGTTGTTCCATGCCAACAGCGAGATTCGAACCCTCTAATTATGATTAAAGATAGAGGAGTCTTTACTACTCCATCACAATCCCTTTGATTAGAAGTTGGAATGTTTGGATTGGCATAGACGTATGTTTTGGCTTCTCGAGCCATGTTAATATAATCTATTGGGTGTCTATTTTTAGTTGTTTTCGTGTGTGTATTTTTAGTTGTTTGTTTTATTGAAAAATTTAAAAGTATTAGAAATGTAAAATTTATGTTGAAATGGGATATTTATTAATTTGGGGGAGACCAACAAAAAACCAACTAAAAACATAGCCGAATTCCATGAAAATTCAATGTATGAAACTTGTTATCGACAAATAAAACAAAAAAGAAAATTTCGCGTTTTTTTTTATCACCGGGCCAATTTAAGATTTTATTATGGAAACATTTGAAGTGAGGTCGTTCAGAAACAAGTAGCTCTTGTGCTTTTCATGTTCTGGCCCTATGTTTAATTTAATTTTTTTTTCCTTTACCATTTTAAATATTCTAGATACTTCTTTTGCAAAACATAAGAATGTATAAATTAAAATCATAACCAAAAGATTGTACAAGCTCGCCCTTCATGGCGCACAACGGAAATTTTAATTACGAAGTAAGAACCTATGAAACAAGGTCCTATAACACATAAATCTATCTTTTGCCTCCCCCCCCCAAAAAAAGACATAAATCTAAATCTATTACTTTGATGAACTACTAGATGGATGAAATATATTGGAAAATATGAATTTTGCATTATTGATATTCCTAAAATAAAGATTATTTGAGTGGAGTGGATCATGCAAATGTTGCGTGATATTATAATACACGAGTCCACAGATACTAACTATGACGTTGGTCAAATTATACACATGACGAAAAAAAAATAGTTATTTTGTTCAATGAAACGTTTTAATGACATGAAGAAGAGAATAGGCGAATGCACGTATCCTTTAAAGTAGCCATCTCACTGGTAATTGTTAGTATAATTTAACTGGATATATACATATCACTACTTCTATGATTAATCAAAATGAAAACTCTTTTTTTACTGTTCAGCATACGTGGCTATTTGAACGAATGATACTTCCACGCAGCGCATTCTTGGACGAAAAGCCCATGAAGATCTCATCTGAAGGCAGCTCCGGGGAAATGGTCTCGATGGGCCAGAAAAAAGTATGGACTTTATGTAATTTCGAGAAATTTTGAATTCGGAGGACATATTATTTGCTCATTTTGTTCCGAGAAATAATCTATATTATCTAATTTATGATTTGCATTGTTTTAGTACGATTCAATAATATATATTATTATTTTGAGTCATAAAGTAATAATTTATTTATTATTTGTTGTTTATGGAATGAATCAAAAATTTGAGGAATCTAGTGTGTTTTATTGGGTATTTTTTTGGTGGGCCAAACTTATTAATTGCCCACCTGATGAGATAATGTCTCTATTCCATGGCCTGGACTCACGGTTAATTCGGTACTAGTTGTAGGGGTATCAACGAACCGAGTCAAGCCCAAACAGTTAGGTGTTTGAGCTCGAGTTCAACATAAAATTCGGAGTTCGTACTCGAGTTCGAACTCGATCGAATATATAAAATGAAGTTTGAGTTTGGCTCGCACTCGGCTCGATTGGCTTGAGTTTTTGTGTCTGATAAAAATTAAGCTCGAATGCTCAATAATATTAAGCTCAAAAAAATTTTAATATTTGTCATTCAATTCAACACGTTCAATCTATGTGTTTTATGAGCAAAATTCTTTGACAAATCATAAAAAACATGTATAACCCATTATTACATCTTCGAAATATAAAAGACAATAATTTTAAGGGATAAAAAGAAAAATTTTCAGGAATTAAATATTAATCATAATAAAAATAAAATAATTTATAATAAGCTTGAATAGACTCGACGAGCTCTCGAATCAAGTATT